AAAAAGATAGCTATAGGGTTTCCTCGCAAGCAGGATATTCGCACATAGCGGCATGGAGTGTAATTCATAGGGTATACCATGTCTCGACGAGGTGCTTCACATCGTGGGCGAGCTTTCACAAAAGTATCTGGCTGGGTATGCAGTAAAGGAAAATGGTAAGAGATGATGTCGTTACAGAATGAATTCAGACAGACACAAGAAAATGACGCGACCTCAACAGTTGTCTACCAAAATGTTACTCAAGAAAAAGAAGATAAACGTGCCCAAAGAAATTTTATGATAACGCAGCCTAATTCTGGTTTGGTAAGTCAAGTGGGACTACCTCCATATTTTTCATATCAGCAATATGAAATAACAGGCAAAGGATAGCATTTTCACGATGGCAATTACGATGGTTAGTCAGAAGCAGAAAGTAGAGCGTCAACTTAATTGCATCAACACCAACAAAGTGGAAATTATACAACTTTGATTCAACCATAATTTCCAGCACGACGTGTTACTAAGAGAAAATAAACCTTTTGAAAAAGCTGACCTTATATCGCAAGCCAACTGCTATTTCCCATTCAAGTACTGACTTGTTGTATATTCTTATGTGGGACAGCAAGCAAGGTTCCTGCAAGCAACAATATCAATCTCGGAAGGCAGAAAGAAGAAAAAAGAACATTTCAACACCAATTGCCAGCTCTCTAAAGGTCGAGCATAGAAATTACATGTCAACCGAAAATCTTCCCACATAATTGCTACACTTTGTTGCCGGCATATACTGTACTAAAGTAATGCACATAACCACCACTGCATAAAGCAAGTGTAATAACCGCCCCACAACAACGAATTGCGACTACACAGCCAGTCCACTTCATTCATGCATAGACATCCAAACTCAGATAACCCCTAAAAAATTTCAAACACAAGAAAACTAGCAAAAGCAGCAAGTTTAGGAGGGGGAGAGTAAACGTTGAGCCACTTGAACCAGAACCAGAGAAGCAGTTAGCGTGACAAGCTAAACCCTAGGGAAGATTGGGCAGAAGCCTGGGAGAAAGAGAGAAAGGACATACATCCAGTTCCAGTAGGATCCATTCTTTGGTGTTGGTGCCGGTGGACCAGTGGGAGCGGAGGTCTGTGTCGAGAACATGAGAAGCCTTCTGCGACGGCGACTCTCTGGAGGTCGCCTTCACCTTATAGCTCAGGGGTTTCACTCTTGGCTCCAATTCAACCTCCATCATTGATAATTTTTCCCTCCACGGAGGAGTCGCTCTGCTCCAAAGAGTTCAATTAGAATGAGTGACAAAATGACGGAGAAAGAGAAAACCTTTTTCACGGTCTGGACTCTGGACTATGGAGAAGAGCGGTAGCAGAGTCGGGAGTGCAGGTTGTCAAACTCACTTAACTCGCTAGGTATCCTCCGATCCGGGCACAGCCGGTTGAAAGTAAAAAAAAATTATAATTGATTTTCGTTATCTAGAATGGTGGAGTCTGGTCCAGAGCATATGTACGGTCAACGGTCTAAATTGAGAGGCTAGATTATAAATTATAGATCAGATCACGGACTATATGATACAGACTAGATCATGTCTGTGCGGTCTGATGTGGTATGGTCTGGTCTAGATAGAACATATCGAACCAAAAATGAACAATTTGATTAGTCAACCACACAAAAAATTGAACAAATAGTCAAGAAAAAAAAATTTACAATTTTTTTACTTAAAACATAAATTCTCACATGCATGGATAATTTTGACATTATAAATCTCAGTAAATAACGAAGATACAAAGTCAAAACATCACGACTTCCACTATAACGTCATAAACATTAACATAATGTCATATGGAGACGCAATCGTCTTTACTCTCTAGTGCAATGTGGTTGTGAATGAAGGAGGGGACAAGATTCTCAAAATTAAAATTGAGACTTGGGTGTCGTTGCGGGTTGAGAAAGTGGTCGAGTGGGCTGCTAACACGTATTGAGAAGTTGGCTAGGTCCACGGTTTGGTCCGATAAACAGCGGTCCAGACTAAGAAATCAAAATACCATATAATACAGATCATGGACCAGACCAGATCATACTTAACGATCTACAGTCCGAACTAAACTGTACGGTCTAGTTTGGACCATGATTTTTCATACGGTCTTATCTATTTTCCCAACCCTAATCTTATGATTGATTTTCGACTTCTGAAGAGAACTAGCTCTTGACCTGGTTCAATAATTTTTTTATTTATTTATATCTTATTACAGGATTTATTATATTGTGTGTTTGTTGTCTTGTTTCACAATTTTCAATCTCTCTGTTATATACTTATATTATCTATTATGTTATGTATTTGTTGTCTTTGTCCTGCAATTTTCAATTTTTCAAAATCATACGATGTCAAATCGAATATTTTGATTTTGGGTGCAAATTAGAATTGGTCTATTCATAAAAATATACATTTCAAAGGAAAATATTTAACATGGAAAAAATTCATTGGTCATTTGTGAAACAAAGGTATCTGTTAGCAAGCTAACCCTTCTAAGGGTTGGAAAAATAACACCCCTATTTATTATAGTTATTTTTTTGTATTAATTTGTGTTGCATTTAATAATCTTTGGAAATTAAAAACTCATCTTAATTACATTCCTTTTTTTAACTACCATTGCACTGATACATCTACTATTGCTCCAGTACACTAATATCATTGCACTGATACAACTACCAGTGCACTGAAAAAAGGAAAGTAATTAATATGTATTTTGAATTCATACAAATTATTAAATGCAACACAAATTAATTACCTTAAAAACCTATAATTAATAGGGGTGTCATTTTCCAACTCTTTTAGGGGTAGGCATACTATCGGGGTCGGTTAGCATGCTAACCCCCTTAGAGGTTGGAAAAATGACACCCCCTAGTATATTAAATACAACTATAGAATTTAATACACACATTAAATACACATTAGGAATTAAATGTACCATATTAATTAGGAATTCTCTCACTATTAAATACACATTAGGAATTAAATACACACATTAAATACGAATTAGGAATTCTCTCACTATATTTGATTTTTCCTTTTTCAGCAGTCTCCGACCACCAGACTTCCTCCGACCGCCACACTTCTCTAGTGAAAATCCCATCGGCAGACTCCCTTCGACCACCTCCAAAAAATATACCACTGCACTGATACGGTGTACCACTGTACTGGTAGATATACCACTGCACTGGTAGCGATATCAGTGCACTGGTAGCAATGTCATATCTGAGTATCAGTGCAGTGGTACAAATACCAGTAAAGTGGTAATTAATGTGGTGTATTTAATGCTTACTTTGTATTTAATAACAGAACATTTATTATGTTTACTTTCATTAATACTTGTTGGGCCCATAGTTAAGCAGTATTGGGCCTAAGAGGCCCGTGTAGGCCCACGAGGAAACAAAGGCTTAGCCCAAGGGGAAGGGACCGAGTCAAAGAGCGAAACCCGAGGAGACATGGGGAAAAGAGACACCGCAGGCGGCCGCTCTATGACGTGACGGAGGATAGGTCGCCTGACACAAGAGACCGTTGGTGTCAGGAAAAGTAGATCTTCCTAGGATTCTTATCTCGTACAAAGCAGGACTGAGCATTTAATGCCCGCCGTGGGCGGTCCAAGTAAAGCCTAATGTGCTTAGGCCGCCTGACAAAGCATTAAATGCCTCATACCTAAGCTGGCTGACTATAAATACACCGGTATCGGCATTAATGGTAACTCAACTATTCTCTCTCTATCTAAACCTAAAACAACACTTATTATTCTCTCTCTAACTTAGGCATTGGAGGGTGTCCGGGGAACCACCCACGGACCCTTGCAGGAATTGGAGTACACCCTTCATCCGGAACAGACGCCTTGCTTGCCCTGCACTCAACCGCCTGGTACATTCCAGGCTTAAACAATACTTGTCAATAATTAATGAAAAATAGAACAATTAAAAGGGGATGTCAAAAAACCAACCCTTAAGGAGTTAGCATGCTAACCCGTCCCCATACTATCTCATCCCTGAGACAAAAGCCATATATAAACAGAGACTACGATATAATAAATGTAACTACTATTTATGAATTAATTACATAGGTTTAAGGTGCACAATTTATTAATCTTCCCAACCCTAACACCACTGAAAATACAATTTGTATAATAAAATGAATTCAAGAATTTTTTATCAAAAATAAAACATGCCAAAATAAAGGACACAAAAGCGAGATATAGCTCATAGATGGAATAACCACAACTTGATCATTGACCAATTTGACCCGACATTTCCGAAAAAACAAAAATAAGCGAAAGGGCACTAAAACGGAATATAGCCTATAAATCGAATAACTATTCTCCGGCCAACTGGCCGGACAAAATGCTAGTTAGTTAGTATATACTAACAACTTAGCTTGTTAGCAGATTAACTAGACTGCGGGTCCAGGGGGCTTTAACAGTCCACGGTTAGGAAAGCAGCCTTCAATAATAATCCTTCCTAGCACACCTTTGTTACGGAAACAACGGTTGCACAAGGTCACAAAATGCTCATACCATCAAGAAAAGGCAGACGGATCAAAATTCTGATGGAACAACTTGAACATTTTTTAAGTTTCAGTACCACCCAAGGAGCTAACACCTAAAAGAGTACACAAGATATCACACTTCGGTTCCAGCATTTTCACCCCTACGACTGGCATCCCATGAAATCCTAAAGGGAACCCGAACTCGGACGATTACTTGTAGGACAACTAATACCATGGCCACCACCACACACCCAGTTTCCTGAATACGCATCACAGCTAATACGTCGTGCAGCGGGTGGGTGGGTTGCTCATGGCTAGCAGCGTCAGATCGTACGGAGCAGCAGCAGCAGCCGAATTGTTGGGGAAGATAAACCAGCTCCGTTGTTCACATATTAGCTTGGACCAGAGGATTGCTTCCGCAACTAACAACAGTCGTATAGCCACAAAAAGACACGTTCAACTGACAACCAGAGTGTCGATGGTGAAGGCTTAAAGGCCAACCCAGTACGATCGACCATTAGTATTGTGCATAGCACTAGGAGTCGGAGCTGCCACGCACCATTCATACCAGACCTGCATCAGAAAGCCCACTTAGATCTGATCATCGGTACCCAGAAGGCACTCACATGAAAGAAATTAAAGGCGAGAATGCGCTTAGGAAATAGTCCCGGACAAAAGAGCATTGATTTGTGGTAGCTTGTCCCATCTCACCTTCCACCGAGCTATCAACTACATGCATCATAATGCTAATTTATCTTGGACACGGAAACCAAATGGTGATTTACCTTGGAAGATCCACAACAGCGCCAAAAGTGTACTTCTAGAGAAGACCCCGGTTTCATGCATACTGGGGTCCTCAATGGGAAGAATATTGCAAACCTGAAAATTAAACATATAACTAATGCGTAAGAAGTTGCTTCTAAAAGCATCTGTAACTTGTCTGTAATGTCTTCAAACAGAACAAGTTGATTAACTAGAGAAGATAGATCTAGCAACTAAAACATATGCGGATCCTATGGTTTATCAGGGGGACTCCACAATAACTTGGTCTTAGCTCTCTACCAAGATATTCAGACGGATCATCATCACTACCCAAGCATATTTAGGTTGGATTCTGCGAGTGTTTATGCATATGCATAAATGCAGAGAACTGTACCAGCTAAACATATTTGGTGTCGCGGTTGATGGTTCAATTCCAAGATGCACATCTTTGTACAACACTGCATCAAAATAGCCAGCAAATCCTGCAACAGGCCAAAATTAACGTGGTACAGAAAGCCCAGTCAGACTGAAGAATTTATACAGTTAAAAGACGATGGTTCTATCATCTATGTACGATACTAATCCCTATAGGAGCAATGTGAAGAAAGTATTCCAAGACTAACAAAGTGCTTCTGGGTGAAGGTAGTATTAAACACTACAGAAGCACCAGCACTATAAAGCTAACTCAATTAATTCTCGACTTTGAAAAACATTTCCCTTGCCCATGCTAACAATGATGTGCTTCAAGACTTCAAGTAGCATGCATAGACACACTTTCCTTCTAGTTTAAACAAATTTTGTCATCAAATCTGACAAGACCACATGCACGCCTATGCATTGATTTTAGATGTGATAAGATTATTCAATTACCCAAGTGATTCCTACTCCACACACCTGTAGACATTCAAGATTATAGGTATAGCACCATCATCAAAAGAGTATTGGTTAACATTCTATCAAAAGCACATACCAAGTACGCAGACTACAGTAACAAGCCTTCACACTGTAGATCATTGATATCATAGTAATAGATTTCAGGAGAAGGAACAGTTTTCCAACCCAACATACCGTGAACCATTGCTGATCCAGTGTCATTAGGTAGTTCAAACAAAAGCTTTTTGTAACGTTCATTGCTTTTTGTAGTAGAGTTATTTGGATGAGTAAATTCAAATACCTGCAAAGGAAAGTTTGTGCAAGTTGAATAAACTCTGCAACTGCTTCTGATACACTTGGACACATCAAGAATTTGACAAACCACGTTAATAAGGTACAGATAAGCTCACAGATTGTGGTGGAGCAAGTCTTGCTATATTGTGCAATTTGACAACGTACGCAGTCTCAAAGTGCACAAGATCCCTGTGTGACTTAACCTAAGCAAAATGACAAGCTAGTAAGATTGTTTGCTTCACCAGAGAACATGAAAACAGAGAGACAGTGTGAGAGAGAAGAATGGAGAGGATACATCATTATACAACTTTGATGCTGTCACCGGTTGGATGAAACTAGTGTACCTAGAAACCAATATCCATATTAGCATTAATGTTACATGGAGAACAGATAACCCCATCAAGCTAATAAATGTGCAGGCATCCAAAGCCCATACACAACAACCAGAGCATACAATAAGATCTAACGGCATCGACATGAAAGTGAGAACTCAAGGTTCTCCACAATTTCTACAAGAAAAAAGAGCATACGTACGATGATGGTATCGAGATTCCATCTTCCTTCAGGAACCTCTGGGCACCATCAAGACACTCAGGTGACAGCTCGTTATCACCAAAGGAACCCAACAGTTCACTTACCTGACAACCAAATAATGAACCTGATAAACAAGCAGCTATATTATTGCACACTAATTGAGAATAGCAGATGCACACCAAGATATCTGCTTTCTCAGGTGCATCCCAGTAGCGCATATCACAAGAAATGATGGTTACAATGCCCTCCCATCCCTCCAGCTTTACCAAACTCTGTGAAAAAATCCGGGGAAAAATCAGGGCTCAATGAAGAAGCATTCAAAATTACTTCAATGTTTTAAGCATTTGAGTATTAAATTATAACTAAGTTTATTCCGGACTTCTTGTTACTACAGTAGTATCACCCATCTTGCGAGATTTTTTTTTATTTATGTGCAGCTGAAACTGCAACTTACGTGGAGTGTGACAACAGCATTTGGATTTTTCTCCACTGCATAAACTTTTATTTTGCGTCCTGTTTCTTCAGCAGCCTAAAAATTCACATCAATTAGAACAGCCGATTAAGAGCAAAGCAAGATTACTTAAATTGCATGAGCAGGTATGAAAACGGACCTGCAAAGATGCCCTCACAAGAGGACCACGTCCAGCTCCTACTACCATAAGTACCTTGGCACATAAAAAAAAACAAGTTTCAAATGTCACATCATTTCAGAGAACAAGGAGCGATATGAAGTAACATATAAAGCAATGGAGAGTATATGACAAAGAAAGCACATTATTACTTACAGTGGTTACATTGGCCTCCTCATTAGGGACTCTATCCAGCAAAGCTTTAGAGACAGCCCTTTGGTACTGGAGAAATCAGCGAGTTTTAAGAAAATGCAATATTAGAAACAGGAAAAAGTCAAGGAGAGGGATTATTAAAAAGAAAATCAGAAACTACAGAAGAAAAACTGAAGGGAGAAACCAGGAAGACAACGTACTGGACTGTAATAAATTGACACAATTTCGAAACTAAAGGTCCAAGAAATCATACGGTCAGCATTAAGGAATGCCACATATGGAAGGGATGAGAAAGTTGAATAGTTCGATAGAATAAATTTGTTTCATCAAGATTAGCTAGCATACTAACATTCTTGTGACATGATTAACTAAGCAGATTATACAAGCATTCTAAATTATATCAGACAATTGACCAGGTGTTACCAAGAACCAGTAACCAAAGTTCCAAGAAAGCTATTTAATTCGTTGTACCATGAATGGGTGCACTACACTTGCAATAGTCCCGTCTGTAGACCACTAAACCCCTTAAGCAAAACTCGTCAATTAATTATACTAATAATAACACACTGACCTGCATGTACTTCATAGAATCTTTTTCAAATGTCTCGTATGTTTGGGCCTCTAGGTTATCCATTAACGGCTGCAATAAGACAACAATAACGGTGACAAACCTCTAGTCACACATGCATGCACAACAAAATGGAAACAAAAGAAGAACACAGGCGCGACTCACTTGCAAAGGGGACTGCAAGAAATCCCTGTAACCAAGCTGTTATGGGAAACATAGACTAAAGGAGTCAAAAACAGACATAAAAAACATCATTGATCAAGGGAGAAAGGACGGCCGGTAGGGGAAGCACATGGAGAAGGAGAGATACAGGGAGCTACCTACCTCATAACGTTCTTGTTGCGGAAGAGGATCCATCTTCTGAAAGAGATAACCAATGTAGTCCAAGTATGACCTAAGTGGATGTTTCTGCAAATCTATAGAGGTTTAAACAATAAGCATTTTGAAAATCGGAATCAAATATAATAACACAGATGAAATTACAAACCAGCAGATCACTCACTTTCAACATTATCACTTGAATGATTAGTGACCAAATCTGAACCTGGGGCAGCAGTGTTGCGCAAAGAAGTTCCAGAGACAACAACCTAAAGGAATGTTGAAAAGCTGCTGGTTAGATGGCAACATAGAATTCCGAGCAAAGAAGTACCAAGCGACAACCTTTTCCGTGAATGTGACACTAGAAGTTTTCACTCCAGTTCATTAGCTCCAGAAGAAGTCACTAAAACTACAATATCGACACATGAAATGGAATTTAAAAAGAGAACATGATGCCTCAGTTACCTGTATTGAGTGATTGAAGAAGCCCCAAATCAGATTCTGGTGGCGCTTTGACAAACATGGATAGCCTCGGGCATTGGTGAGAAAAGACTGAAACGCAAGAAAATCAAACACCAGGTAAGAACGGCCAATGACATTAATTTAATATATCAACAGGACAGTATAGAAAGAAAAAGAACACTGACATCGGTACTAATTATAGCGGCCCTGACAGATTCGCCAAACCAACGACCAAGTGAGTGGACTGACGGTAAGGAACTCCTACAAGACAAAGATATAGCATTAATAAAGGAGGTTCAGTTGACAAATTCTCCAACGTCATTTAATAGAAAATTGAGCTTACAGAACATCCAATGCCACAGAAAGCTGACTGTGATGCTCACACAGAATACGGAAGGAATTCCACTGTTCCCATGAATCAACCTGAAGAAAGACCAGCCAAAATGGGAAACTAGCTTCAAACACAGACTCAAACTATGACTATCTGTTTGCAAGATGTCTTACTATAGAAGGTTCAACAAATTAGGGCACATTTCACTATAAAAATGTCAGTCCCCAAAACCATCCATAGACCTTGCCAATTACATATGCTTTAATGTATGTCACTTGGTCTCCTGTATAACCGAGTGGCGAAGACTGTATCTTGTATAAATGTCAAGAGAACATTGGAATTGCACATGAACTAATGGAGACCAATTTGGGTTAGGTGCTTCAATCTATAAAAAGTAACCAGAACAGGAGATTAATAATCTTCCAGGCCAAGTCTCATGCGCCTGATCCTGCGCACATTGCTCAATTGTCCTGCTTGAGTGTTTTGGGCTATGGTTCAAGCTAAGAAATTTTTTAAATTGAGAACAGTTGGTTAGGACCTTCTGCTGATTCTTTAGATAGTTTGTCCTTCATCATAGTAGAAAGTCAGCCATGCCTCTTACGAATTGCAAGTTTCTCACCAAAGGAGGATCTATTTGGTAAATTGGTTTGATCTACTTAATCCTGTGCCTCCTCATGATCAGGATGCTCAACTGCTCTTTGCATAAGTTTAATTCAAATCCAGTCCCCTTATAAATAGTCAAGTAGCATAATTTCAAATATTGAAAATAACAAACTCACCAATTCACCAGAATTCCCATCCATAGAAGCATCATCAATCTTTGTTAGGGGAATCCTAAGCCACAACTGTGATAGAGAAGTAACAAACCAAGAAGTATAAGAAAGAGCATAATTCATAATCAGATTATATACATACATGAACATATAATTGAGATTCATATTTGGATGAAGAACAACACCTGTATATTGTTTAGGCCTTGTAAAATCTGATTTACACACCTAGCATAGTTTGCACATGACTTGCCCTTTGGAGAGGGAAGAAGGCATGCCTGCAGTATCCCATAAAAAGTTAAAAGCGCTCTAATTTTGGCATAGGCTCGTAGCAGCAAATGTATGGTTCAAGAAACAGTGACTCCCTTGACAATCTTTGAGAACTGATGGTAGCACATATATCCCAATAACAGTTAATAAACGACAAGGCAAGCAAATATTATCAGGTGGGCTGCTCATTTACTCCAAAACTATAAATTTCTTCGTCTAAATGAGTTTCATTTTTATATTTTCAAACCACTATTTGCATAGTCTAAATAATGTTATTTCAGCAATCAACTCATTATTCCATCCTATTGTTTCGAATCAAATTCTTTCCAAATTATATGGATCCCTAAGCATTGCAAATGGCCTCAGCATTGCTTAAGATCATCGCAGTGATGCAAACCTGTAAGGAAAGATGATTAGCCCATGCTATCTCCTGCTTCAAAGTTGTTTCGGAATCCATCCGAAGAGTTTCATCTTCAGAATCCAAATCAATCCACTGACTAATCTTTCCTGAAAAAAGGATTCACAAATCTACTGAATAACAAACTTCTTAAGCAAATAGATAAAATTTCTAAATACAAAAAAAAAAAAAAAACTTTCCATCGTGTGCTAAAGAACTTCAACAAACTATTTCTTAAGGTTGCATGTCAAATTAGGAAGCATTCAGCTACATAATCATCTCAACCACCAAAAGAAATATAAAACACTAGTCTTTGCAGAAAAGGGCCCCATCAATAATATGAGAATTGTGAACTTACGCTTTTCATTAAGGTAAGTTCTGCATCATGTTTAGAGGATTAAGCCACATAAAAAAAAAAATCTACAACACTGGATGTATGCATGAAAGGAGGAAACTTTCTTGAACATACCAGGAGTCCAGGACTATTTTTCATATTTCCCTAAGCAAATCTAACTAAGAAATCCTCTCCCTTTAGACCTTTAGCTTCTTAGTAAAAGTTGCATGGCCACATAGTTAAACAACCAGAAAAAAACCCAACAGTGTATAAACTAAATATCACACACAAACGCCGTACATGAAAAAGCTAAACACCCTAGTAAATAAAGGCACTCAACCAAATTAGAGCAGAGTAACTAAGGAAAATATGTGGCTGTTAACCATCTAAATTGCACGAGTTCATACCCACAACATGACTGCTCCACTGAGACGGACTCAAGACGAGGTCGGACCCAGCAAATGGCAGGACACAAGTTCCACCACTGTTTGCCTGCAGTAGACTAGGCCGGTAGGTTGGGTTCATCTGCATCAACAAGTTGTGTCCATAATGATAAGGAGCTTGTACAAAATACAAAAGCAAACAAGTTCTAGTTTTCTTTCAAAGAGATCTACATAGAAGGATATGTACAATTAGTCAGAAACAAAACATGATGCATGCTGCATTTTGGAGAAGGAACCAGAAAGAAAGTCGCTAAGTAAATAATGAAGACCAAATGAAGAAACACTAAAAGAATTCCCATGAATGTGGGCATAGCATGTTGTCTCTTTGACAAAATGACACAGTTCGTTTCCTGCAGAAAGTGCATAATAAAATTATGCCCCACCAATCAGGCAAGCAAAAGCAGTCAGTCAGAAATTCATTCTTCCTTCTTTTTTTTCTCCTTCTTCTAACCGACCAATCACACCTGTAAATGTATAGGAAACTAAGGAAGAAAGTAGGCGACGAACCAGAGGAGCGACGACAAAATCGAATGCGCCGAGGTTCAGATTGAAAGAGAGAAGGTTAGCTATGTCATCGTCGAACTCCGCCTCCACTCCACAGTAACGAGATTCCGACTTCTCCCATCCTGGCTTATCCCCGAGCGGCATTTTAGCTTCTAGTTCCCAAAACGTGTTGTTCCTTATCCAATTTGCAGCGTGGTGAGAGACGGAGACTTCAGGTCACTCTGTTTGAGACTCGCAGAAGAGACTTGGAGCTCCCAAGTCTGGGGTTTTGGCTAGGGTTTTTCCGGGTTTCTTTTCTTCCCCGTTTATTAGGGGGTTTTTTCACCGTTTTAAGTCTCGACTATCAAACCTTTGACAATCGTCTAACGAGTTTCAAAGTCATGTTTGAAAAGCCCGTGGCTAGGCCCAAGTTAGGTTAACCAATCTGTGAAACGGGAGCGAGACGATAATGGGCGGGGCGGGAAGATGAAATCCGGTCTACTTTGATCTTGGGTATGTAGATCAAATTCGTCTTCAATCTTTTTTGGTTTGTATGTTTCTCTCTAGAATGCAGAATAAGATCTAATTCTCTCTCTCCTTGAAATACGCTCACTCTTCATACTAGCTTATAACCCGGCCAGTTGGCCGGAATGTTTATATTTGGTTATTGATATTTTTATGTTACGTTTAAGGCTATCAACCTGTTTAATTTTATTTACAATCCTTTGATCGAAATGATATATAAAGAAAGAATATATAGGTCAAAAAATCGGAGAAACATCACAATCATTTAAGAATATGAAATATGAAAATGTATCATTAATCCCATTTTCATAGTGATAATAAAGCTCCCATTAAAATGCTATTGATTAGTTGATTGTCAAGAAATATAGAGTATAAAAGTTCACACGACCTGTAGAAATCAACCCCACAATCCTACATAAGGGATTTTTTTTACAAAAGATAATCGTATATTGATTAAAAAATGCTCTCATTTTAGGAAAAATATGCCAGTAATAAAAAAGAAATGGAGAGTAGTTGATTCAAGTCAACTATATTCTAACAACTCAGCTAAGAGGACCATCAAAACTTGAGAGCAAACGAATTAATTAGGGTTACCTCCAATATACTAACAGACTCGATCAAAGTAATAAGACGTAAAATTAGATACTCCTTATCTATCAGTTCCAGTAGGTTGAATCGAGTTGTTTCAGTAAATCAATCCATCAATGATTCCTCGTTTTAAGATAGAAATAGGTTGTGATAGATGCAAAAATCATAAACATAAAGATCCAATAGCCACCATTCTTTGTCGTACAACCAAATTTTTATCCACTCTATCCTCAATTTCAAGAGGCATATGTTTCAACAAAAAATCAATTTCTAATCCTCCTTCTTCAACTCCATTTATTGAACTCGATTCTGTTCGGATTGATATCAGAGTTGACATCTTCTACTTGCCCAGCTTAAATCCCCAACAATAAAATCGTAGTGCCAAGACATATCGGAAGATTAATTTTCAAACACGGAGTTGTACTGGCAAGTGAAAGGGGCGCAAACTATTGCACGCTGTAGGGAATTTCAGAGGAAGTTAGAAATGGATAAGAACAAAGATAAAAAAGCACAAAATTTATATTTAAACTGAATACTACATATGGTAGACTTAGTGGGCTTGCTAATCATGATGGAAAAGTTCTCATATCCTCAGAGTTCAACTTCGTGTATGTTTTGTATTAAAAAAGATTCAACAAATTTATTTAGTGTAATTAGTTGTGATTGTTGTCTTTGTTTGTAGAGACCCGGGTTCAAATCTTCATATTAACATTTTTATATGATATAAATAATTAATTGTAAAGACCAAATTATCCTTCCTATATTCACTCTCGTTGCAAAAAATTTGAAATGGAAAAAAGTAGATAAAACTCTACTATATATTATTGGAGAATTTATACTCGCAGTGCAATCTTCATGGCCAAGCGTCACAATCGTGATGTGTGCAGTGAAACCGTAACAATGACACAAAACACGGAAAAAATCCCAAAGTACACACGTTCTTAAAAAAAATTCTCAAAATACATGAGTTATAAAAAAAATTCCCAAAGTACACATGTTTGAGCATCACCGCGTTTGACAAACACGGTGAATACTTCATCGTTTTAAACAAAAACGGTGAAGTATTCACCGTTTCACACCAAAACGGTGAAGCTTTCACCGCGTTAATTAACAACGGTGAAAGCTTCACCGTTTTTGACCAAAACGGTGAAGCCTTCACCGTTGTTAACTAACGCGGTGATCATTTCCCACGTTTCCCACCCCTGGTAGGTCAAAATTAGGTCGCAGCTACCACCTATTCACCGTTTGAGACAAACGCGGTGATAGTGTTCACCGTTTTTGTCAAAAACGGTGAATAGTAGGCAGATTTTCCTATAAATACCACACCACCAGCAGTTGTAAAAACATAACCACTCCCCTTTCTTCAAATTTCAGCAGCCAAAATCGAGCATAATACACAGAACAGAAATTTTTCGGTATGTTGAGACTTTTCGTATTATGGTCTAATTATGTTTTTAGTAGTTATAGTATGATTTAATTTTCGTATTATGATTTAATTTTCGTATTATGTTGTTGTTAGTTAGTTGAACTTATATTCGTTAGTTATAGTATGATTTAATTTTCGTATTATGTTGTTGTTTGTTAGTTGAATTTATTTTCGTTAGTTATGGTATGATTTAATTTTCGTATTATGTTGTTGTTAGTTAGTTGAACTTATGTTCGTTAGTTATAGTATGATTTAATTTTCGTATTATGTTGTTGTTAGTTAGTTGAATTTATTTTTGTTACTTATGGTATGATTTAATATTAGTTGTACAATATGATTTTGGTTAATTTTACTGTCTTTAAGCTAATAGATACTTATTGTAAATTGTAGATATGGGTAAATTCAAGAAGTTTCATCTTACTATTCGGTGGAATGGAAGGGTGACAAACTCTGACATAGGCATTGATTATGAGGACGGCGAATCCATTATGCTGAAAATTGAATCCCGATTCAATTTTCAAGAACTCTATGATCTTTGTGCAGAAAGGGTTTGTACGAGCGGACAGACGAGACTTGGCAAAATTACTTACCGGTATCCAGACATGAGTGCTGGCGGGGTCGTGTTCCAAGAAGTTGTCATAAACGATGATGACGCGGTTATGATGATGTTACAGTTCCTAAGCGATAACCAAGTCCGGCTTGCAGAGGTGTATGTTGAGACCGAGGCGCTCGGTGAATCTCATTCTCACCAGTATTCTTATGATGATGGTTTTGCAGGAGGGTACGAATGGGGTGGTAGTTCGAGCAACTACCAAGGCGGTGGTTATACAGGAGGTTACGGGGAGGGTGGTGGTTCAATCAACTACGGTGGATCGAGTAGTGCAGGATGGGACCAATACTCGCAACCTCCTAAACCAGCCCCATTTGTTGAGGCCGATGGTGTTCAATGGCCTGCTTGGGGGCCAGAGTGGTATGGAATCGAGAATACCATTCGATCAGGGCGTACTTCACATGAGCGAGAGGACGATGTTGGTGATCGTGGTCATGTTGATCCTTCTAGCTCGAGCTATCCATTCGAGTCAAGCGACGAGGATACTGAGGAAGATTTGATATCAGTGAGCGAGGAGGAGGAAGATACTGATGATAACGAGGATGAGGCGGCATTTCGTGAGGCACCCACGCCATATTACACACAGGTTCCAACTCAATTTTTACATAGTCAGAATGATCCCCCCGACTTTGTCCCTATGCCAGTGTACAATCCAACGGCCAATCTGGAGGTGGGTATGGCGTTCACATCGAAAGACGCTGTGCAGGATGCATTTACAGAAGAGGCGTTGAGGCGCAATTTCGAGTGGAAGGTAAAATATTCTGACAGTAAACAATTACATGTCATATGCAAGCATGATGCAGAGGGTTGTACGTGGCAACTGCGGGCTGCAAATATGAAGAGAAAGGGTGCTTGGGTGATTCGCAAAGCTGAGACGATCCAAGTATTTTGTTAAATCAAAAATGTTTTCCTTGTCGATACGATCGCGCGGCCGCAAACGGCTCGTTATTTCGACCTCAAACGAATAAGATACGGGCGTTTTAGTTTATAGTACGCAAAAGTTACTTTAACGATACGATCACGCTTTGACGTCACTTATCTCACTCGTTTGGACTCGGAATTGGGATCTGTAAAATTCTATGCGATCGTGGTTGATTTGCCCAACTTTTTTGTGTTGAGGAAAGATACTGATTCTTGATAAAATGATCCAGAAAATTCATTCGACAACTTAAGTGCGTAGGATAGTTTTTAGACAATGCAAACTCAAATAACAACACCTAAAAATCACAAAAACAACATTGATAGTTCACTACAATGATAAAACGATAAATTCACTAATTTGCTTCGTTTTGGCCCCCATCGCCACCTCTTCCTCCTCGTCCTCCACGACGTCCTCGACCCCTTCTTCCCCCCTCCGCCGCTGCTTCTTGGCGGGCTCGCTCAACGGTGAGCAATGGCAACCATATGCCTTGAATCCACCGGTTGGACTTGTCGGGGAACAAAAATCCACCCACCAAACCGATGAGGTAGATGCGGGCGTAGCGCTCGACTTGTTCTTCCGGTGTCTCGTCATTGATTTCCACCTCTTGCTGGATGTGAGATACCAGCCACGGGACCGACACTTGCCCCGCATTCAACGGTGGATGCCCCCGTCCTTGATTTGGTGTGGTGGTCGGCATGTCGAAGCCCAAACGATCACGGATGAGCGGCCCCCAACCTCCTTCGGGTTTGGTCGTGTTCCCAATGATGGCATCTCCAGATATAGGAAGCCCGGTGAGGATCGCCACGTCTTTGAGGGTGATCGTCATTTCCCCCTCCGCAAGGTGGAATGTATGGGTTTCGGGACGCCATCGTTCCGCCATTGCCGTAAGCAGCTCGTTGTCGATCTCGATCCGCAAGAAATGGCGCAACATTCCCAAACCGGTCCTCGCTATATAGGGCTCCAACCTTGGATGCCAAGCGGGCAAGTTATTGGTCCCTTTATGAACCACGGGAACAAGAGATTCCTAAAAAAAATAGGAAAAACATCAATTAATTAGATTAAATAAAACAAAATAAAACATTAGAAAATAATAAAATAAAGCAAGTCAGTTCATCAAATTACCGGATTGTTATCCCAAATGGCACGGGAGCGATGCATTTGCTGATCGGTTAATAGACTCGCATCCCTTGGGCCATAATGGATATACAATCGAGGATCGTATATCTCGGCACCCATCTATAAAAAAGTAATATAATCAGAGATTGTTTTGATAAAAAATAAATCAAATTGTTTCGATTAAAAAAAATCACAAACCAAAAACCTACACGAAGAGCCTCTTCGTCCATTATTGGCGGAAGCCGGACAGAGGTTCGACGGGTTTAGCTTTGTAAGGGACGGGAACTTAGCGGGACGGGGGCTTTAGGGTCAAACTCTAGTAATTCTTTCTGATGTGGAAGATCGGACTTAGCCGCAACCACAGAGCATACTTAGAACGAGACTAGAGCGGATAAATTGAGGGAGAAAGAAGGTAAATGTTTGTGGGGTGAGTTGAAAGTGAAAGGGGGAGGGGGTATTTATAGTTTGGGGGAAGGGGGGAGGAGATGCTGCGCAGTTAATTCACCATCCATTCACCGCGTTTGATGAACGCGGTGAACTCACCGTTTTAACCAAACGCGGTGAATGCATGGTGACGTGGCGTGCTGCGAGGCGTCGGATCGTGGGAAGAAAACCACGATCCGCGTCTCACCGCATCTAACGGCCACGGTGAAAGCACAATGGCGCGGATTGCTGACGCAAACAAACACGGGTTATTCACCGTGTTTGTCTAATGCGGTGAATACCCCGTGCTGTCCACGTCAGCACTTCACCGCGTCCCACAAAAACGGTGAAGCCTTCACCGTTTTATTTTAAAACGGTGAAGGCATCACCGTGTTTAATTAAAACGGTGAGTACTTCACCGTTTTAAACAAAAGCGGTGAAGCACTCACCGTGTTTTGCAAAAGCGGTGATGACCTTCACCGTTTTAGACAAAAACGGTGATGCTCAAACATGTGTAGTTTTGGAATTTTTTTTATAACTACTGTATTTTGGGAATTTTTTTTAAAAACTAGTGTACTTTGGGATTTTTTCCCACAAAACACACCGTTTCACTTACACACTTCTCGGTCTCCTTGCAATATTTATGTGATGTTCCCGTGATGTGTACAATGCCCGCGAGACATCCAAATGCTCATGGGAAGTTGCATTTTTCATGGTTTCCTTGTAATTTTCACAGTCTCATGCCCGTGATAATCTGCCTTGAACCGTAATCCTTGCAATTTCCAGCACTTTGTCCCACTTTTGCTTATTTCGTCTGACTTTCAATCCTTTTGTCCATTTCACCTGGTAGAGCTGAAACATATTAAACATAACAAAACCTAGCATAAAATGGCTCCAAGGTGATGGTATACAACTCAAACAACAAAGTCCAAGGGATAAAACATGTATTGAATGGCTCGAATCAATTTGTTTGAGGACAAGCAAATGCGTAAGTGCATGGTATTTGATACATCTTAAATTATACATATTTTATACCTATTTTATTGGCATGTTTTACACGATTTCCATAAATTTGTTGTCATAATGGCTTAGATTTGCTAGGTATTTTCTCAAAGGTGCTTTTGATAGCTTTAGGAGTATTTTTACACATTTTATATCTTTTTAGGTAGACTTTGGATATTTTCAAACCAAATCATCATAGAGGCTACTGATAGCATGAAAGAAGACAAGAATACGAGCATGTGGGATCAAACAGGGACTGATTCAGAGTTCGAACGACGGAGAAAAGGTCCAAACAAGTTGACAAGTCAGAGGAGGCCAAACCCAAAATCGAAGGCCAAAGCCAAAATTGATGGCCCGACCAACTAAAATAATCGCTGATTCATTATGCGTATATAAAAGACTAATTTTTTTAGGAGCAATAAGGAATCCTGTCCGGGAGACGTCCAGACTTGACCAAAAACCTAAAATTCGAGTTATAAGACAAAGAAATAAGGTTTTCCAGGGGCTCAACCCCAATTGTTTTGTATTGGGTACGAGTCTTACCCAATAGAGATATTCTAGTTCTGAATTGCCTTAGAGTTCTGACTTGGTTTAGGATAATCTCCCTCTAAGCTGCCTATTAAAGAGGGTCTTGTCTGCTTTAATCGAGATTCAAGACTTGTTAATGACTTTTTGCATTATGTACGAAGAGTGAAACAAGTTAGGGAATCATCGATAATTAGTCCGGCTAGTGGCTAAGGGGAATAATACCTGATTGAGTTCCTAAACTGTAATTGGTTAGGTTAGTATGTGCTTTTTTGTTAAACTAGTATACTCTCCTATAAACATGTTTAAATCATAAAATGAAGCTCAATAATAGTACATCTAGAAACATGTGAATTCTATATTTATTACTTGTTGCCACTACATTGTGATCATGTCTTTGTTACACTTGGAATTGTTATTAGTGCAGTTTAGAGTGATCAGATTGCCTCCAAGAATGCTATGCACGAGGGTTGCCTATTGTCTCAATTTGTGGGGATGCAAAGTTCATTTTTCACAAATTTCTAGCTCGAGTCCAATGGGAGAGTTCATTTCAAGTCATAGGTCGTGTTAATAACAAGGCAGCTCATTTGGTGGTTCGTATTGCTCTATTTTTATCGTCCGGATGTTAGTGGGATTCGACTTATTTTCTGTCACAAAAGACAATTTATATCGTATCTATGCTCGAAATGATTGAACTGAAAAAAAAAAAAAAAAAAACAAGCAACATCTTCAAGCCTATGCTTTGTTTGGTTTGCTAACAAAGAAAATGGAATATATAGCTTAACCTTGTAAATGAATAAAAATAAAAAACCAAAACCAACTTAGTAATCATGAAGCAATAAAAAAGCAGTGATTTTTACTTCAGAACTTAAATTAGGCGAAGTTACCAGAAAGTAAGCCATCATCACAAATGAATTGCCCAAACTGTGATATGTCAACCTCGAAGTTTCCCACCCACTGTTCTCAGAGTGACAACGACGACAAAAGCAAAAAAAGAGGGCGAAAGGGTTCATCGTGGACATCCAAAACTTTAAACACCCATCAATTATCATTCTCCTCCTTTTCCATCTGTCCTCCTTCCTCTCAAGTTCCAAACTTTCCCATATCCTGGTTTCTTCACTACTGACGTCCTAAGCCCTACTCTTCTCTTTCCTTCGATTCCAAGTATTGGAATCGGTCATCTTTTCTTGATCAAAAAGTTCGAACTTTTTCCACGTCTGATCATCATCATCAGTTGTTTCAGTGATCAGAGGGTTCCCCCTTCCCCATGCCAACTCCTTACAAGCTCAGAGCTTAATAACATGGGGTGGATGAAGCAGGACGGCGGTGGAGCGGTGGCGGTGGTGTTGCTTTTAGCGGCGGTGGATGTTGTCCATGGAGTTGGGGTGAATTGGGGGACACAGGCGACTCACCCTTTGCCGCCTGCAACTGTGGTGAGGATGTTGAAGGACAACGGAATCCAGAAGGTGAAGCTGTTTGATACAAACTCATCTGCACTCAACGCCCTTCGAGGGTCTGGGATTCAGGTCATGGTCGGGATTCCCAATGATATGCTGGAGGCTCTCTCTCGAAGTAAGCAAGCTGCTGAAAACTGGGTTGCAAAGAATCTCTCTTCCCATCTCTCCAATGGCGTCGACATCAGGTAAACTCACCATCTGTTTCCTTCTCTATGCCTTTTCAATTGTGAGAAAAACAGAGAGCGTCAGAAAACAAGGAATTCGTGGTTATGGTTGTAGAATTTGACAATCTAGGCTTTAAGTACTGTTAATAAATTGAATCTTCCAGCAAATAGAGCAGAATTCCAAACAGATTATTTTGAGGTTGCATCTGACTCTGTATCTAAAAAAAGGTATGTAGCAGTTGGGAACGAAGCATTTCTAAAAGCTCTGAATGGAACTTACATGGGATCAACGCTTCCTGCTCTTCAAAACATCCAGTCAGCCATATCCAAAGCCGGGCTAACCAGCCGGGTTAAAGTCACGACCCCACTCAACGCAGACGTTTATCAGAGCCTTTCAAACCGGCCGTCCGATGCAGACTTCCGATCAGACATCCACGACCTCATGATGTCGATCGTCAAGTTCCTGAGTGACAATGGATCCCCCTTCACAGTCAACATCTACCCGTTCATAAGTCTCTACTCCGACCCGAGCTTCCCGGTTGAGTTTGCATTCTTCGACACCAACAGCACTTCCTCCTCTGGTGCTGCTGCTCCTATTGATGATGGAGGGACAATCTACACCAACGTCTTTGACGCGAACCACGACACCCTTGTTCGCGCCCTGCAGAAAAATGGGTACGGTAACTTGTCCATCATCATTGGAGAGATCGGGTGGCCTACTGATGGAGACCGGAATGCAAACCTCAACTATGCTCAGCGGTTCAACCAAGGTTTCATGACCCGTGTCAATTCAGGGCAGGGAACTCCATTGAGGCCAGGACCTGTGGATGCTTATCTTTTCAGTCTAGTAGATGAAGATGCAAAGAGCATCGAGCCGGGCAACTTCGAGCGTCACTGGGGGATGTTTTACTTCGATGGACAACCGAAGTACCAACTTCAGCTCGGGGCAGCCAATTCAAATGGTCTAGTGCCAGCCAAAGGCGTTCAGTATCTGCCTAAAAAATGGTGTGTGATGTCCCAAGGCGCAAGCCTTGATAACCCGGAAGTTGCACCGAGCGTGAGCTATGCTTGTGCTAATGCAGACTGCACGAGCTTGGGGTACGGGACATCATGCTCGAATCTGGACCCGAAGCAGAACATATCTTATGCTTACAATGACTACTATCAGCAGAACGACCAGCTGGAAACTGCGTGCAAGTTCCCGAATGGTCTCTCGACTGTGGTGGCTCAGGACCCTTCAGTTGGAGAATGCAGGTTCAGGGTAATGATACAAATGGACCCAGAAACGTGGTCATCCGACTCTGATTCGACTTACTCGATCAACCATGCTCCTCTTGGCTCTGCAATCTCTATGTTTGTTGTGTTTGTGCTAATGTTGATATGAGTCTCTTATTGTACAAAAAGATACCGTCTATAGACTCTACTCCTACATCTTGATATCTCTAAGGGAGGCATCTCCTTATTCCAATGTAATCAAAGTTCTTGAGGGAAGAATTTGATATATTACCAGGTTATGGGCAATTCAAGCGGAAGATTGACGGCCTTTGGAGAGAAGGATGGTGGAGTAAAGGTTGATCACATCTTGGTACTGGAGAACAGGCCTTGCTTCCGGAGTCCTTTAAGTTAAAGGAAATGTCCAACTTGGGAGCAGAAATTGAGATCTCGTCTCCTGGGTTTCGTCAATTCAGGAGCGGTAATCAATCCCCAAATCGACGAGAACATCCACGCTCGTGATTCCGCGTTCTGCAGCTGGGGAGCGGCGGAGATCAGCAGACTGCCGCCCTCATCGCCGGAATCTATTGTCATGACTGAGAGCGTGGTCGGTCTTAGGGTTTGCAGGTGCCGGTGCGGCCGGGGGGAGGGCCAGGCAGGAATGAGATGAATCATGAATGGCTTGTCGTTGAAGACGAAGTGAGAAGAGAACGGGGTTCCATCGCCGGGAGACGGCGGCGGTTTCTGTGTCGTTGGCGAGAGAAAGGATGTGGTTGAGAACTTCATCGAGTAGCCTACTGAATGCGCGTCTGCTTCGGATTCTTCTGTAATCCCGGCAGGTTCTTCGTGTCGCGTCGCCATTTATTCACTTGTTTTGGGATTTGGGATGCGGTGATCGCATTTGCTCCAGCCGAACCCGGAGCAGGTGTTTAACTAACGTCAAAGGCAAAAGGGCACGGCTGAATACAAGCATACATTTTTTGCCCAAATAAAATCCCCAGAAACAGTAAAGTGGGTTCGTTCGGCCAGCCCGTTGGACTGGTAGTGATTGACGGCACTATAGATGGCAATGGGTCGGGTTGGGGCGGGTTTTGTCAAACCCAAACCCATGGGTTTATCCGCCAAAAAAACTCGGGGTAAAACCCGTTGGGTTTGAAAAGCTCAAACCCAACCCAACCCGCTGGGTATCCGCGGGTTCATGGATACCTGTGGGTTTTTCTAGTAAAAATTTTACAATAACAAGTTTGTTTCAAAATAAAAGTTTAACATCAGTTTTCTCATACAAAAAACACCAATATAGAGCATACAAGCAAACCGCAAATGATCAATACAAATTGTTCAAAATTAAAGATAAACATCTATAAACAATAAGATTAATTGAAAGCTTCTTCCTCGTCAATTAAGTTTCTTCATTCTTCACTTCATAATATCAACTTCATTCTAAACAATTAGAAAGAACAAATTATACATGACTCCACAAAGATAAAGAATATTAGTTGTTTAAGGAAGATATATTATTTAGAATATTAAATATACCGGGAAAGTAATAATATGTGTGTGGGCGGGTACCCATGGGGCGGGTTTACCTAAACCCAAACCCAACCCGACCCGGTGAATAGTGTAGCGGGTTTAAACCCGAACCCGACCCAAAACCCGTCAACACGGGTTTTACCCGCATTGACCGGGTTGGGTCGGGTGGGTACCCGTGGGTTCGGGTTTTGTTGCCATCCCTAGACGGCACTGCTGGTCTCCAAACTCTTTGTATAACTGCTCGTAAATAAAAAAAATATCGGACTAGTATAAATTTTAACAAAAGCCAGAATGTGTTTTTATATTCTGAAAAAGAATAAAAAATAGGCTTGGTAAATTGCTCAACAAATTTGTATATCTTACTAGACAATAGTTCACGAACTGATCGCATATGGATTTCTAACTTTGTTCTTGATGTAACTCAAAGTTGAAAAGACTCTTACAACACTTGTTGTGTAACCATAAAATCAATTCAAATTAAGGGTAGCCCGTAATTAGTTTAATTGTTAGGTTTCGGAAATACTCGGGGATAAGGAATAACTTTTTACTATTATGTAGTGTTTAAAATAGAACAACAAATGAGTTGCAACTTAATGGAGGACAATGTTTAAAAAATATAGTATATCCTAAGTTTGAATAACACAGACTATCGCTTATTTTTTTAAGTATACGCAAACTACTACTGAGAATAAGATTATCGTTGTAGGGGTGTCCCGAATCGCTAATTATATTTTTTTTATCCATACAAAACTACTACCGGAGGTTGAATAATCGTACTCCCAAATTTTAGGGGTGTCCCGGACACCCCTAAACCCTCATGTATCCGCCCCTGGTTGTGGTGTATGGGGCTAGGCCTCACGGACGTTAGGTTTGAAGGTGACGCTAAAGTAATCATCGACAAGATCAATCGAAGTGACCATAGAGATAACCGGATGGGTGTTGTTGTTGAGGAGCTTGTGCATTATTTTCGCGTCCATTCGGGGTTTAGTATTCAGTTCGTACGTCGGCGTAATAATAAGGTAGCCCATAAAATGGCTAGGAAAGTCCTATCTTTGTACCTGTTCATAAGTCGTATCTTTGATTTTCAGACCTGGCTGAATTCCAGGATGTAACTATCGTTATTTTGAATTAATATATGATTATATTTTGTAAAAAAAAAAAAATGGTTATGCATTATGCTCCTTCCACAAGAACCAAAGTAGGACATAGCCAGCTCTTCATCTGAGTCTCGGGCCAAATCCATGGCTCTCCAAAACCACTAATCAAAAACAGTTTTAGGCCCATGGGCCATGGGCAGACCTGGCATGGCAATATGATCGATCATCTCCATTTCCGACTAGGATTAGCTTAGGGAACCGCTTACTGTTGCTATAAATCTAGCTTCCCATAACGAATCAACCCTTTAGCCGCTGCTGCACTCGCACTTGCTCTTTTACTTTTACAGGTCAAGAATACTCGCTATCCAATTCTTTGCTCGATCGGTTCTGTTTCTGTTCTGCCCCCAGTTTCCTGAATTTCCAAAATGGCGCTCCCGTCCCCGGCAATGGGGAGCGACGGGATCCTTTTCAGGACCCAATCGGGGGTGCTCGACATCGCCGACTCCGCAATCTCCGTCGCTGATCCCCGCTGCCAACGCAAGAACAAGAAGGAGAAGAAGTACTCTGCTCCTGTTCAGCCGACGAAGAAAGCGAAAGAAATCGCCAACGTGCTTCCGCTCTCTAATTCCGATGTGATGCCAGAAGCAGAACTAGGATGCAATCCGCCGCCGCCGGAATCTTCGGTGGAGAAGGAGGAGGAGGAGGAGGAGAAAATCAACGGTGGCCGCCGCCGCATTGTTGGGCTTGCAAGGGAGGAAGCACGATCGAGAAGCACCGCGTCGCTGCCGTGGAAAGAAAGTAGAGATTTCGTAATGGATGACAGGAGAAGACGACTTGTGGAGATGGCTAAGCGTTACCTGCGAAAGCACCGCCGGTCGGATCCGTCGGAAGATGCATGTTACGGCGACGGAGGCGGTGACGAAAGTCCGACAAAGAGACAGAGGCTTGGCAACTAAAGCTTCTACTACTACTACCCACGACTAGGAAGTGATCAAACTAGACTTGAATTGCACCAGCAGATCTGTGTTGTTAATGTTATCGTTTCTCTTTGTTAGTTGAGGAAGAAGATAGTGCAGAATGACTGAATTGATTTTGGGTTAATACCTTAATTTGGTCTGAATAATAGACAAACTTTCTATTTTGGTCCATGGTATCGAAAATTGCTATTATGGCCTAAACTATGTAGCATACTTCCTTATTTGGCTCGGAGACGGGTTTGACTATCAAATTAGACGGTCAATCGAGTCGACCGTTAGTCAAGGTCCACATCAATTGCTATATCAGCTCGGTTGACCGTCTAATTTGACTATCAACTTTAGTAAAATTGTCATGACTTCAATCATAACTTACTCAATAACATATACCCTATACACTGAACCATTACCCTCAATCGACAATATAAGTTAGTATATGTTGTTGATCGTATACAATAAACCATCAATACATTATACACTAACCACATACGCTGTATCCTTATGATTTATGATTTTGCTATTATAGTTAATTTAAAGTGACATTCATATTTTGATTTTCAGAACATAAATTAAAAATAGATCTTTGCTATATGCTAACCACATACCATATACACTGACTATATATCTTTATGAGTTATGATTTTGCTACTATAGTTAATTTGAAGTGACATAAATACTTTTATTTTCAAAATATAGATTAGAAAGGATCTCTGCTATATCCTAACCACATACCCTAACCATATATCTTTGTGAGTTATGATTTTGCTACTATAATTAATTTAAAGTGAAATTCGTCTCTACCCATCCCATACATGTGCGAGTAATACTCGTCCTGATTCTTGTTTAATGCGAGACGAGTATGGGTATTGAGGTACTCACCCCGCCCTATTGCCATCACTAGCCAGATCCATAGCTCTCTTAAACCATTTATCAGGTAGGGATGATAATTTGAACCCGCTTCGCCGAGTATTTCCCGACCTGCAGTAGCGTGGGGTAGGACATGAGTTACTACTTCTGACTTGCCCTGTCTCGCCCCAATGAAAATTTAAATAGGTGCAATACTTTATCTTTCAATTATTCATTCTATAATCACTATTTTTCATTCATAAAGTGTTTTTTTTTGTTTTATTATAAAAGAAATTTTTTCGTTTATTTTCTTCAAAAAATATGTAAGAATGAGTCGACCCACCACATTCTGCATTCACGTAAATATTATCCGACCCGACCCACACTTAATACAAGACGAATATGAATATTGAGATACCCGCCCGCTTCGCCCCGTTTACCATCCATAGTCTTAAGGTCATGGGCAAGACCTGGCATGGCATTATGATCGAGTAGCTGCATCTCCCTTGTATAAGTTACATCACTTAGTTGGCCACCACAACTATATTTTCCGCCAAGTCAGAAAGAGAAATTAAGTGGCCACTGCAGCAATCCTTTTCCGAGTAGGATTAGCTTAGGAATAATACCCATCCTTCCAGGATTAGGAAACCGCTTAGTGTTGCCTATAAATCTAGTTTCCCATAACTAAATCAACCCTTTAGTCGCTGCTGCTCTAGCACTTTTACTTTCACAGTTCAAGAACATCCGCTTTGCCAATTCATTGCTCGATCGGTTCTGTTCTGTTCTGCACCCACGAATTTCCAAGAATGGCGCTCCCTTGCCCAGCAATGGGTAGCGACGGGGTCGTTTTCAGGACCCTATCGGGAGTGTTCGACATCACCGACTCCGCCCTCTCCGTCGCTGATCCCCGCTGCCAACGCAAGAACAAGAAGGGGAAGAAGTACTCTGCTGCTCCTGTTCAGCCGACTACGACTAAGAACGCGAAACAAATTTCCGCCAATTGGGATCGCCGTCGGGTCAATAGTGAGGTCAAAGTGCTTCCGCCCTCGAATTCCGATGTGATTGTTGTAGCAGAATCAGGACGCAATCCGCCGCCGGAATCTTCGTTGGAGAAGGAGGAGGAGAAAATCGATGGTGGATGCCGCATTCCAGGGCTCGCGATGGAAGAAGCAGGATCGGGAGGCACCGCGTCCCTGCCGCGGAAAGCAACGAGCGGTTTCGTAATGGACGACAGGAGAAGAAGACTTGTGGAGATGGCTAATCGTTACCTGCGAAAGCACCGACCGTCGGATGATGCGTGGTACGGCGGCGGCGACGACGAAAGTCCGACAAAGAGGCAGAGGCTTGACAACTAAAGCGTCTACTACTACCCACAACTACGAACAACACCAGGAGATTTGTGCTGTTATTGTTTCTCTTTTTTTAGTTGAGGGAAGAAGATGTGCAAACTGACTGAAATTGATTATTTCGTTCATTTGGGTTCATAAAACTAAAAGTAAAGTCCTTTTTCGTATGTTGCTGTATTTGGAATAGGTTTGTTCTTCCTTTTGATGGTAAACAGAGCTGCAATGGTCTTATACCGATTGAAAGTCCAAACCTGTAAATTGTAATCATGGATGCATAATCCCTAATCGTATGCAACAGCCTATGTAAAATTCGATGATCGCGGAAAGAAAAATAAACACAAGACGCAGATTTTACGTGGTTTCCCCGTTCAGATTGAACGGGATTAGTCCATGAAGAGTTTTGGCTCTCGGCTGTTTTCTTATTTCTGTTCTTTCTTCCTTATTGTTCTCGGCAGCCCTAGCCGACTACTAATATACAAAACCCAACCCTTTCCACAAGTCACGTAGGGTTGGATCAATGATAAAAGTAAAATAACAAAATAGTCATCAAATATAAATTATCAGATAAGATACACCGCAACACTCCCCCTCAAGTGAAGGAGTGAATGTCGAGAAGTCCGAGCTTGTCGAAGAGATGATGAAACTGCTCCACACTCAATCCCTTCGTAAACAAGTCAGCCGGCTGATCAGAAGTAGCAATTTTACGAGGCTCGATGTCACCAGACTGGACACGCTCCCGAACAAAATAACAATCCATCTCGACATGTTTGGTGCACTCGTGAAAAACTGGGTTGGCAGCAATGTGTAATGCGGCCTGATTATCACAGAACAGAGTAGTGGGACCTGTCGAAACAACTCCCAAATCGCGAAGGAGCCAACGAAGCCAAAGTACCTCACTAACCGTGCTAGCTATAGCACGATACTCAGCCTCTGCAGAAGAACGAGATACAACTGTATGTTTCTTAGTACGCCAAGAGATGGGAGATGAGCCAAGCATGATGAAATAACCTATGGTGGAGCGTCGTGTGACAGGACAACCACCCCAGTCGGCATCACAAAATGTTGTGAGAGTAAGCGAGGAAGACTGTGGGAAAAAAAGGCCACGCCCAGGAGAAGCTTTAAGATATCGTAGTACACGAATCGCTGCATCCTCATGAGCTTTGGTGGGTGCCTGCATAGCCTGACTGAGAATGTTAACAGCATATGTGATATCGGGCCGAGTAACGGTCAAGTAGAGAAGACGGCCAACCAGCCGACAATAGGCGCTGACATTCTCGGCAGGAGGAGAAGGTAGATGACTTGTGGAGATGGATAAGCGTTACCTGCGAAAGCACCGCCGGTCGAATCTGTCGGAAGATGCATGTTAAGGCGACGGAGGCGGTGACGAAAGTCCGACAAAGAGGCAGAGGCTTGGCAACTAAAGCTTCTACTACTACCCACGACTAGGAAGTGATCAAACTAGACTTGAATTGCACCAGCAGATTTGTGTTGTTAATGTTATTGTTTCTCTTTGTTAGTTGAGGAAGAAGATGTGCAGAATGACTGAATTGATTCTTAGGTTAATACCTTAATTTGGCCCGAATTATAGAAAAACTTTCTATTTCGGCCCGTGGTATCGAAAATTGCTATTATGGCCTAAACTATGTAACATACTTCCTTATTTGGCTCGGAGACGGGTTTGACTATCAAATTAGACGGTCAACCGAGTCGACCGTTAGTCAAGGTCCACATCACTTGCTATGTCAGCTCGGTTGACCGTCTAATTTGACTATCAAATTTAGTAAAATTGTCATGACTTCAATCATAACTTACTCAATAACATATACCCTATACACTAAACCCTTACCCTTAATCGACAATATAAGTTAGTATATGTTGTTGATCGTATACAATAAACCATCAATATATTATACACTAACCACATACGCTGTATCCTTATGATTTATGATTTTGCTACTATAGTTAATTTAAAGTGACATTCATACTTTGATTTTCAGAACATAGATTAAAACGGGATCTTTGCTATATGCTAACCACATACCATATACACTGACCATATATCTTTATGAGTTGATTTTGCTACTATAGTTAATTTGAAGTGACATAAATACTTTTATTTTCAAAATATAGATTAAAAAGGATCTCTGCTATATCCTAACCACATACCCTAACCATATATCTGTGTGAGTTATGATTTTGCTACTATAATTAATTTAAAGTAAAATTCGTCTCTACCCGTCCCATACATGTGCGAGTAATACTCGTCCTGATTCTCGTTTAATGCGAGATGAGTATGGGTATTGAGGTACTCACCCCACCCTATTGCCATCACTAGCCAGATCCATAGCTCTCTTAAACCATTTATCAGGTAGGGATGACAATTTGAACCCTCTACGCCGAGTATTTCCCGACCCGCAGTAGCGTGGGGTAGGACATGAATTACTACTTCTAACTTGCCCCGTCTCGCTCGCCTTATTCTTTACCCGTCCTATCTCAATTTTCTTCAATATATATTTATATTTTTCTTATTCCAATCATAGTTTCACCCCAATGAAAATTTAAATAGGTGCAATACTTGATCTTTCAATTATTCATTCTATCATCACTATTTTTCATTCATAAAGTGTTTTTTCTGTTTAATTATAAAAGAAATTTTTTCGTTTATTTTCTTCAAAAAATATGTAAGAATGAGTCGACCCATCACATTCTGCATTCACGTAAATATTATCCAACCCGACCCACACTTAATACAAGACGAATATGAATATTGAGATATCCGCTTCACCCGTTTACAATCCCTAGTCTTAGGTCATGGGCAAGACCTGGCATGGCATTATGATCGAGTATCTGCATCTACCTTGTATAAGTTACATCACTTAGTTGGCCACCACAACTATATTTTCCGCCAAGTCAGAAAGAGAAATTAAGTGTCCACTGCAGCAATCCTTTTCCGAGTAGGATTAGCTTTAGGAATACCCATCCTTCCAGGATTAGGAAACCGCTTAGTGTTGCCTATAAATCTAGTTTCCCATAGCGAAATCAAACCTTTAGCCGCTGCTGCTCTATCACTTCACTTGCACTTTTACTTTCAGGACATCCGCTTTGCCAAATTCATTGCTCGATCGGTTCTGTTCTGTTCTGCCCCAACGAATTTCCAAGAATGGCGCTCCCTTGCCCAGCAATGGGTAGCGACGGGCTCGTTTTCAGGACCCAATCGGGAGTGTTCGACATCACCGACTCCGCCATCTCCGTCGCTGATCCCCGCTGCCAACGCAAGAACAAGAAGGAGAAGAAGTACTCTGCTCCTCCTGTTCAGCCGACTACGTCTAAGAACGCGAAACAAATTTCCGCCAATTGGGATCGCCGTCGGGTCAATAGTGAGGTCAAAGTGCTTCCGCCCTCGAATTCCGATGTGATTGCTGTAGCGGAATCAGGACGCAATCTGCCGCCGGAATCTTCGTTGGAGAAGGAGGAGGAGAAAATCGACGGTGGCCGCCGCATTCCAGGGCTCGCGATGGAAGAAGCAGGATCGGGAGGCACCGCGTCCCTGCCGCGGAAAGCAACGAGCGGTTTCGTAATGGACGACAGGAGAAGAAGACTTGTGGAGATGGCTAAGCGTTACCTGAGAAAGCACCGCCGGTCGGATGATGCGTGTTACGGCGGCGGCGACGGCGACGACGAAAGTCCGACAAAGAGGCAGAGGCTTGGCAACTAAAGCTTCTACTACTACTACCCACAACTACGAACAACACCAGGAGATTTGTGTTGTTATTGTTTCTCTTTTTTAGTTGAGGGAAGAAGATGTGCAAACTGCAAACTGACTGAAATTGACTATTTCGTTCATTTGGGTTCATAAAACTAAAAGTAAAGTCCTTTTTCGTATGTTGCTCTGTATTTGGAATAGGTTTGTTCTTCCTTTTGATGGTAAACAGAGCTGAAATGGTATGCAACAGCCTATACTTGAAAGCATTGTGATGCAATGATGTATAATAGTGTGGACGAAACTAAACTATAATAAAGAGGAACCAATAAAATTATGAGGTAGCGGCAAAATCATTTTGACCACCTGCAAAGAATTTAACCAATACAAATATGATTAATTAGGGTTTAATGGTTTGCGGCTCAATAGTTAATCGTTATACAATTGCTAGTGAATTGTGAATATTGGGGGCACGAGCTCAGGTGTTTGATTAGTCTTTTTTTTTATAATTTCCATTTTCATAATCAGGTCATATAACTTTCATTCTAACTCGGAATTTAAAATATTTTGCATAGAAAATAAATTATTTATGATCTACACAATAATGTTCTTTCATATTTTATCAACGAAATATTTGATGATATCATTACCACCGTCATGGCGTCATACCATGATCTTACCTGATATTGAAATGAATGTCTTCATGTAATTTTACACTATGATAATACTTCATTTTCTCACCACTACCATACACATCATACCACTCAATGTAGTAAAAACGGGTCTTAAAATAAAAGAAGGCACACGTTTTTACGTTTCAGACTAGGCAAAACGCTTCATTTTCTATATAAAAACCTTATCATGTGCAAAGATTTTAGAAAAAAGCATTAAAAAACGGTAAAAACACTAAAAATGGTATAAGAAAAACGTGTTTATGATATGTTTTTGTAAGTTTCCCGTTGAAAGAGTTTCAACCAATTTCATACCCTCCCTGCCCGGTATTGTCTCCCAACAAACCAGCAATCAGAGCATCAATCCCTACGGTCAAATCGACCCACAACGAGTCTTCAATCTGTCCTCAAATTTTGAGTACGATCCAGCGGCTGGTTTTTCCGAAATCCTCCCTGAAACCAAATACCGAGCTAGAGGAAAACAGGTCACACCCTGTCTGACCAACAACATTTTTCAATGAACCAAAGATCATAACGGCGATCCCAATGGTGAGATCGGATCTTAAAAAGTATGGAACGCGTCATTCAAATTTTAGGATGATCCAATGGCCGGTTTTTTGGAATTTCCTCTTGAACTCACTGCCTTGCTACAAAAAGAAAATTCTACAGCTCCTCTATTCCTCTTATCCTTTCATTCTTATTTCCTTCTCAATTTCTACGCTCTAATTCCCCCTAAATTTTATAGTTCCTTCAAGGATTTATGTTGATTCAAAATTTAAAACTCGTCCAAATATTGGGATGACGTCACCTTGATTGGAGCATGACATATGTCATGTTCAAAAGGGACAAGGATGTTACAACACAACTTTATCAAGTCATTACTTTGTTGTTTGATGTGCGACTTAAGTGATTAAAATTTACTAATAATTTGATTTCTCACGTTCTATGGATGAAGATCCTCTTAATAAAAGAAGCCTCAGTAATCATGTTTAATTTGACATCTAGATAATAACAAAACGGTCGATAATGAGGTGTAGTTGATTGATTTTACTTTTTTATGAATGAAGAAGTCTCATTATTTCCTTATTGCATTGTTGGTTTAGTTGTACGTTTACTGCACTATTAAAAGTTTGTCAAATTAGATTATCTGCATGAGCAGTGACCTTTTTAAATGAGAGAATTAGTTTGTTGAAGATTAATCATATTATATTCAAAAACTTAAGCTTTTACTTTTTACATCTTTACTCATATTTCGGCTTTTGCGTAAAAGTGCGCATTTGACTACATTGATACCACTCTGATAAGACTTCATAATACTATATTACCACTATTATACCATATCTTACCATTATGGTAAGACTGCACAATACCATCATACGATTATCATGAGATGACGGTGGTAAGTTGACATGAAAATGTTTTGCCAAAAAAATATAAAAATGAATGTCATCTTGTAGAGCAGAAACAAATCGATTTTTCTATGCAAATATTTTGAAATTTAAGTTAAAATGATAGAGATATTGTTTGCGAAAAGTTCGTAATAGACTCAAAATTTCTATAACTATCACCCGTGGAAATTTGCACTAACCGTAATACATGGAATTTTGTAGCTGAAAGAAAGAAATTATCACATTGAGTTTGGAGGAATGGAAGAGCGCTTCGGAAAACTAGGAGTGGCTGGAAAACTCTAGGAAAAGCGTTATATGGTTTTGAGCTTTCTCCAAGTCGACGATGGGCACGTCGCTGGCTGGAGGGGTTTTAACAGCTCCATGCTTGCAACAATGGTTGCTGGGCTGCGCCGGCCACCCAAGGAGTCCTCATCGCCGAAACCTAACGGCGATCGAGAATCCAACAAACAAAGAAACGGGAAAAAGGTGTTGTTCCCTGATGGTGGGGTGCGAGATGAAGTCTTGGAGGATTCACAGGGAGATGGAGGCAAGACCCCCCCCCCCCCTCACGCTAGCCCTTTTCGCAGATTCTGCCTCTAAAGACGTTGCTGAAGCTATGCGACAAGATGGTCTAGAGGAAGGTTTTGATGGAGAAGAGGACCCCACGTGCCCCCATATATACTTTAAAGCCGGCGAGGAGATGTTGTTTGGCAAGAAATGGAGGTCGACTCCTATAGTAAGAGTTTAGGGCGGTCTGTCTCCGAGTTATTTTTGCGAAGAATGGTTACTTCTTGGTGAGATTTACTAGTGGCGTGGATTAAAAAAGAGTAGTTTCGCGTGGCCCTTGGATGGTAGGGAACTACTACCTCAATGTACATCCATGGGCTAGAGACTTCAATGCTTATGAGCACAAAACATCGTCGACCCTAGTCTAGGATTGCCTTCTCGACATTCCGATTCAATACTTCCATCCAGTGACATTCATGAAGATTGGGAGTCGTATTGGGAAACCATGCGAGTGGATAATGCAATGAGTACGGGTGCTAGAAGTGATTATGAGAGGATATGTGCTGAAGTGGATATTACTGAGCCTTTACTATCAAAATTTACTCTCCATGGAAATAATTATTTTATTTAATTAGAAGGTTTGTAAAACATTTGCATGAAGTATGGTACGCATGCTGAATGGGGCAATTACTCATGCACAAAGTCGGCGGTGGACATAGAGGCAAAGCCCTCTCCAAATCAAGATAATCCTAGCACAACGGAAGCACAGGATCCTAATACACCGAAGGAACCAAGAGAGGCTTATGGGGAATGGATGAGGGCAAAGAGGAAACCGAGAGTGAGGAGGGCAACGACAGTGAATGATTTGGGTCGGGAGGGAACTGTGCGGGCAAACAAAACACAAGAATCAAATACTGGATCACGTTTTAATGTACTAAACATAGACGGGACAGAGGGCAGACTAGGGACATTATCCTATAACAGAATTCCCACCAAGCTGTTAATCATGCAGTTGTGCAACCACCGAGAGATAACCTAGGGAAGAACAAACAAAAAAGTACACCAACAAAGATCCATCCATGCAAACTCTATTGTTCATCACATAAACTGTGAGAGTCCCATGCAACACGCTACAGAGTCACAACAACTAGGAGAAGGAAGTGCAATAGTCCCAAAATCCAAAGTTACAGCTCGCACTACTGTGAATCTCCACCAATAAGGAACCATGTCTCCACCGACCCAAGACAATTCGGATGTTATTCCATTAACGGAACCCGCCCGATTTAGTGGATCAAAAAAGCTCTTCCAAGATGGATGGTTGCCAAACTAGACAACCAAATGTATTGAACCTACCCAATTCTACAACAGCTCCACTGACAACATTCAACCCTCATGAGAAGGCACGGGTACTCACCCATGAGATAAAATAAGGGAGCTTTGGGTGTGAGGCATCTCCCATGCATATATGATCATTTCATTCGCGGAAGCCGTGTTCCAATCTCTATTGTTTAAGATAATGTTAAACATCTTCTCATGGAAGTGCAGGGGTGGGGTGGGGTGGGGTGGGGGGCAGGATTCCTCTGAGTATTTAAAGAGTATAAGAGGAAATACAGACCGTGTATTGATATCATGGTAGAACCGATGACTAGTGGTGAAAAAGCTGAGAAGGTCTTGTAGGAAATGGGTTTTGATAGATGGCTAGTTGTTGATGCAGTAGGCTATGCGAGGTGAATCTGGCTGACTTGGAACTCATCTGCTGTTACGATCACAGAGGCGGATAGGTCGTACCAATTTATCCATGTAAAGGTTCAGAGCAGACAAGAAATTTGGTTCTTGAAGATGGTTTATGCGAACCCGACCCTCACGAATATTGCAGAGGAGATGGTGGACCCTTGGGATCCTCATAGGAGATTTCAACTCAATCCTGCAACCATCTGACAAGCTAGGTGGCGCCTTGTTCAATGCTAGCCGTGATCGGTAATTCCAAGATTGTGTTCTAGACTCGGGGCTTACTGATCTAGGCTTCATGGGTTCATCATTCATGTGGTTCCGGACAGGGATTAAGGTGAGTCCTGACTGAGGGCTTGTTAACTCGTTGTGGTCTTCCCTTTTCCTTTATACAGTAGTTTGTCATTTGTCGAAGGTTAAGACTTAAGAGTGATCACATACCACTATTATTGTCTCTAAATCCAGTTTTTCCAACTCGCGGGTCCTAAACCTTTCAAATTTCTAGCAGCGTAGCTGTTGCACGAATATTGTAAAGCCATGGTGGAGCGAGCATCGGGGGGGGGGGGGGGGGGGGGTGGGGGGGGGGGGGAGCACCGATGTACTTAGCTCATTCAGGAGTTCACCCGTGAAGCCAGAGTTTGGAATTCTCATACCCTGGGAATTATTATACGCAAGAAAAATGGCCTCCTAGCCAAAATTGAGATACTTGAACTGCAAACAAGTACTGATGGTGATAACACTGTGTTGCGGCACACGAGCGATGAGCTGAAGGAGATCTTATTATAGGAGGAGCTCCTTTGGTGCCAGAATTCGAACCTAGAATGGATTACCTCAGGTCAGAGGAACTCCAAATATTTCCACTCCAGGACCATGAAACGGAGATGGAGGAACATAGTTGCCATTTAGCAGGAAAGTGATGGTCAATGGGTGGACGATACGATCAGTTTGTTAGATATGGCTCGCCATTTCTTCACTTCTCTCTACATGGATGACGGGCTCCTAGTTAGCACGATCCAAGGTGCCTTCCCCTCTATTCCAAACCACTTATGACCAAGGATTAAAATACTGTACCGTACCGGCGGTTCGACCTGAAAAACCTCCTACCGGAAGTAAATCCGGTAAGCGGTATTTAGCGGTATTTAGCGGTATAATACAGTATTTAGCGGTATAATACGAGAATTAAGGATATTCATGTAACTGTTATTGCCCTTGTTCCTTAGTTGCAAAGGTCAACATTAATTGAGAATTTTCGCCCCATCAGTCTCTGTAATGTGGTATATAAGATTATCACCAAATGCCTCGCAGGACTGAAGCCATTCATGCCTTCGCTAGTGCATGAGACCCAGACAAGCTTTGTGCCAGGAGACATATTACTAATAACATTTTTATTTTGCAGCAAGTAGTCCATTCAATGAGGGTGAAAAAGGTCATGACGGGCTAGATGGTGCTTAAGATTGATTTACGAAGGCCTACGACCGTATCAAATGAAGTTTTGTGAGAGATACTGTGGAAGCTACAGGTGATTCCCCGAGCTTCATTGACATTACTGTGAGCTGCCTCATGATGACATCCATTTAGATTCAATGGAATGGGGACTTACCGATGAGTTTATTCCCTCAAGAGGGTTTCGACAAGGATGCCCCTCTCTCCATACCATTTCATGCTCTATATGGAGCGGTTGGGGCACATTATTAGTGTAACAGTCGAGGAGGGCAAATGGAAGCCGGTTAAGCTGTCTCACAAGGGACCTCTATTGTTCCATCTTTTCTCGAAGACTTGGAGGCTGCTTCGGGGCAACAAGTTAGCAGACCTAAGTCGCGAGTATTTTTCTCTAAGAATGTCTCGGCGACGGATTGCAGAAGTAGGAGTGATGCTCTTCATATCCAGGAAACCATGAACCTTGGTCGGTATTTGAGAGTCCCGGTAATCCACGATCGAATTTCAAAGGCGACATATGTGGACCGTATTGACAGGATTGATCCTAGACTGGCTAGCTGAAAAGTAGCATCTATGTCCTTGGCGGCGCGTATAACATTAGTTCAGTCTGTACTAGCGACTTTATCGGCATACACGATGCAAACCTCCTTCTTACCAGCTGCTATGCGAGAGTGCATTGATAAGAAGATTCGGGGATTCATCTGAGGCATGTCGAAGCAGGGAAGGAAGATTCATTTGGTCGATTGGAACATTGTGTAGACCTAAATCGGAAGGAGGTCTGGGTTTTCACAGTGCAACTAGGATGAATGAAGCCTTTATGCTGAAGATAGCTTGGTGTTTACTCACGAAGCAGACAACCTCTGGTCTAGGGTGATTAATGCCAAGTACCTGCACCAAAAAGCGGATGGATGGAGCCCTCGAACAACATGACGAATTTCTAATCTTTTGAGGGGAGTGCTTCAGGTGCTTCACCTGCTGCCAAAGGGTATTATATGGAATGTGAAGAACGAGATGCGAACCCATTTATGGATTGATGTTTGGCTCCAGGATGGCCCTCATATGATTGATTTGGTGCAAAATATCATTGAAGCATCTCAGAATGTAGTGGTTGCTGAAATGATGCTTAATGGGAATTGGAATATAGAGTATGTCAGAGCTTTTTTACTGGAAGCAGTTGTGATTGATAACACCAAACTTGGTGTGTTATTTACCCTACACATATAGGTATGCTTTGTGCCAATTCACGTGCTTAAATGTTTGAACATTGTCAAATACATCCCTATTGTGTTTGTATTTGAGTTTGATATGATTTTAGGGTGTATTAGTCTATATGTGCGAAACAACAAGGATTGAAGAGATATCACTTAAAAGATGATGACTATTTCTCTATTTATATAATATACGACATGATTTAGCCTATTTCACACGTAAGTTGAGTCAATTCACTTATACACATATTGATGCACGTATGCATTCGACTAAATGGGTTCTATGCTATCCTAAGAGTATTCCTGATCAAGGAGTTTTCTTTCCAAAGCATTGCACTATTTAATTGCACTCCTTCTGTCATAGTGACTGGGCAGGTTTTACTAATATACGTCGGTCCACTGTTGGTATTTGTGTGACGCTAGAAAATTAGTTAATTATTTGAAGGTTGGACAAAAGAAAGATTGTTTCTCTATCCTTTGTTGAGGCATAATATTGAGTCATGTGACGTCAAATGTAGTGTCTACCAAATTTACTTGGTCCTAAGACCAGGATTGTATTCCCTCATACCTCTCGCAAAACCCTTACTTCGGAAGTGAGGTACTCTATTAAAGCAAAAATAATCATCAAACTTGTATCTAGGATCTAGAATTGTAGCAACTTCCATCATTCCATGAATGATATCCCAATAATAATCAAACTTCTCCAACATTCGTGTTGCCATATTTGCAATATATGTATCAGGAGATAACACCCATTGATTCAAAGAAACCTTTATCTCACAAACTTTGGGTCAAAAAATATTGGCAGTTGGATAGGTAGAACTTGAAAACACTTATGTGATGTTGTAAAACAACTTCAACTTCTTACAAATCTTTTCTGCCATAATCTACTCATCTTCACTTGGCACGATAGTATAACCTGAATCTCGTAGTCTCAACCAAGGAAAAACCTCTTTGTAAACCAAGGCAGTAGAAAGCAAAGTAGAATTCCAACGAGTGCTACAATCAAGAGCCAATTCTTTTGATTCAATGTGTCTTTCACTCGCCAATAAAGTGAAATTTTGTCGTCTTTTTGGCGAAGCAATCCAATAGACAACACTATCACGCACTTTCTCAATACAAGTCTCGATCATTGATAATCCCTCATGAACTGTTAAGTTTATGATATGTGTTGCACATCTCATATGAAAAAGAAAACCACCCAAGAGAAGTGAACTCGCTTGTAGCTTCTCTCCTAGAAGGGATCTAACCATTGCATCATTAGTATTACAATTATCTAGAGAGGTGGCCGATAGCTTGCTATCGATGTTCCATGTAGTCATACACTAAAAAACTACATTACCGAGCACAACTTTTGTATGAGGAGAGAGAACATAGCAAAATCTCAAAACTCAATTATGGAGACTCCATGAATCATCAATGTAGTGTGCAGTAACAACCATAAACCCACGTTTATTGTTGTTTGAGGTCCACATGTCTATTGTAATGGCTACTCTACTACGGTTTCTCTCTAACTCCATCATAACATGAGTCCTCCCTTCCTTATAGATCTTCAAGATGTCACTTCTAACTGTGTTTCTTGAAATCATTTTGAATGCAGGTTGAAGAGAGCTTACAAACTTTCTTACTTGTTATAGTAAGGAAGAAAGACGGCTTACAGGCCAAAGTGCCAGTTCCCGCACTCCAGAAGCAAGCCAAATTGAAAAAAGAATCGAATATTAATTGATAAAATAATTTACTCCAAAGTCTGCGGCTCCTGGTGCAACAACAAGCACCTGAAACCCATAGGCTAAGGCGTTTCTTATATAATTAATTAAAAAACCTTTCGCGCAGCTCAAGCTGACTTACTAGAAGATTATTAAATCCTGCGACATCTATTGAAATGCTTAGATCATCAGCCACAGTAAACGAATCTTAGTATTATTATTAATAATATGATATCAGATTGCTTGCTGCTTATAGATCAATGCTGAGATTAGACCATTCACAAGAATCCTTCTTTTCGTCGGTTTATCATATGTTCGACCGTAGGGAGAAGAGCGAAGGGTGTCTGTCAAGTACTGGATATCCCTGTAATTCTACCGATGGGGAGAGAAAAAGCACAGAGGGTAGGAAGCACAGAGGTTCTGTCTTAGGGGCGAGGTACACCAACATAATTAACCACAACAAGTGGAAACTCGTGCAAGATAATCATGTTAGCAAGATCCCTTCTACTATTCTCTTGGTCAAAGATACATGGACTCGAACTTCTACTAGCACCTAACTTCTTTCTCAACAAGTTATACAAGTGCTTAATCTTAAGACATCTTCGCGAGTGCTTGTCTAAATGAGTAGCTCCATGCACAGCTGAAAGCATTTTCTTGCAATGTTGACATTGAGCCTTTAACTCTCCCCTAAACAATACTTTCTTAAGGCCTTTCCATACATGAGACCTCAATTGTTTACTGCCATTAGAAACTACTGTAGGAGCTTCACTATTGCTTTCACCAGAATCTGAATGAGAATTTTCAGGAACCTCAGATAATTCAATGGTTTCATCTATTTCTGAAGCCATTTTCACTTAACCTGAACAACATAACATACCAATATTACCACTAGTTTATAGACATATGAATAAAGGGATGCATTTCTAATCTAAGAAGCAACTTGCAGTTTCATAAGACACATCAAAGATAGCCAGAGAAACAATTACGAACTCAAACTGAAAAAAGAGAACCCACATCATGAATTAAACAACTTAACATATATATCATAGCGGCATATCCATAGGCTTCCGTTGCGAAAATGCAAATTCTATCTTCTGTGAATAGAAGTACCTGTAAGAGATTAGCAATAGTCTCAACAGTGGCTGTCTTGTTAATCCTAGCGACTCAGTCTCAGCGCATCCGCGAAGCTTCCTCTCGCCGTCGCCAACCCATATTCAATTCCCGACACAACCCGGCGCCAACCGACTGAACCAACGCAAACCCATAACCAAAGATGAGACAAGTAAACAAAACCCAGATGAACGAAATCTTAGAGAGCGAGATACAAGGGAAAAGCAGAACCGAGCAAACAGAGAGGGGACAAGATCTAGAAGAGAAGAAGAGGGGGGGGGGACCTGGAGACTGAGACCAACACGAGAAGAGTGAGAGGTGGGTTTCTTTTTCTTTCTGTCCTTGTCCTTGTTTTCAGTTTCTGAATGTGGGTTTAGCGTTTCCAGATAATCCACATCCTCAGAATTCAATGGTGGGGAAAAGGAGAAGTTGGCGGCGTCGGGGCAGATTGTCGCTGATCGATAATCGAGATTGCAGGTCGGTGGCGTCTTCGGGGCCGATAGTTGCTGATCGAGAATCGGGATGCAAGCGGGCAGCGGCGTCGGGATACGATGGTTTAGGTTATTAGGTCGAACTGACCATGGATGAAAAGACCCGTTTGGGTCATGTTTGAGCTTTTTTTTAATTAATTTTCTGGGCTTATCTTGGACCCAATTTAATTGGATGGGTATGGGTCTGCTCCAAAACAAAAAAACCCAAAACCTAATTTGACCCAAAATCTATTGGGTTTGGGTAAAACCCAGACCCTAAGACCCATTTGACATGCCTAAGTAAATCTACACTACTATAGAAGTGTGAGAGCAGAGAAGGAAAGTGCTTTCGATACGGAGCAGCTTGAACACAAGATCAAATACACCCAATTCATTATCATACCGTTAATATATAATTTATTAGGTGACTACTTCTATTGACATGTATTTATGTTCAGAGTTAAATATGAGTTGATTGTTAATTGTAAACGTTATGGATTGAAAACGTTATGGATTGAAGAATTTCATAATTTTTTCTCACGTACTGATATTGTATGTTATATTGGTTAATCCAATTAATCAAATCGATTAAACTTTAGTTTGCTTAATTTCATTGGTTTGTCTAAGATATTATACTCTATAGTTAATAGAAGATACAAGCCCGGATACGGTGGATGAAGGATTCGTAGGTTTCTGTTTTGTTGTTGAACACTTGATCGTTCCTGATCCGCCAGAGGGACAAGCAAATCATACCAAAGCTAAGATCAAACTTGCTTTGCTGAATGTGTCCCAAGATCCAATCATGACCGAAGAACCTCTGGTGGTCAGAAAGCTTGATGAAATGCATCCATATTAACCTGGAAAATGGACAGTCCCGCAACACATGCATGACCATTTCTGGTTCGTTGTTACAGGGGTGCAGGTACGATGGTTGCTGATGTGGCGCCGTACTCGCTCCTCGTTCGTCATCTGTCTATTCTGCCCACAAGAACGGAGGTTGAGATCTCTTGGAAGCCGCCACCTCTAGAGTGGGTTACTCTCAATTCCGACGGCTCAGTTCTTCCTCATACAGGTCACACCGGTGCGGGTGGCCTGCTTAGAGATCATAATGGACTCTGTTTAGCGGCGTTCACTTGCAACCTAGGTATTTGTCCATCATCCAGGCACAATTGAGAGGCGCGGTTAAAGGATTACAGGTGGCTTGGAATCTTGGTCACCGCCGTGTTCGAGTCGAGATTGACACAAGGAGTGCACTCCAGCTATTGATGGACCGATCCCGCAGCAACCATCATCACGCGACTATTGTCTCACGCTTCATGGAGCTGCTTGACCAAGTCTGGGAGGTCCCTATCTCCCACATTCACCGCGAGGACAACAATTGTGCGGATTATTTAGCTAGCTATGGCCATTGTATGCCTCCGGGCACCCATCCTGTTCCTGTTATGATCCGATACTTAATTATTTCCTGTTGTAGGAGTGTCAAGCGATCTCCGAGCCCCGTTTGGTGTTGAATGAAAACTAAGATGCTATGCATCTGTTTACATAAAAAAAATTATCATAGGAACCATTTGAAGTCACTAATTTTGTATCGCGGAATAGATGAAAAAACCAATAAAAAATTGTTATCGAACTAATATATTCTCAAAAATAAGTTTGCCCCTTTTAACTTTTCCGGTTGGCAGATGAGACGAGCCGACGCGGCATACATTCAAAATCAAGCTACCGGCGAAGTTTCTAGTTCTAGAGGAGCACCATATATTCTATTATTCTAGGAGGGAAGGAAAAACGAAATAACAATAGGCCTTTTGCGCGTACAAAAGTTAAAGTAGTCCCCCGAAGCGGAAGGAAAACAAATCAAAAACAAAAACAATACATTCAGTAATTATAAAAAGAAAATCAAAACCAAAATCTTTCCCAAAAATCGAAGTCGGATCTCTCGCTCTTTTCCACCACTTCACCCCGACCGCCACCGGGTTTCTCCCACTTTCACGGTACTTTCTCCTCTTCTTTCCATTTCCCCCTCCGCCCGCCTGATTTTTCTCTGCCGTCGCCTCCTTCGCCGGAGAGATCTGGACTGCTACTTCAAAGCAAGGGGAGCTTTCTTGTGCTGCCGCCGGCGGCACGATCCGTTTCCTTTCCTGTACTTTCTTCCGCGTTTTCTGTGATCTTGTTGGTTCCTCCGTCGTTCCCGCCTTATCCGTCGGTCTCTGTTCCTACGTGTGATTGTTCCTGTTGTTAATTCAATTTTGCCAGTCGAGAATCAGGCCACCGGAATTACGACCTGCAGGAGGAGGGGCGATCGGAGAGGGTGAATAACAATGGCGGAGGAGAAGCCGAGCAGCAAGGTGGAGAGTGAGTCCAAGGAGACGGTTAATGCCGCTGCCGATAAGAAGAAGCGCAAGGGGATTGTGTCTAGGGTTTGGAATTCTATTTTTAGACTACACGGCGGCGATGATTTTGAGAAGCGGCTGAAATACATTTCCAAGGAGGAAGCTGCTGTGTTAACCAGAATGAAGAAGCGTTCTCTCACTTGGAGGAAGATGACCAGGAACCTTATTGCCTTCTCTGTTCTATTCGAGGTTCTTCCTTCATTTCTCTCTCGTTCTTTTCAACGCCTGTCACTTCCGTTTTTTCAGCTTTCCCTTCTTATGGTTGTGAAATGTGACTCTTCTCATAATTCAGGTAATTGCGGTGGGCTATGCTATCATGACTACAAGAACAGAGGATTTGGATTGGAAGATGAGAGCATTTCGCGTTATGCCGATGTTTCTCTTGCCGGCTTTCTCCTCTATTGCTTACTCTGGTTTTGTGAACTTCACAAAGATGTGTAAGTGTTTTAACCCATTCCCCTGGAACATTTCTTCAATGTAATCGGTGGGTTCTTTTGACTGTCAGAGCTTTAGGAATCTAGTTGTAATGAGAATACTTGGAGACTGTAATCCTGACTAAGCTGAACTCATTGTTGCTGAACTCAACAGTTGCATAGTTAAGATTCTTTATGGTACTTCATGAGTTCATATGAGTCCTTTTTTTTGGTGGATCATATGAGTCATTTAATCGGTGAAATTTTCACGTGGCGTTCAAGTCTAGGACAATTGATTGATCTCTGCCGACTTTTTCTTGTCAGATCAGACTGCTTCTTGATGAGATTGTTTTGGTCTGGACTTCCAATCCTCTGATCATTTGGATGCTGCTGTATACATGTTGTGATTGTGGATCTGTGTATGTTTCTATTCTGAATCGTCCCATGCTTTACTACCTATAAAGAATTTGAAATATATGGGTCACAGATGAATGAGCTTGTGCTGTATGAAGCAGTGTTGTTTGATTACAGTGTGGGGATATTAGTCACCGTGTATAAGAACCTCATAGGTAAATCTTTCAGCTACTCTTTGAAGTGGCGAATGGAAAATTATGACGGAATTTAAGACGGAATTAGTTTACCAATCCCACTCTAGTAAGGGAGCTTCACTATGTGAAAATAGACACAATAGGTACTGAAATTTCGTTATCCAAATGCTTATTTTGCCTTTATGCATCTTTTGATGACTGAAATCTGTCGCTGACTGTTCTTTTAATGACTGAAGTGAAATATGTCTATGTTTTTTCTTGACTGGCATAAACTGCTTTTATACTTCTCAGGTAACTATTCTGAAAATTATGTTCATTCATGCCATAGTTTATTAAGTCCAGTCTGGCATTTGATTGGTGATCGGTCAAGTAATGTGTTTGTGCTAACTTAAACCGTATCTACTTGCATTCATCACATTTTTTATTTCAAGATGGCTCCTTGAAAGATCATTTGTGTTTAGTTGTTGTTGTCTTGTTGATACTCTATTTTCTGGTTGGCGACTGGGTCTCTCGTGTGGCTGTTTCTGTATCTTCTGATTTCGTTTCTCTATATTAAGATGGAATTCTCAATCATTAATCAAGTTCTCTTTGGTTCAATCATACAGGTGACCGCAGGGACCAGAAAACACTAGAGAAGCTTCGGGCTGAAAGGCAACAAAAAATTGATGAGCTGAAAGAGAAGACAAATTATTACACCACCCAGCAACTCATTCAGGTAGTCTGGACAAGTTCTACTTCAATTGGCCATGTTTGCTCTATGAGTTATTAAGAACTTTTCAATTGTTTAAGTTTTCCCTTTGATTATATGTATTGTTGATGATCTGAAGATTTACTTTGAATCTTGACGAGCTACCTATTTTCTCTTTCCTGTATGGTGGATTTTTGTTTTGTCTCTTATTATTAGTTTTGAGTTTGCTTTAGGTTAAATCATTAGCTTGACTATTTGTGGGGGGAAAAAAAAGATCATTAGCTTGAATGACTGGTTATTTCCTCTTCATTGTTGTTGGCCTTGGATTTCAATAATTATTTAAATTGGAGATTGTTACGTAGCCAATTTCAGGTCGACTAGAAACAAAGAACCAGCTCCAAGGACTTTGTGCAATAAGCCAATAACCAGTTTGTAGATTTTCTGGAAGTTGTTTAATCATCAACTTGAGTTAATTTTATGATGCTTGTCGACGAGATAGTGTAGTGTAGAACTAGAACGCCCTTTATCTGGAGTGGGATAGTATAGCAACTTCTGATGTCTCGTAGCTGTATGAACTTAGGAGAAGAAAACTGCTATACACTTCCTCTCTGATAATCTGATATGAATAGTTTTCATAAAATTTGTTCTCATCAAGAAGGCCCGTAAGTTTTTGCCTTAGCTTGAGTGTGATTTCATATATTATTCTTGTTTTTTTTTTCCTTCTTTCCAGAGATATGATACAGATCCAGCAGCAAAGGCTGCAGCTGCAAGTGTCCTGGCATCTAAGCTGGGTGCTGAATCAGGGTTGAAGTTGTATGTTGGCGAAGAATCTGGTTTTACCGAATCCACAGCAAAAAGCAGTGATGCTGAGCTTGTTCAATCAAGCGGTCTTCGACACAGAAAACAAGGACAAGCCAGATCCAGAAGTGCGGGGAGCACTCCGGTGCATCCTTCCAATGACAATACACCACGATCCATGCTAAGTGAAGGCCCCATTTCTGAGCAAGAACTGGTTGTTGTCGAGCATCACAACCCCCAGGCAGCTCCTGTGAGTGATGGGGGATGGATTGCTCGGTTGGCTGCGTTATTGGTAGGCGAGGATCCGGCTCATTCTTTTGCACTGATATGTGGCAACTGCCATATGCACAATGGTGAGTACTTCATGCAACTCCTTGTTGGTATCTGTATCCGCTCTTTTTTCCCCCTAAAGTTTTATTGTTTAGCAAAAACAAACACACCCATCGAGAAATTCTGAAGAAGAACGTTTCTCTGATGCTGTAATTTCTTTTCCTGTAGGGCTTGCTAGGAAAGAGGATTTCCCATACATTACTTACTACTGCCCGCACTGTCACGCCCTCAATCAGCCGAAGCAATCAGGGACTGTTTCTGGTCTCAGTACCCCTAACCTGAATAGTTTGAAACCTGGAGGAACAGTTATAATTGAAGAAGTCATTGACGAAGCTATTCATCCAGACTCTCCTACAACAGAAAGTGTGGTTACGAGCAACAGTGCTGTTAAAGGTGGTGCCGCCCCTGAGATTCAGGAACTAGCTGGAAAGGCAGCCGCTGATGAATCGGCTAGCTGAAGATTCGGATGTACATTGTGAATGGAGGTCAGATTTTGTTTTGCTATGACCATCTCTCTCTCTCTTTCTCTCTCTTGTGGGATAACTTGACCTTGAGTGCTGAACATGTAATATGCCTGGCTTGTGTAATGGAACAACTCTTGAGCTTTTCTTTTGTGAATTGCTTTAGTACGTTATGACATTCAAGTCTATACACATACACAGAAATAGGTGGACGTGGTTCTGTATTTTGGTATCTTCGTTCGTCTCCTTTGGATCGATGCTCTGGCGTCTATACATGTCCAGCTGCTTCTGAAGAACGTTCCATTCGGCTTGTGCAGTATTACCTTCTCTGGAAGTTGAATCTTCCCATAAAATACGCGAAAAGAGAAGCGAAGGCAAGCGGGAAAGCAATGAGAACAGCAGCTACCAGACCCAACCGATCATGGTCGAATCCAAAGTAACTCTTCAGGAACCCAGCAACGGTCTCGGTTTCCCCAAAAACCGTCAGCTCCTTGTGTATGTCTCCGTATTGTGAAGTCAGCAGTCCATTGAGGGACCAAGAAGTTGGGGTCAAGTAATAAAGCCATATCCACCATTTTGGTATCCTCTGCAACCATACACCGAAAATGTACCCATTTTTATCAGTCCTGTAGAAGCCGAAAGAATGGTCTTTGGAGTTCGGTAAGGCTTGACTTACCGGTCGAGGAATCAGGAACCCGGCGAAGAGGTTGTAGTTAGCGTAGAAAACAGATTGGAAGATGGCAGCGAACATGAAGTTTGGTGTCAGCGACACAAGCAACATCCCCAAATAGTTGAAGTACATCAGCGAAGTGAAGATGGCATAGAAGAACCAGAAAGCCTTTGTTCCTGACGAGTAGTATCCGATCATCGGATATGTGATTGCTGTGAATACTAGAGCTTGTGCAAACAGATACGGGATTTCCACAGCAACCTGTGACATGGATTTGCTGGCAATGTCAGATGTTTAATTTTCATCGAACAAAACTGAGCTAAGCAGGACTTCAATGCTTGTTCATGTTTTCTTGTTATACCTGTGCAAACGAGAACGACCAAGTGGAGTACATCCCTGCAAACCGCTCCCTGTACATCACGGTTCGCTCTGTCGCGACATATTGGAGCACCGACGAGCAGTTGTTTATCCCCAGGAAGATCACCCCAATGTACATCGAACCAAACATGTTGAACAAATTCTGCTGGTTGTTTCTGGCATCCGAACAAATATAAAGGAAGAGGAACATGAGATGGTTAGTAGCAATGTTGAAACCTCTAGTGTGCAAGGAAAAAGGTTTTTACTTACATTTTCTGGCCTTGGTCCCAGAACAACAACCCAAAGATCAGAGCCGAAGCAAATGTATGGAGCAGTCGCATTAAGTTATACCCAGGGCTCCTCCAATAAGATAAGTGTTGTTTCCACAGGCAAGCTTTGAATTGGCCCCACCCGTTCTGCGAGAATTCGGTAGTGAAGTGGAGATCTCTTGAGCCGGGAGGTGGGCTGCTCATTCTACTCACTTTCTCCTTGTTAGTTCTGCAGAAGTAAGAAGCAACCAGGTTAGTATTTGTGTAATGTCTGATAAGTACAATGGCAATGCTGGCATAAAATTTTGGAACTCACTCGAAGAGGGTTGATTGCTTGTATAACAAGGCAAAATCAACTCCAAGTTTAGCCTCTGAAGATTCCGAAGTAACTTCCAACATCCATGTTGCAGGATTATAGTTTCTTTTGATCTTTGGAATCCCTTCAATTCCCTGTGTTGAGGTAGATAATAAGATCAATTATGAGCTCATCAATGGAGGGTGATAGATAAACAAGAACAAAAGGAAAAGCAATGATGTAGCAGAAACCTCAAAGTACTCTATCACACTACTTGAGTGGTGCCCCATTGGTCCAGAGTATATGATCCTTCCACCGGCTTTTAATAGAATGAGCTGAAAAAGGAGAATGCAGAAATTTTCATGCAAATTATTATGGTGGTATGAAAATCGTTTCTTTTCCCTAGGGTTGTTTCTGGTTTACCTCATCAAAGGACTCGAATATGTCAATGCTCGGCTGATGGATGGTGCAAACAATTGTCCTCCCGGTATCGACAATGTTTTTAACTGCTCTCATCACAATTGCAGCAGATCTTGCATCCAATCCTGTTGTGGGTTCATCCATGAATATGACTGATGGATTGGCCACGAGCTCCACGGCTATGGTCAGTCGTTTTCTCTGCTCGGTTGATAGACCATTTACCCCAGGGATCCCAACCAAAGCATCCTTTACCCCCTCAAGCTCTATGGTCTCTATCACCTCATTCACAAACTCCTGGAAAACATCAAATGAATTTATCAAGTAAAAACCAAACAATAACATTTGAAAATGATATCTGTAATCTTAGTAGTGTTGCCTCTTGATCTAACTTACAGCTTTAGTTTTGGAGTCTATCTCGGGTGACAGCCGCATCCAGGCAGAGAATATAACTGATTCCTCCACTGTTATCTGGGGAGAATGGATATCAGTCTGCTCACAGTAACCAGAAACCCTAGCAAATGTTTCTTGAACTTTAGGGTACCCTCCAATCTTGATCTGTCCCTCAATGTAGCCACTGGTTTTCCTGCCTGCAAGAACATCCAAAAGGGTCGTCTTTCCAGCACCACTCACCCCCATCATTGCTGTAAGTACTCCAGGACTTAATGCCCCAGAGATATCAGAAAGAAGTTGAAGTCTTGGGCTAGTGAATCCCCTTTCTCTCATTTCCTGTTGGAAAGATGGAGGATGAATAAAAAAGGTTGTTGGCTGCAAATATATAAGAATGAATCTCCAAGAGTTGTTATTTTTCAAAGGGCAATAGATTGAATTACCATGGGAGTGTCAACAAAGTACTGAACATCTTCAAAAACAACTGTCAGTGGTGTGAAAGGTAAGGCCATTCTATCTGTTTTCAATGCCATTGAAAGAACACATTAATTACCTTACTGCTTCCTGAAAGCTCTAGTTAAGAAAAATGTAGAGTATCATTCATACTTTATACCTTTACTTGACTGGATAGTTGGTTCTGGATATTTCAATGCTGTGCCATTTCTAGAATCCTCACCATTACTTCCCTGGATTTTGGACAGCTTTTCTTGAGATATAATTGGATGAGATGACGCGCCTGGAGCTGTAGTTTCATATCATTGTCCAAATTCAGTAAGGAATTCTCAGTGATTGGTGAAGCCTGAAGGATTGAGAATCTAAAAGAAAATAACTTGCAGGAGTGCCTACATTTTAGGTAACTCAAAGCCAAGACATAACCAATGTTGAACAACAACGTGAATCCAAACAAGGCTCCAACTGAAACCCAATAGAGATCGGCTTGGAAGTTAAGTCCTCGGCTCTCAAGGATGGAATTTCCTATAGTCATGTTCCCAGATGCCATCTGTTAACAAAAGAGATACACCAATCCAGGAGTACAGGTTAGCAGATGATCATTTGGCTAGAATGGTAAGGAATGGAGATCAATCCATGGCATGAGAAGTGAGGTACAGATACTTTATTTTGCCATCTCGGGGCGAGAAACTCGTTCAAACTTAGGCTTATCTCTCCATATGTGACAGGGGAAATCCAGAATACCCATTTCATCCAAATGGGCATGGATGCTGCAACACAACAAGCAAATCTTCATGCTGTTCACAGGACTTATGGTGAATCTAAATGTAGAAAGAAATGACCACGACAAACGAGTCTCTTACGCTTTGCAATCACGAAGCCACTAAACATCAACAAGAACAGTATGGCAAAGCTACCAGCAGCCATGGAAACAACATGAGTCTGGTAGACCGAGGCTATAAATCGAAAGAGGGATACCGAACTCAAATGCACACCGAAAAGTATAAGAAAGTGGCGAAAGAACCTGCAACAAGGGTGAGCACAAACATCAGTCCAATTCGAGATTCGTAAAAGGAACTTCAAGTGCAAACCACTAACTGAAAAGCTCCATCACCTCACAGCTTCTGGGCTATAACCAATGACATAGTAAGTGAGACACGTCCAAACCAGAGATTCCAGCAACGAAATGGGGATTTTGAGGAGACTTGCAGGGATTGCATAAGCCCAAGCCGGATAGAAGTACAAGTCCTTTTGCTTGTGGAACACTTCAAGCCTTTGGATAGTCATGGGCAGCTCAGGTATCCCATCTGTAACCAATATAATAAGGGCATAGAACAAGGAACCCATGTAGAGATTCGCATGGACAACATCGACATCCATCCGGGTTCGTAGAAACAAAGTCATTGCAATCACGGCAGTGATCACGAGCTGGACTGTTTTGAATACATAGGTGAATGAATTCCTTCTCATGAGAAGCCATTCCCTTGCGGAGCAAGCCCTGAGGAGCTCCCACTTGGAAAGTGAGTATCTGTTGAAAGATATTGCAGTGTCATTGGTTTGTGACTTGGTGTCATAAGGCACTGCAAGCTCTTCATCCAGCTTCTTTCCATAAGTAGATGCCTTGAACTTGTTGCAGAATGCTTCAACCGAGACATAACTGTGAGGGACATGTTGTGTGCTATCCCAGTACTGTGACTGGTCTTTCTCAGAAATGACCTCTTGGATGAAATCTGCAACGCCTTTTCTCTCAGGGCACTTGAAGCCACAGTCCATGAAGAAGTCGAGGACATGTTGGCGCGGACCATGGTACACGATCCTGCCTTCTGCCATCAGAATCAAGTCGTCGAAGAGCACGAACGTCTCGGGGGCTGGCTGGAGAAGCGAGACCAGAACCGTGGCATCTGTGATGTGGACCATTTGTTGCAGACAGGAAACGATTCGAAACGCGGTGGAGCTGTCTAAGCCGTTTGTGATTTCGTCCATGAATAGAGCTCTTGTTGGACCAACCATCATCTCCCCTGCAAGCACATACATTCCCAACTTGCTCAAGTAATCACTTGTGTAAGTGTTAAAATGATGAATTTGCAGTTGCAGTAGACCCCATGGGATGAATGTTCTAAATGGATCATGTACCATGTTCTAAATCCGTTCCTAACCTTCTTTCAACAGCTCGAATTATCGTCAAGAAACACATTGTTATCTATATATACCTGTAGTGAGTCTTTTCTTCTGACCACCTGAGATGCCCCTTCTCATGACATCACCAACTAGTGTATCAGCACAGATGTCAAGTCCAAGGATCTGGTCATTGCAAAACATCAAAATTTCCGCTTATGGTCCTAAAGGATAAACATATATTTTTGGTTTGGCTTGAAAAGAAAGAGTATTTCACCTTTAATATGTAATCCGTCTGGAGATTTGATCTTAACCCTTCCACTGAAATGGCCTGCAAAACAAAGACAACAAAAATGAGATACAGGGTTCTTGTTCATCAATCCCAGAAGTCTAAGAACCTGTAACTTGGCAAAGAAGCGAAATATTCTGAAGTTGCTTGAAGAACCCAATAAAAGGATCACCTTCATGTAAGTGTCGATATCAGGATCAGGGACAATCCCAGCTTGCTTCTCTCTTCTGCTTACTTCCTCCATCATCTCTTCAGAACATGTGGCCAAAATCACCATCTCTTTTAGTGTACATTCATTGATCATAATTAAGCAACTGATAGTTAAGCTTCATACATGTGTAAACATTTGTACATAGATGATGTTGTTTACCTAGGCGAATTCCGACGCCCTGACAGCGAGCCGAGAAATCGAGAATCTCCCTCACAGTCATCTCAGGGATGTGCTCATCATGTTGACTGATGTAAGCTGAAGTCTTCTGAGGCACAAACTCATCCAGCTTGTACCCATTGTAACAAACCTCACCATGAACCTGAGGATGTTTTGATTTACGATATCAAACTATTGATTAGCCATTAATCCTTCAAAATTAATTTGGGTTGATCGAGAGCTGTGACTGACAACCTTGAGAGAAGGGCTGAGATTCCCTGACAAAGCCTTTAGGAGGGAAGTCTTCCCACAGCCAGGCGGTCCCAGCAACAGAGTTAACCTGCAAACAAACCCTACTTATAATTTATGGTGTGTGCCAAATTATTAATTCATTTCCCAATTTTTGAGCTCTAACACATTTGTTTTGTTTTTTATTTTTTATGAGGGGACCGCCAATTTTGTTTGATACTCAGGAGAGATTAGAATCTGTAATCCTCATATTAAAGATTAGTGGTATTACTATTATAAAAAAAAAAAAACTCTTTCTACGTTGCTAATATTTCTAAAAGCTCATACGATAATCTGATAAATAACTTAATTTTTTTTGGTAAATTAAGAGAATAAATAACTTTTTTTTATCAAATATAAAATTAAGAGCAGAAGTACATATTTATAGATATAAAACTAATTCATTTTCTCCTTTTTCTTCTAATTATCCTCTCCCTAAACCTAAATCAGTTTGCCTACTTAAATATGTACAAGTTGTATTTGTATTATAACGTTAAAGGTATAAGTTCAACTTGTATCATAGAGATTTTTGTACAAAAATATAAATTAAATTCTACACTACAATGTTAAATATACACATTTATTATTATCTTTTGAATTGAAAGCAACGATATCATCCGTTCAACCAGGGGCGGATACATGAGGGTTTAGGGGTGTCCCGGGACACCCCTAAAATTTGGGAATACGATTATTCAACTCCCAGTAATAGTTTTCGTATGGATAAAAAAATTATAATTAGTGATTCGGGACACCCCTACAACGATAATCCTATCCTCAGTAGTAGTTTGTGTATACTTAAAAAAATAAGCGATAATCTGTGTTATTCAAACTTAGGATATACTATATTATTTAAACATTGTCCTCCATTAAGTTGCAACTCATTTGTTGTTCTATTTTAAACACTACATAATAGTAAAAAGATATTCCTTATCCCCAACTTTTCCAAAACCTAACAATTAAACTAATTACGGGCTACCCTTAATTAGCTCTTAATTTGAATTGATTTTATGGTTACACAACAAGTGTTGAAAGAGTCTCAACTTTGAGTTACATCAATAACAAGGTTAGAAATCCATATGCGATCAATTCGTGAACTATTGTATAGTGGGATATATAGATTTGTTGAGCAATTTACCAAGCCTATTTGTTATTCTTTTTCAGAAAATAAAAACACGTCCTGGCCTTATGTTAAAATTTGTACTAGTCCGATATTTTTTTATTTATGAATTATTTATTTTATTTTAATTTTTTTTGAACAGGACACCCCTATTAAAAAATTCTAGATCCGCCACTGCGTTCAACTCCGCATATTGTTAATACGAAAGATAATAAATATAAAATACATATATAATGTGCAGTATTATGTTATATTTAATAATGTACCAGACATGTGTCATGCCATTCAGTGCCTACCTTCCAGGCTTAATAACGCCACTAACATTGTGGATGATTTGAAGTTCTGCTTTCTGTGGCTCGAAGAATGGCAACTTCGCCGCAAAGTCCTTGTAGAATAAGGAGTATGATTAATTAGCCAGATCATATTAGTATCAATATCACAATTAACTTAAAAATTAGCCACAAATAATACCAATGTTAAATAATTTAAACTGGTGGTGACAACACATAGATTTATAAATAGGGAATAATTCTCGACTTACAGACACTTCTCCAAGCAGCGTATTCCACAGCGTTGGAAGTGGTTTTCCGTTGACCACCTTGCACTCTGCTTCCACCCCAACGTTTCTGAACCTCACCTCCACCCTCTCCAACCTCACCCCAACTCTGCGATAAAACGAAAATCGACTCACAAACTTGAAGTTTGCACATATATCTTTCACAGCATGTATTTTAAGACAACGAACACACGTATCTTTAAAAACAAACCAGCTATGATACTACTGTGTTATAATCATAAAACCAATTGATCGCTATAAATCGATTTTTTTTTACGAGAAAGAAATGGAAAGAGAGAGCTTATTACTTGTCTACTCTGTTCCTAATCTTCTGCAACAACCGAAGGTTGTCGTCTTCGATCCTCTGGATCAGCTTCTCCATGAACACATGCTTCTCCAGCCCGCCCAGCTTCCTCACGTCCACCACCACCGCCGCCGGCCGCCGTGACGCCGCCTCCTCCGCCGCACCCTTCCCACCACCGTGGAGGAAGAGAGAGGAGCGGAGGCGCTCGAAAGTCGGGAGCCTCTCCACCGCCGCCCACTGCAGGGCAACGTTGCTGACCTCATCCTCCGTCAACTCCACGTCATCGCAGTATCGGTCCCTCCGGAAGCTTGAAGACACGGAAGAGCTCCGGCTGTGGCGCCGGAACGAGGAGGAAGAGGAAGGAGGGCCACCCGCCGCCGCCGCCGCCGCCGCCGCCGGAAGCTGCAGTTGCCGGAGGCTTCTTCCCATTTCGGCCAACTCGATTCTGAGCGACTCAATCTCATTATCTCTGCCGACCATGTGCGCCATTCTAATTTTTTCCTTGTGGCTGGTGGTGTGTTCCAAGAGGTGAGTATCGTAGTTAATATATATTCAACTCAATAGATCCATCTCTCAGATCATATATTATGTTATGTATTTGATTAGGGTGGACTTGCCATATGTGTGTATATATATAGTAAGAAGTAGACGATATAGGAATGAGAATGGGGGAGGTTTGGGGTAGGTATCTCGATATTTATATACGTTGGCGGGTCGGGTTGGGTTCAAGTCGAGAAATTTATTATTGGGGCACGAGTCGGAGCAGGTCGATAGAATGAGTAAGTAATTCATATGGAAAACACTAGAAATATTCGTTATTTTCATTACAAAACCAAGAAACAAACCATAAAATGTACTTAAATTATTGAAAGAACTTGAAGTTTTCACTGATTTACAATTTTATTATAGCTAAAATATGATGTAATAAAAGAAAAATTCTAAGTAATTTGATTAAATTTAAATATAATTTAAACAAGAATGGATAAATAAAAAAAATGAGACGGGTTAGTATACGTCGGATCGATGAGAATATCCATGTCCATCCCATCTCAATCAAAACATGTCAAGCAGGTCGGGCAAACGAAATGTCTATGTTTTTTAAATAAAATTTCTCCAGACGCTATTAATTTTGAGCTCTTTCACGAGGCAACGCGGCAGTAGGTTACGCAATGCAGTGCTCCCCAATGCAGTGTCCGATCCTTTCTGGGCTGTCTTTTTTTGGTGGGAAGTTCTTATCTTTGCTTACATGGAACAAATTTCTTCGTACTGCCCAAGGAAGGAAAGTTGACATTCGCTAGGGCATTTTTTAAATATATATCCGCAGTTTATTTATGACAACACAATGACCATATAAACTAATCGTTAAAAATTATGGGTTACGGGGTGAGTAGAGTAGTGGGTTGATCATGACATGAGATGATCAGATTGTGGGCTGCTAAGATCATGAGAGGTGGGTTATGGGCCGGGTTTGATTCGATTGACTCATCGTGTCATATAGTTTAATTGTAGAAGGGCAGTAGTATCTTCCTAAGCTAATTACGTATAATGACAACAAACGTTCCAGTGTCGACGTATTCCTTTCGGGTCGTCTAGATATGCAGTGCTACGTACTTTGAGTTTTACTACTATCTAGCCAATCGATCTGTTGGATTCTCGATTACTTGTAAGTTGTAAGTGTCAGCTAACAAAAGCAAATAGAAACGAAGTAAATGATGTGCTCAAAGGTTGAGAAGACACACTTGGGATGAGAATCCCCTTAGCTCTAGGTATGAATCCAATTTGCAATGAAACCTATAATGTACTCACACTAATATGGAATGATGCCAAGGGATCTAATTCTAGTAATTGAATCAATGACCTTGCATCCAAATTTCTTTTTTAGTATATAATTAATTGAATTAATCGTCAAGCATCCAATCAACCACTTAAAGCTCTAATCCCTGGAGTCCTTTAGTGGGTTGTACCCCAAACAAGTGAAATCAACAACTTTTTGGTCAAGCAATTGTAAATTTTCATCAACTTATGTGTGCTCGCCTTTACGACTTTACCTGTGCAAAAGGTCGAAGGTTTAGTGTAATTCTCACTGTTTCAAAGGGTGCGATTTGCACTCAAATTGTGAGATTCACGGTTCCAACAACACACTTGCACTTCGAGGGCATTTTCAAATCTCACGGTTTAACCGTGACTTTTGATCTAGGGGCGATTTGCAGGGACAGAGCCAGCGTTGGGGGAGGAGGGGCCATGCCCCCCCCCCCCCCCCCAAAGTTTCTAGGAGTTTAGATTCGATAGGGGTCATAGCAACTTTCAAGCAAAAATCTTTTTGTAGCCTAGTGGAGTTTGCTCTGCTATCTATTTATTATTGCCTTAAAGAGGAGAGGTCCATGGTTCATTCCATATCATAATATTTTTTCTTCTTTTAGTTCATTTTGGAATTATATACAATCTCACCAACAGAAGTTAAACAATCTTATTTTCATTTCATTTTTTCTTCTTTTAGTTCATTTTGGAATTATATACAATCTCGCCAACAGAAGTTAAACAATCTTATTTTCATTTCATTTTTTCTTCTTTTAGTTCATTTTGGAATTATATACAATCTCAAAAACAGAAGTTAAACAATCTTAATTTAATTTCTTTTAACTTCTGTTATAGCTAATTTCTCTCGAAGTATATATGTGTACTTTTTATTTAGTCATTTTACCTTGTTGTTGATAACTTTTGTTGAATTATATATGTATTTTATTATCATTTAAAAGGAGCATTTAACATTATCGTTTGTGAAAATTTGATTTCAATTTTAATGTTGTTAACTTATTGTTTGAAATATATATGCATACTCTTGAAATTTATCACTATACCATCAGTCTCTGAAAAGTCGCTTTCAAAACTTAATTTGAAATTTTATTTTCAACTTAAATACCAAAAGAATGTGTAATTTCTTCAACAAATTAGAGGTAGTCATTTGTATTATAATACTTTGTAAAATCATATGTTATTTCTACAGTGAAACTTTGTATTAACCTTGTTGTATGAACTAAATTTCTTCAATTAATTCTAATTTCTTGGGTGATTTTTCAAGAATCTACGGAGATATTTTCATTATTTTTCAGTTGAAAATTCGATTTCAGTTTTAAAGTTGTTAACTTATTGTTTGAAATATATATGCATACTCTTGAAATTTATCACTATATCATTAGTCTCTGAAAAGTTGCTTTCAAAACTTAATTTGAAATTTTATTTTCAACTTAAATACCAAAAGAATGTGTAATTTCTTCAACAAATTAGAGGTAGTCATTTGTATTATAATACTTTTTAAAATCATATGTTATTTCTACCGTGAAACTTTGTATTAACCTTGTTGTATGAACTAAATTTCTTCAAATAATTCTAATTTCTTGGGTGATTTTTCAAAAATCTACGGAGATATTTTCATTACTTTTTTTAACGCCCCCCCCCCCCCCCCCCCCCCCTTAAATCCTGGCTCCATCCCTGGCGATTTGGGACATTCCAAGGGACAAAACAACGTGTTTAGGCCGATCTCACGACTTTTGTCAATGTCACGGCCGTGACCTTTGACAGTGAACTCTGCAAACTGTAAATGACATAGAAGGGTTGCTAATATGCAGTTTTGTTGTAGTGTGAATGTGATATATACTTTCTAATAGAGAAAACATATTGATTGTGTGATATTAAAATATTAAGTTAGTTTCCATAGAAAAAATTAATTTAGGAAAAATATGGGGTATTTGATTCATATATTCATACGTGGATTTTTCCTTACAAAATGAATATCAATAGATGTCCAACGTAAAATGAAAAATATAGTCAAGAAAATATTAAAAAAAATAAATTTAATTGTCATCTATTTGATAAGGATCTTAGATGGTATAAACGACAGAGAAGGGTGTTAGTGAGCCAGATACCGGTTCATTCTCATGACGTTTACTTGCAAAGAAAGTATTGGAGACGACGAGAATTTTAATATAGCCTTTGAATGAATAAACGAATGCATTGATTCCTTCTTCTCTTTGATTGGAGGTCCAAGGATGTGAATTTATGTCATCCATGAAGTCACTGTGTGTCTAATTAATTATTAATTAGGCGATTCTTCATAATGAATAATTGCTTGCCAAGGAAGTAAGACACCCTTTTAAAATTATTAGTTAATAAAAAATAACTAGGGATCTAATTTGATACTATCTCGGGTCACAGATACGTTGCATAACTCTATGTTGCATAAGTCATAATCTTGCATAACTAAATTTGGACTTTTCATTTTAAGTGGACTCCTTATGTAAATGGTGGGAATTAATGACTTTTTATTTTTTTTTAATTTTCTTAATTAACTCTTATCCTCTTCATTTTAACTTATTTTTCAAAATTTCTATAAAAGAAATTTGAGATCGGATATCTTGGTCTCACCTCTTTTGTATTCGGTATTGAGCCGTTGAGAGATCATTCTCAATGTAAACTCAAATTCAAAAGAATTATATCGATAAGGTTTGAGTAGACTTCACATGAAAGGTTCAAAATCAAGAGAAGTGTTGTAGCTAAAGGAGATAGTTCAATCTCAACCAGTTTAGTTAATTCTCATATCGATATAGAATTTATGGTTAAGAGTATTTGACATGTATTTTGAGTGATTTTGCATGAAACACTATAAAGATTCAAACGTGTAATGCCTTTATTAAAGATGATAAAAGAATACAAGCAAACTTATTTGAGATCAGATAATTTAGAGATCATCAAGTACTCTGACTCTAATGTTGTAGGATGTCAATGCTACATGAACTCTACATTAGAATACAATTTGTGTTAGGTAGAGTTGATAGCTTGTTATGAGGCTTCCATTTATGTTCTTTCTTGAGATTTTGTCACTCGTATGACAATGACAAGTCATTAAAGATTAACATTGAAAATGTTTTGATAGTGGTACACTATCTTTACCTTAGAAATTCAGAAGTCAAAAGTTATTGACATAAAACTCCGTATGGTTAAAGATAAGCTCCAAAATAGACATGTTTCTATTGAACATTAAGGACATGACTAATGCTAGCTTACCATTAGCCAGAGGTTTGACACATAAAGTTTTTCAAGAGCACATCGCTCACATGAGTGTTATTCTGGATAATACCTTGGTTTAGTGGGAGTCATTTATGAATGTTCAATAGATTATTACTAAATCAATTTCTGCATAATAAGGTGATATCTTTTTGAAGTCTATTTTGGAATTTAAAGTGCCTTCAGGTATACAGTGGTCACATTGTATGAAGGAATTTAAGTTGATCTCGTTAAGGACTGAAGTTGGACCAGTTGAAAATAGGCATGTTCAAGATCATATTGCATGTAATTTTCATGTCACTCATCCATATTTGATCTATATCATTGAGTATATTAGTATGGTGATCATGGTGGCTTAATAATTATCATATCGTGATTAAAGCCGCGTCGCGTTGGTTCCATAATTGATACATGAGGTGGACCAGATTGTCAAGGAGTAATCGTTGTACAAATAGCATACGGTTGCGCGCCTAAAGAATTTTTTCATATAAATGTTTCAAGAAAAAAATATGCAGGCCAAGTGGGAGATTGTTAGAAAATTTTATTCCTAATTGTAATTGTGGGCCACATATTTTATATATATACAATTATATGTTAGTTATTTGGTTATTAGGTAATTGTAAGTGATCCAAATAAGGAATCCAAGACTAATGAAACTCAATATGGGCCCAATGAGTGAAACTCAATACTTGCTTACTAAGGTTTTATGGGAGCCTTGGTAAACTAAAACTAGTATATAAGGAGACTTAAAGGTTATGGTCCCCAACACACTAAGAAGCTAACACATTCTCATTTTCTCCCCTTCAGGAAGATGAGTAGCTCTCTCCTAGAGGAACTGAGACGGCTTGGTTGAGAAAGGCTGCAAAACATCTGAGATTATGCATGCTCTTGAAGGTATCGCACGGTTAAATATCGTTCTACATGTTCTACACCAAGTTCTCGACGATCTATCATCATGAATCCAGGTATTCCTACCAATAACTTTTGATAATTTGACGGGAGATGCATTTCGAGGAATTGCATATCTTATGTTTAATTCTTTCACCTAAATCCTACAAAATGTACCGTTGCATGATCTGTAATTGATGCAAGGATGTTAATGAAAATGAGAACGAGTACGGCTTCGAGAATGCTCTGGTCATTAGCATTGCAGCATCCAACTGGAAGTGGAAGGTGGAGGATGTGGGACCCTATATGGTGGATCTATGGAAGTAAGACTAGCTGTGGCCAAATTGATTTGAGAATTTTGGGAAGAGATTTGGATTCAAAGTTTTAAGGGTTTGAAGAAACCAGCTGCAGCTCTTTGAACATAACTAGCAGCAAGTCAACAAAACTGTTGAAGCTTAATTAAGGTGATGTACAATGAGCAGGAATCACATGAGGCGGAGTTAAGGATCGGACGAGGTTACAACTGAAGTTGGTTGATACAAGGTACGTACAAGGATCGTTTGTTCAGGAAGAAAAGATGATACTAGTGGGAGCTTAAGAAGTTAGGTGTGGCATATATGAGAAGAAGATAGCTCAAGAGTTGGGAAGCTAATTGGGAAGTTTGTACCACATCGGTTGTTGGAGAAAATTTTACTGCTCAACTTAATTATAAAAGGTTGGTGGGAGTTTGATAGCCAAAATGGGGAAGATTCGAATATATTTATCCCTTTATATTGGGGTGGGTAACTGATGGCTCGGTAATTGCACATGTTTTCCCCTTTGTTTCTTGATTGTTTGAGCTTGAATTATCGTGTCTTTGGCCTATTTTACGCTAGGTTGTGTTCTTTTGTCACATTTCAGGTCCTAGCACATAAAGTGAAGCATAGGCGCAAGTTTCAAATCAATCAGAGATCAATTGACGATTCGGGAGAAGAAACTCGGGCATGACCTGAAGAAGAATGGATTTCTACCTTACTTTATGGACAAATAATCATGCAAGCTTGTTATGAAAAGAAAGAGGACGAGACTACGAGCGTCTGGGATCAAACGGGGACTGATTCGGAGTCCGGACGAAGGAGAAACGAAGCATTAAATAGAGGCTGAGCAAGCCACACAGCCGTGTGGCCTGGCCGTGTGAGTCGGGAATTGCTGTTTAAAACCCGATTTTCAGCAAAAGGAAAGGGAGAGAGCTGGGTTTTGGATCCCAAACACCCAAGGGACGAACCCTAGAGAGAGAGAGCGACTTGGGAACATTCTTGGAGCTATTTTGGAGGATTTCTTCGCCATTGGAGCTCGGGAATCAAGCTTGGAGATGGAGATTGAAGATCTAGATCAGATTTCTGCAGTCTCTCTCTTCTCTATGGAGTAACTTCCCTTCACTTAGGTTTTGAGGAACCTTAGTTCCATGAGTTAGGATCTTTCTTGTATGAAGTTTTGGATGCTATATTGTTTGATTATAATCGAATGATGCATGTTTATTGAGTCAATTGAAGTCTGATCAACTTTTCCTGATTTCTGCTGCAACCTGAGATAGATAGAATCTGATTAGGTTGTTAGAGCCTCATCATTCGGTAGTAGGAGATTGGCTATACGAGAGTTAGCCAGTTTACTGCTTTGTACTGGAATCTAATTCTAGTAGTGGAGTTCTGTTCTTACTGCTTCAGCTTTCTATCCCGGTGAAGACTAGTCGTCTGCCGGATAGTCAGACTGAGAGGGCTTGGTCAGGTTAAGAGATTCCAATCTACTGTCGGATCTTTCGCAGTTTAATCAACAGTAAAACAACCAAAAGGAATTACAACCTGGACCTAATTGAGGAGCTAGGGGGAATCATACCTAAGTGAGTTCCCAAACTGTAATTAGTAGTTTTACTTATTTTAGTTAGTAGAGTAGTTTAGTTAATCAATCCTTAATCTAGTTTGCTAGATAATGAACTGGAGCTGAGTAATAGTAACTCTAGAGACCCGTGGCTTCGATATTTATTACTTGTGCCACTATACTGCAGTCCCTTTCATTGGTTACACTTGGCCATTGTTAGGTGTTGTGTTTTAGAGCATCAAGTTTTTGGCGCCGTTGCCGGGGACTTTCTAGAGTATTAGGAAAGGCAGAAGTTTGTTACTTTAGCGTTTTTCTTTTCTTTTCTTTTCCACCCTTGCTTTTCACTTGGGTGTTTTTGTTTTTGTTGGTGCAGATCTGAATCATGGATCCTAATGGCTTCTCCAATCATTGGGGGTATCCACCACCATCCGGGTGGTATTACCCCGCGACTCCCTACAGCAATCAAGGAGGAGAAGACTATGGATTCGGGTTCCAGTACCAACCCCCTTACTACGGAGAACAATCAGACCCCTGGGCATATCAAGAACAACCTCATTACCAAGAAGACTTTCTCCCACAACCAGAAGGGCCATCGGAGCTGGAGTTACCCATGGCGGCCTTCACGGGCCACTCTGCAGAGCCATGCTACACTTCAGTGGAGGATCCGAACGAACAATTAAGGCTTCTCGTGGAGCAGGTTGCTCGAGACACTGAGAAATCATGCTCCAAGATGGATCTTCAAATCAAAGCCCTTGCCACTTCCGATCCCTCATTTCTCCATGATATGGAGGAGACTGTTCAGCGCTCAGCGAAGCAAACAGAGTGGGTGAAGCAAGTTTGCTCACATCTTGCTCAAGATCACCTTTCTGCTACCACGCTAGAAGAGGTGGAGGATGACAAAGTATATGGGAGCGGCTACACCTTTCCTCATTTATGCTCTAACATGCTGGGCCCGTGTGAGGAGATGCAAGATGATCCCATTGAAGAAATTGCTTGGCGACTTGCTCTCCAATCTGTTCTAGAAGAAGAAGAGCGAGCAAGGATGAGGAAGGAAGTTGTGGATGATGAGGAAGAAAGAAAAGAAGAGGTGGTTCTTAATCTTTTCCCAGGGGAGAGACCACATTTTGAAGAAGGAAGGGGGGTTGAGGAAGCAATTGGCGTCCAGGCTGAGGACGGAGTTAAGGTGGAAGAGGCCTGCACCGGCCATGAGTCGCAAGTAATATCCCCACCAAACTTTGAGGAACTGCTTAGCAAGGACCCATTTGCAGTGCCTCTTTGCCAGACCAAGGCCACATCAACATCGGTCCCTCTTGGTGGACGCGATGGTGGCCAATCGATGCTGTCATATCTGGTTTGGGGCAATGGGACGAGAGAAGAGAAGAAGAGGTCTCGAGGATGGAGACTTCATCTGCATCAAGTGCACGAGCTTCCATCACCAGTCATACCACATGCTCGTGACTTGTGACTCCACCTCATTGACGAGAACCTCAACTTCAAGGAGGTTCTAGAGTGGACCGAAACTTAGGATCTATCGTCCGGCTCACGACGTGAAAGAAGCGCTTGTTGGGAGGCAACCCAACCAGTCGGTTTGCATTTCTTTCTCTATTTCTCCTCGGTTGAGTCAGTTTTGTTATTTGATTTTAGAGTCAATAACTCAACCTTTGTGAGACTTTGTGTGGTGTTTGTGTTCTGATTACTCTCTCTTCCTGGAATGCACTGCCTGACCCGTACATCATCATTCACCCTTGATCTGGTAACTTCGTTCTACCCTCCTTATCTTTCCTCCATTGAGGACAATGTCGTGCTTAAGTGTGGGGGGGTGTTCGATTATGTATGCGGGTGAATGTTTGGCTGTTTGTGTGCTTGGAGCCTAGTCCACTGTCCAAATTTTTAAATTTGAGGGCTCCAAGTACGTGTTTCCTTGCAAATTGCCTGCTCAGTATGCTTTGAATTGACAGTCTCTATAGTAATGTGCAACCTAGGGAGGTAGTATAGCACTATGGAGGATGTTGAAGTATAAGATTTTTCCTATCTAGCTCTCTGTTGTGCCAGTTGATTTTGTGAATTAGTGGAGCTAAGACCGTTGAATTCAGGTGGTAATGGTGACTCTGTTTGGATTATGTTATGGACTCGTGTATCGAACAGGGTGCTCATATGGAAAATGGGAAGCAGTTGGTCCTCCATGTCAAAATCATTAGATCTTAAACATGGGGTAAGCCCAACGTGTGCGGCACCGTTCATTGCACAAAATCGGGTTTTGGAAGAGATTTTAGTGATCCTTAGTGGGGTACTCCTACAAGGTGAAGCTAAGTTGTCTCTAGTACAAGTAAAACTTCCACCCGTTGAACGGTTTGCCTACTTGAGGATGTGTTTTTAAGGGCACGGATAGAGCTTCCGACCCCCCTTAATTTCATTGACCCTCCACACGAGTTGAGGAAAAGGAGTTAAAAGAAGTACTCTGGCGAGCTCCAGATGTATAGAAATTGCTCTTGCTCGACTAATAAGGGTCGACCGTGCAAAAGACTGCAGTTGGAACCCCACCAAATGAAAGAAAAATTGTAAATGAAAGTGAGAAAAAGGGGTTCCAACGGTGAAATGAAGTGAAAGAGCACCCCGGTACAACGAATCCTTGGTTGTGAATGGTGTGAGTCCCTTTATCCATGAACTGACTGTCTTACTTCTACTTTTTCTCATGATCCTGGTTTGAGTCTAGTACTCGCATTGAGAGAGATAGGGAACGTCTTAGAAGACCAGTTGACCTCGTAAGCTGCTATATGATCTAGGAAATCCTCTACCGACGATCGGGGTTGTATGTTGCTATAGAGCTCTGGAGAGCTGCATTGGTTTGATTTAGGTTTGCTTGGGGACAAGCAAACAGTTAAGTGTGGGGGGATTTGATGACTCGGTAATTGCACATGTTTTCCCCTTTGTTTCTTGATTGCTTGAGCTTGAATTATCGTGTCTTTGGCCTATTTTACGCTAGGTTGTGTTCCTTTGTCACATTTCAGGTCCTAGAACATAAAGTGAAGCATAGGCGCAAGTTTCAAATCAATCAGAGATCAATTGACGATTCGGGAGAAGAAACTCGGGCATGACCTGAAGAAGAATGGATTTCTACCTTACTTTATGGACAAATAATCATGCAAGCTTGTTATGAAAAGAAAGAGGACGAGACTACGAGCGTCTGGGATCAAACGGGGACTGATTCGGAGTCCGGACGAGGGAGAAACGAAGCATTAAATAGAGGCTGAGCAAGCCACACGGCCGTGTGAGTCGGGAATTGCTGTTTAAAACCCGATTTTCAGTAAAAGGAAAGGGAGAGAGCTGGGTTTTGGATCCCAAACACCCAAGGGACGAACCCTAGAGAGAGAGAGCGACTTGGGAACATTCTTGGAGCTATTTTGGAGGATTTCTTCGCCATTGGAGCTCGGGAATCAAGCTTGGAGATGGAGATTGAAGTTCTAGATCAGATTTCTGCAGTCTCTCTCTTCTCTATGGAGTAACTTCCCTTCACTTAGGTTTTGAGGAACCTTAGTTCCATGAGTTAGGATCTTTCTTGTATGAAGTTTTGGATGCTATATTGTTTGATTATAATCGAATGATGCATGTTTATTGAGTCAATTGAAGTCTGATCAACTTTTCCTGATTTCTGCTGCAACCTGAGATAGATAGAATCTGATTAGGTTGTTAGAGCCTCATCATTCGGTAGTAGGAGATTGGCTATACGAGAGTTAGCCAGTTTACTGCTTTGTACTGGAATCTAATTCTAGTAGTGGAGTTCTGTTCTTACTGCTTCAGCTTTCTATCCCGGTGAAGACTAGTCGTCTGCCGGATAGTCAGACTGAGAGGGCTTGGTCAGCTTAAGAGATTCCAAGCTACTGTCGGATCTTCCGCAGTTTAATCAACAGTAAAACAACCAAAAGGAATTACAACCTGGACCTAATTGAGGAGCTAGGAGGAATCATACCTAAGTGAGTTCCCAAACTGTAATTAGTAGTTTTACTTATTTTAGTTAGTAGAGTAGTTTAGTTAATCAATCCTTAATCTAGTTTGCTAGATAATAAACTGGAGCTGAGTAATAGTAACTCTAGAGACCCGTGGATTCGATATTTATTACTTGTGCCACTATACTGCAGTCCCTTTCATTGGTTACACTTGGCCATTGTTAGGTGTTGTGTTTTAGAGCATCAGTAACGGTACGAGATTGGGTACTCGTCCATTCATAGCTCAGTGCCAAATGTATGAAACAGTACTTCGTCCATGACAACTTGTTCAAACTTGCAAACATACATGAACCAATGATTTTACTACTGATGTGACACCTGGGTGTATCCACGTAGTAGTCCCTCTTGCATATCCATAGCTTTACCAGTCGTTTCCTGCAGCTGCAAATTACTCGGGTCTTCAATGGTCTTCTAAACCATTTGAGCAGACCTGCTCCTCAGATAAGTTTGGCCACGCCATGTTCTCTTCCAAACGGTCAGAAGTTTGCCTTCCCACAGCTCACAGAAGTTCAAGCAAACAATGCCCCCGTGTGTGTCTTCATGGCTGTTAATACTTGTCACTTGACGCCAACGGAAATCTCCCCAGTTGTAGTTCAGCTTCAAGACCACATCGATGTACTGAGTCACAAAATTTACAACATGTTCACCAAGTTTTTTTAGTAAGGGTGTAAATTTGCCACCGCTAGCGTCTAAGAACTCGAACTTCTTGTCCTTCAAGTTAACACAGTACAACACCATTTTTGAGGCAGCAACGTAAGGCAAGAACCACTGTTTAAAAAAGCAAAATAAGTGAGTGTGATAATCCAGAATCCAAACAAATAAGTTAATCTCAAATGAATTAAAGTGGTACTGGTAATAATCAACAATTCATGAGGGACGCTACTTACAAAGTTGCAGTTGTGTAGTGTCTTCCCATTGAGCCACTTGCTTTGTTCGATCATATCACATACCTCACTGATCCACTCACTTTGCGTGTTCATGGTAGTGCCCCAATCCATTAGTGTTGCTACACCTTGCTGAAATGTATGGCGCAACATTTTGGGAAAATAGAGTTATTATGCAATGATTGTACTGGTACTGGTACAAATGTACTGGTACACATGTACTGGTAAATTTATAGTGGTACCAGTACCACTACATTAATTTATAGTGGTACCAGTACCACAAGGACTAAACAAACATCAATGTAAAGTATCGGGATGAGCAGTTTTTGAAACATTCTTACCGCAAAGTCGTGCGTGAATACCCATCTAGATATCGACATAGTGCTTCCGGTTTTCCTGTTCAGGTAGTCGGCGTAGAAGTCAACAAAATTCGTGGTCATGGCGTTGCCAAATATGGCTGACTTTGCATCCGCTCTACTTAAGGAAAAATGGCTCCCGGCAGCAGCGCTCAACACTTCAGCATCATCCCTACCAGATTTGGACAATATTCCAAAAATATCAACAAAAGGAATGCAGATATAGAAATTAGTGAAATTGACAGCTCAAAGGGACAAAGCATACATGTCTCCTTCTTCGCAGATAGCATACTCCAACCTTAGCTGGCCAAGTGTTATTGGGTCCAACGGGTCTATGTGTGTTGCGGAGACGCTTTCAGAAGATGATTGGGCTTTCAATTTGCCCGATACCGCGATAGACAGCTTCGGGACAAGTCCTGTGCCATCAAATGCCCGGTAGGGAGACAACATCGCACTACTGGGTTTCCTCTTTGAGCGGAGTATGTAAACTTTGGTGGGAGGCATTGGCTGTTGGAAATCATCGTCAACATCATCCAACGAGAGGTCTGCTTTGATACTTGCCAGCGTCTCTGCTATAGTTACTGATGGGTCCATCACACTCCCCTTCTCATCATCTCTCCTAGTCAGATTAGCTGCTAAGAAAAATACAAAGAAATCATTAGGGTGGACACATGATACCCTGTGCGTACCATAGAAATTGAAATGGTAATAATAATTGAAGACTTTCAGCCAAATCGTTTTACCTCCAGTTTGCACAACATCATCGAGTGTGCTACACTTCACCATCCCTTCACCACCAACCTTCTTTCCCTCAGTTTTAGGTGTGGGTGTGCTGATGGCCACCGGCTTTGATATAGGGACATTAGAGTCCAGTGCACTCTCTGTTGCGCCATGCTTTGTTCCCTGGTTACCTTCTACTAGAGAATAAGAAGATAATATTTAGAATGGGCAAATGGTAAACCGTAAATGCTTTATGCAACAGTCAACTAGAATGGTACCAGTATCGCTAGAATGGTACCAGTACCACTGAACTGGTACGAGTACCATTAGTACCTCTAGAATGGTACCAGTACCATTAGATTGGTACCAGTACTGCTAGAATGGTACCAGTATTGCTAGAATGGTACCAGTACCACTGAACTGGTACGAGTACCATTAGTATGGTACTGGTACCACTCCATTGTATTGGAACGTTTGTACAAAAAAAATTACCTTGTCCAATATCCAGAGTATGAATTGAGTCATCACCACCTTCCTCGGCGACACTCCGACCATCTTCTTTATCCTCACCATCTTCATCGTCATTACCATTTCCAATAGGACTATCAACTTCCTCTTCCTGTCCAGCAGCCCCTTCTTCGTCGTTATCTTTAGCATCTTCTTCGTCATTAACATTATCATTGGAACCATCACCATCGTCTTCAACGTTGTCATTATTACTACCATTTCCATCATGAACATCATCTTGGTCTTCATTGTCTTCATCACCGCCATCTTCATCATTCTCACTCGACCCATCTTCGCCCTCATCATCAGCAAGGTCAGACCCATCCTTGTCCTCGTCATCACCATCAACCTCATCATTGACGTCTCCCTCATCTTCTGCAATATCAATTGGCTCAGCATCCGTAGCATGGAGTTTAGTTATGCGAGCATCGCACTCTACTATCCTCGAAGCGATAGTAGAGGAAAGGTCGAGGTATCCCTGCTTAAGGGCAGTCACCTGAAATTATGCATGGGACAATAGTACAACCATTGCATTAGTATGAGTAGCAGTATCTACTAGTACAGATGCTACTTGTACCAATACATGACACTAGCAACCAGTACGCACTCTTCAACAGAATCATTGGTACTATTATCATTAATAATGCTGGTACCAAAGCAGTTCTACTGGTAGCATAGATACGACTGGTACCATTAATACTACCAGCAACCAGATTAATAATACTGGTACTAAATTAAACTTTTTGGTATAATTCTAGCGTTGTTACTGGTAATCCAATAGTGCTACCATTGCATTGTATTGTATCAGCTTCCATTTTTATAGCTTATGTTAGTACTAAAAATTGTATATTTAAATAGCAAAGAAAGAGGTGGTGTTGATAAAGGATTACCTCTAGCAGTCCCATTTGAGAAATGTCAAGAACTCCCATAGCAGATGCGGAGATGGGGGAGCAGTTCTAGAGGAAGCTATTCCTTTGCCCTTTGTTGTATTATGTGCCGCCTTTTCCTTCTTGACATAAGTTGCTTTCGGCCGTTTCTGGAGGGGCGAAGGATCAAGCTGGATGTATGGGACAGCACCAAACATACCATACTGGCGAAGCAATTCTCGACTACGTTTTCTACAGGCCGTGGTGTCCCATAACTTGCAAGACGGGACATCTGTGGTGAGCTGCAAGCTGTCTGTAGTCCTATCAAGGAACCACACCACCAGGACATGCAGATTGCCATTGGTATAGCTCCTTTTGCGGTTAACAATGAAGGCTCTCCTCACGCAGTCCCACAAGTAATAGCACCAATCATACTCGACAAACTCAGCTAGCTCATCGTCCTTCAGAAACTCGAGTATCGACGCTTGCCCCACGCTGGCTGTGCTGGGGTTAAATAGGTAACCGAAGCACGTCATCATGAAAATACGGATCCATAGTTTGTCATCCGTCACTGTACTAAGCTTTTTCCTCAAATTCCACAGCTTGTACCTACCGACAGCTGCCTCATCCATGCCCGGTAGGGTGTCTCGTAGTTCCTTCTCATGGTGTGAATCAATTTCCTGCACCATCTTTGGACCACGGGGAAGACCATAGATCCGCTGGACATCTTCCACGGTAAAGGTAAGCTGCCCCCCATCCTGCATAGCTATCGACATTGTCTCCTCATTGAATAGCCTAGTAATCCAACACAGCAACGAACTGTCAAACCGTTTCATCTTCAAATTAAGCACACAACTTAGTCCAAGCTTCTTGATAAGAGCCTGTCTCTCAGCTGAAATACCCGCCTCCACAATCTCGATGACTGAAGTCGGACTGCACTTCTTATCCAAGATGATTTGATTTGGCTGTACAGTCCGTTGCTTCTTCTTCTTGTTGTGACTCTTTGTTGCCTCATCGCGTGGTCGTTTGTTACTAGGCCCAGCACCAGAATCACTAGAGTCCCTCAAGCGGACTTCTACCTGCCAGAAACATAACCAGCAGGTTGTTGTGTTTTCGTAGATGGTATAGTTGGGATCTTTGTTCTGGCCATCCCTGCAACAGAACAAGTAGAATGATATCACTACAATTACTATTAGCAATGTAGAATGCTAATGGGACAATCCATATTAAACTAGCACTGTTAGAACAAATAGAATTATACGAGCTCAACAAGTTATACGTTTACCATTACCACAGCTACCACTAACAATGGTACCAGTACCACAACTACCACTAACAATGGTACGACTCTTACGAATACCACTAAAAATGGTACCAGTACCACAGCTACCACTAACAATGGTACGACTCTTACGAATACCGCTAACAATGGTACCAGTATCACAGCTACCACTAACAATGGTACGACTCTTACGAATACCATTGGATCATAACCCAACGTTGCACCCCAAAAACAAATAACAGTACTGTAAATAAACCTAACCTCCGATTGTCTTCACGGGCGCAGAAAGGAACGACGGCGGAAGTAGGTGATTCGCCTATGCACATAACAAGGAGATAAAAACCTATGTTAGCAAACCAGATAACTATAGCAAAATATGAACTTGGGAGGATCGGCATCGGCAACGAATCAGTCCGACAAAGCAACGGAGACCGATCCATGCAAAAGTAGAAGTCGTACCTGAATCAACAAAGACTTCGCCGCCGCCAAAAACGATCGGAGAAAGAGGATGCTGAAGTATCGATCGGAGAGAGTATATTGCAGAAGAATTTGGGAGAAACGGGCGGTAGAAAGAGTCTCTGTGGGCGGAGATGGAGAAAAAAGAGTACCAGTGGGGGAAACTTCGGCGGGGAGACGAAAGGCTCGGCGGGGAACATGGCTGATTACTCTCCCCCCACCGATTTCTTTGCCTTTTCAAAATAGCCGCTGACGTCAGCGAACTAGGGGACTCCAATCCAGTGCGGTGGCGTACCTTTTTGCCCCTGCCCAACTTGAATCATTAGATGGAGGAATAGGGGAACGGACGGCAACGATGGGGGAAGCGAGATTGACAACCCCCTAGGGGTTGTCACGCTAACATGTCCCTATTATTTATTTTCAAAACCATAACTTGTTTTTTTTTATCCTTCGAGTAGAACTTCTTGATCCCAAGTCACATCCCGTTAAAAAATTATTGATATTTGGGTACGTATAAACCGAAACAAAGGGATGAATTATATGGGTATATCCAAATAATCGTTTCCCGTTGCCGACGCCTATAAAATATTAGCCTAAAAAATTATTGATATTTGGGTACGTATAAACCTAAACAAAGGGATGAATTATATGGGTATATCCAAATAATCGTTTCCCGTTGCCGTCGCCTATAAAATATTAGCCATAAATGTTAGTTCTCTACAAGACTATCTTATGGTTTTAGATAGACTCAAGTTAATTAGGCCTATGAGCTTATGCATGTGGCTCATGGACACCCATTACTTTTTGCCCTAGCTACGACGATGGCCTCGAATAATTGGTCGGTTAATCTTTATATGTTGGTTACTAACCGAATAGGGTCGGGCAAATCGATTAGCTAAATTTAATTACCGGTAACTGACTGTCTATATTGTTTAATTAGTTACCGGTGTAACCACTAGCTGTCGATTTCTAGTTGGATAAGTGATTACACTGATAACCTAATAACTCGTTAACAGCCCTAGTCCTATAACAATAAGCGAAGAGTCCTTCTCATAAATTTGTTAATAGATAATGATCCTGAGCTCCTTAGAGCTCTCCATGTCACATTCACATTGAAACTAGTTCATATGTGTCATGCTCGGTCGTGGCAATTGGGTAAGTGTGATAATTGCTTATCCAACATTATATAAGATTCATATATTTAGCTAAAATAAATTTGAGATAAATGAGACTATTTTTCGAAGCGAATCATTGTTTATAAGTAGGTGACCCTTTGAAGGACGGTCCTGAATCAAAAAAAATATCGATAAGTTGAGAGAGAGATCATTGGCCTCGCCGGAGACAATCCTGAACTAAAAAAGGTAAGTCCAGAACAATAGGACCTTGACTCGAAACAGTAACTTTTGTTTGTTGTGAAATTTGAGGTAGGCTTTCATCTTTCTTATCTCTAAGACCCATTCGAAAATGAAGAAACAAAACTAACATTGCGAAGTAAGTCCCTCCATGTGCGACACCATTTCCTTCTTAAACGTCTTGCGACGGATCGTCGATTCAAATTCAAAGACCTGGTCCAAAATCAGGTGCTTTGATAATATGAAATATTATCGCGGTAGAAGTAGTGTGCATCGAGCTATTACTTTGAACTGTACTAATCTCGAGTATTATGTTGTTGACTTTTTATTTCATTTAGAATTGAATGTTCTATATTACAGATTGTATGAAGAAAGATATCCCAGTGACCATTTTTTTTTTGTCTTCGCCACTAACCATTCGACTCAATAAAAATCAACTTCCAACATGTAGATGATCTCGTTCACAACAAACAAACAAAAACCCAAGTACTTATTTTTATCGAGTCGAATAATTTCTGACGAAGACAGAAAAACCAACTAAATCTAATCTCTTTCCGTGGCAAAAAAAAAGTAAGTTTTATCTCTTTACATTTGCGTGTTCAAGTTTCAGCTTATTTGACACGAAGAACACTAAAAAAAATAAAACAAAATACAGCCATGCATAGTTAAACAAATAATTTGGCCACATCAACTTGAGGAAAGACATGGCGGCTGCAAGCAAGCTGTGAGGTGTTTTGACTGAAGTAGCATAAATTGGGGGAAATAGGTAACAAGTCTGCAGACGCAAGGTTGTCAAACCGGTTTATGCCAGTGTGCCGGTTTAGCAAGTGGAATAGTTTGACTGGTGGTACATATTGGTTTGTGCCGGTTACCGGTTAATATTATAAATAATTTACAAATACTCATATTTAAACACGACATTTAACGTCAATACCTAAATATTTGTACTTGAATCCAACAAATAACATTTAACTTTTTAACCCATAAAATAAATAAAAAATTACTTTTTATCAATTAAATTCACTAAGGTAAGATTATTTTATTTAAAGATTCGTATATCGATTATACCGATTTTATGACTGGTATAGGTTGAATCAGGTTCAACAGTGGCACGCCAGCCGGCGTGACAACCATGCGTGTAGAGTAATGAACAGAATAAATGACAGGCTGCTCATCTGTTTTGCATAAATGAGTACTGGTGGCCGACCTTTTGCCACTGTGTTTGCTCAAAGCTGCATAAATGTGGCCAGCAATTGGACGGTCTATTATTTGTGCTGTATTTTTAGAAGGAAGAAAAGGGAAAATGAAGAAACAGAAACAAGGGAAATAAGGTCATTGTCCAATGTCAACGGACAAACCCATCAAGTCAAAGTGGCGGGTATCATTATCTGTTCAATAAGAAAAAGTCAAATCCATCATCGTCCACGTGGCAATGGTGCGGTGTGCTCTTCTTCCAGACGTGCATGCAGTTGGTTAGTTTACTTCTGGTTCGTAAATAAGATGCAATCAATTAATACGGCATAGTTTCTCAAATTCATTTTTCGATTTTCTCATGTCTCCATAAAATAAGTGAAATTGAAGGAAACTTGGAATATAAGTTGTAACTTGTAACAACTTCTATCAATTAGGCAATTTGGTTTGGTTTTCCTGGTTGTTTATATGAATTCTTTTTAAACAAGTTACAAATATGTACAATGCATACATGCTAGAGCCATTTCTAAAGGAAAAAGGTTCATGTGCACTTGATTTGTATTCTTGTCTAGGAATGGATCACCGAAGAAAGAATATGTATTATTACTTTGAAGAGGAGAAACAGGTAATACGGGTATGAACGGGTAACCCGCAGGTACCGGCCATTATAGAATTTCTTGATCTCAAGTCTAATCCCGTAAAAAATACGAATATTTGGATACCCGTAACCCTCAAAAAATGAGGCGGGTATGAATATACTCAAATACCCATTTCCCATTGCCCACCCCATAGGTAGGTGTACAATGTCACATGTAAGCGTAAAATGCAGTATGCTTACAAATATGTAGTAAATGAAATAATCAAATGTGGCGGTCGATAGCTAATCAATCCGTCGATAAAAGAGCCGTTTAAGCCACTAAATGGACAACTCTGTCAGTATCATATAATTAAACAAGTTATTTATATGATAACGTTATAATTCATGTATTTATAAAAGATTATGGTTTTTATATTTTCTATCACACACAATATATTTTTTAAGTGACATATAAAATCATTCAAAATAAATTATCGTATAATTTCAGCTAAAAATTTATAGTGTTGTGATTGTTTAGTTGAGATTATTGACATTGTTGTTATTTCGGTTTTATTCATAACAAATAATTTTATATTCAAAAATAAAAGTATCATTTCTTTTAAAAAGTGACATGTGTTTTTGGTAAACAGTCGCCCGGGCCTGGTCACTACGATTCCCCTTGTGAGGAGGCACCCCTTCTCTCGAAGTTACGGGGCTATTTTGCCGAGTTCCTTAGAGAGAGTTGTCTCGCGCCCCAAGGTATTCTCTTCCTACCTACCTGTGTCGGTTTCGGGTACAAATATACCCTTTTGTCGAGCTTTTCCTGCGAGTATGGCATGAGTTATTTCAGCGTCGTAGCGCCTGATACTCGAAGATAGTTTATATAATCACACATTTTATCAATACATATATTTATGCATACTTGTACTAGTTACAATTAGGGGTGGGATAAAGAATCGGTTCGGTTAAACTACCGTTTACATAGCCCCGGGGGGGGGGGGGGATGATTTCTCTTGAAACAGAACCGAAACCAAGGGGCGAGATAGTAGGCCTATGTTTGTGGGTTTGATTTTTGACACCCCTATTAAGTATAGGTTTTTAAGGTATTAAATTTGTGTTGCATTTAATAATCTTTAGAAATTAAAAACCCATATTAATTACATTCTTTTTTTTCAAAATTAAACCTACATTAATTATATTTCTCTCTCATCGCTCTCCTCGTCGCTGCATTCCACCACGAACTCCGGTCACCTTCCTAGCAACTCCTCATTTCGCGTCTATATAACTCTTCCTACCGTCGCTCCTCTCCCCGCCGTCGGTCCCTCTGAAATGCTCTCGACCTCACTCGCTGAAAACCCCACGGCGGCGACAGCCTGCCTCATGCAGGACGGCTTCCGGACATAGCTAAACAGAATTCCACAAGTCAACCTCCTTCAACAACGCCAAAGGTTGTGAGCTCACCTCCCCTGTCTTACAAGAATGTGCTGGCAGGGTCCTCTCAAAGCACAGCCTCGAAAGTCAATCAATGGACCTTCCTCGGCGAACAGATTTAGAGCTCGGCTCATTTGGCGGAGAGCTAGAGCTCAAAATCTCATCCAAGTTTAAGGAGCGCCTCTGTGATCCGTGGAAGAAAACTTTAGTGGTTCATCTGCTAGGCCGATCTATCTCATATGCTTTCTTATGCTCTCAACTCTGGTGGAAATGGCTGCCATTCGGTTCGCTCGACATCATGGACTTAAACAATGACACATTTTTTGTTATGTTTGGAGATGATCAAGATTTCCTTTACATTTGGCCTTACAACAATACAAACTAGCCCACTATACTGACAATTTTTGTTTGTGTACATTTGGCCTTGCAACAATAGAATTGATGTCCGCCTATTAAAGAGAACTTGTGGCTTCCCTCATGGATTGGCTTTTGTATTCAAATTGGAGGGAGGCAGTATTTTATATATATGGGTGATATATATGTTTATTTTTTAGTTAGATATTATTTAAGAAATTCGAACTTAAGATCTTCAGACTCAAAATTAATGGTATTATCACTAGACCAATCCCTTGTTCGTAAGAGGACAATATTCTAAAAATGCATAAATATTTTCCACAACTGGATAGAACAAGGACCAACAAGGGGTCTCAGTTGATTCTGATCTTCCAATTTATTTATATGCACCGAATCAATCAAATCAAGGGGAAAAGCACCATCCAGATGCACATTCACATCTTTAATTTCACTCGGTTTTGTTATTGTTTTCTAATCTTTTAGTTATTTACGACAACATAATTATTTGGGTGCGCCTACGGTGACATGCATGTCACGGTGACTTGCATTTTTCGGTCGACCTCAGTTAGAATTAGGTCGACCTCATTAGGATCAAGTCGACCTCATTTACGATTAGGTCGACCTCATTAGGATTAGGTCGACCTAATCTGTCGTTTCAGTGTAAAAACAATTTCATGGTGTCTACTTTGGAGATCATATCATACATTTGGCTAGATGGAAATTGAAGATTAATGGCTTGTTTTGAAACTGGAGTGTTCCTCTACATATTGAAGTGATTGAGAGCTCGATAGGAAGTTCAGAAGACCATTTTTCAACCTGATCAAAAGGCTATGCCAAAACTAGAAAACTGCCTAAGTCTGGAAACATGTTTGTGAAGCCTACATTGGAGCTCAATTCGAGAAGCATGAATGTGAGTCGAGTCCAGGGGCCTCTACCACATTAAATTAGGTATGTTTTTATAGAGGCATTGGATGAAAGATTTGATATCTGTAAGGCTTCAAACAAAAGGGTCGAAGTTGCTACGAAGGTTGTTTTTCTAGCAGACTTCGAGCACAAGCAAGCTGCCAGAAAAACAGCCTTCGTAGAAACTTCGAGCCTTTTGTTTGAAGCCTTAAAGATATCCAATCTTTCATCCAATTCCTTGCCTTTGTAGACAAACATACCTAATTTAACGTGGTATAGGCCTCTGGACTCGACTCGCATCCATGCTTCTCAAATTGAGCTCCAAAATAGGCTTCACAAACACGTTCTCAGACTTAAGCCATTTTCAGGCAGTTTCCCAGTTTTGGCATAGCCGTTTGATCAGGTTCAAAAATGGTCTTCTGGACTTCCTATCGAGCTCGCAAGTACTTTAATGTGTAGAGGGACATTTCAGCTTCAAAACAAGCCATTAATCTCCAATTTCCATCTAGCCAATTGTAAGATATGAATTCCAAAGTAGGCACCATGAAACTGTTTGTACACTAAAACAACAGACGGAAAGTGCATGTCACCGTAGCAAAGTCCTAATTATTTCCGGTTCTCAAAATGTTTAGGTCATCAAACTCACTCAGATTCATGAATTATCATTTTCGGTTGTGTATTCGGAATCAACTTTTTATTATACAAGTCGTAGGAATTAAAAAAAAATATAATTGGCATTCATGTGCTCATACTTCCAATTGACGAATAACCAAATGGATGGTTGATTGAAAGATAGGGAGAGATGCATCCTCCACACAAGTACCGACACCAACTCATTAAATCTGGCACTTAAATCAAAATGAAAGCAATGAGTATGAGTAGGTCAACGTAATTTCATGTGTGAGAAAACCAATCAAGAACAGAAGATGTATGGAAGACGATAAATATTATACATTGAACTTTTTTATCAAGTTATTAAAATTTGTTGGTTTGTGATATAATATCAAAGTTGGTTTGACGAGATTGTCGTGTGTTCAAATCTTTATGGTGGTCAATATTAATAATTGATTAAACACAAATACACAATGTATTGTGGATCTGCAAATTTCAACCCTATGAGTTGGTTTTCGTTTGAGAAGCCATGTAAGAAAGTGATTAAGTATCATACATAAACTTTTTCCAATAATTCGTATTATTAGGCTTAGGTAGTTTAAAGAATAGATAGAGGGTCACTTTAAGGTCCTAAAATTTTGGATGCCCTGTTCTAGTGTACTATAAAAAAATGCAATCCAAAATTTTCTATAGAAATACAATAAAAAAATAAATAAATAAATTAATAAGTGATAAAAAATATCTATCAATGCTTTTTATATGGTCTGGGAAAAAGTATAGATTTTGTTATATTGTTTGAAAAAAAATTATTAAGCAAGCAAGTCTTCTCTTCATGTGGTTCATTCTTTTCTTTAAGCCTTTGAACTTAATTTATTATTATTGTTGTTTTATTGTTGTTTTAGACTCATAACAAAAACTCAACGTATTAATTTTCTATTGTTTAAATTCATAATCAAAACCCACTAATTCACAATAGTAATTAGCCTTATACATAATGGAGGTCCTGTGCGGGAAAGCCTCCACGCACACTTAGCATTGTGAAAACACGTCGTGCGGCATTGTAAAATATGAATATAAGTTATGAATGATTTGTTTTAGCATTGGACCCACCTTAGCAAAAAATTTGCCCGCCCCCTCCAAGTTTAGCAATGACGTGCCCTCCCTATAAATCTAGATTAACTGTGGTCAATCGTTGAAATAAAAAAAGTCATCAAAACAAAATATTTTTATTGGCTAATCCAAGCATTAGCACCATGCTAATAAAAAATTAGGTGTTAGCACTTTAATCGTCCTTATTTATTATGCTATTTCTCCAGTCTATATTAGGGGTGGGAATTGGGGTGGGTGTGGTTACCTGCCCCACATTTTGCGTATAACCACACCCACGAAATATATAAGTATGCTAACCACAACCCATTGCATGCTGGTGCGCTCTTTGGATGTGGATACCCACAAAGGTTTCGTTCCTTCGTCATAAAATTAGTATTTTGTTAACTACACTCAACCCATTATCCACAAATTATAGGTACTAGAAAAAACCCGCTCGCTACCGCTTCACGTGTGTGCAAGAAAAAATATTGTAAAGAGTAATAAATTTAATGTTGATCCAAAAGTGAAAGTGATCTTACTCATTCTTAATTTTTCTTTCCACGAGTTTGTTGGTTACAACTTGTGGTCAGCAAAGTGATGAACCTACATAAGGGTCATCGAGCATATGATTTATGTTTAAACTTCTCTCATTACGCTATTGTTTCAGTTTGTACGGTTAGTAAGCCCTCCTACGCTATTGTTTCAGTTTGTACGGTTAGCTAGCCCTCCTGTAACTTTTGTAGAAGCAACTTTAGGGTGGATCTTTTAGAGAAATATTTTTTAAGAAAAAGTTGAGTGTTTGGCTAAAAACTATTAGAAGTATTTTCTAATATAAGATGTCATGTTAAAATACAAAAAAAAAAATCTTATATAAAATATGAAAATTTAAAAGTAGTAAAAATGGATTTTGTTACATTTCATTCATATAAATAATATTATTTTTTAATTTATTTTATTTTTAAAATGATATGAATGGAAAAAATTATGTTTTTCAGAAAAATATTAAAATATGGTATGGACAATTTTGTATTTTCAAAACAACTTTTCACATAAGTTTTAAATCAGAGCTTTAACTTTCGGAACATAAAAGCACTTATAAAATTCGACAAAACATAGTCATACTCTTTTGTCTATTTTTTATTGTTTAAGTTTATCATGGTTCTCCTTTTATTTATGAATATTCGAGACTGATTGCATGTTTGAGGAGGTTCAACTTGCATTGACCGGGTCCAATTATGTTGGATACTCATGGGTTTGGGTTGAATGGTCACTCTCAACCAAAAGAAAAAAAGAGAAATGAAGTTTTTTCTATTCATTTTTTGGGATGATGAAGAAAATTGAATAGTTATATGAGTGAAAGAAAACTGCTTTGAAATTTGTAGTAAAAAAAACTTGAAACACTAAAGTGAAGAAAACTCACCCCCGACTTAAAACTCATCAACACCATACCCGACCCTATAGTTACAAAAGCAGATAAAACTTGTTAATGTGGGTTCAAGTCGCTTTGACTGGGTCGAACCCAGTTTTAACAAATTCACAATCCCACAACCTGTCAATTACAAAAGTGGATAAAACTCTCTCTTGATACAAAACTCGCGAATACTGAGTTTGGGTTAAATTGTCATTCTCATCCAACAGAAAAATGAGAAATAAAAAAATATTCAAGTGGACAAAACTTACTCTGGATCTAAAACTCATGAACACTGTATTCAACTCGATTTGATCGAGTTTTTAACAAATTCACACTCATGCCAACTACAAAAGCGGATAAACTCGGTCACGAAATAAAACTGGTCAATACCATAGATTCGAATTCAATTGTCTTCCCAACAAAAGAAAAAAGGAAATTTTAAAATACTAAAGTCATTTTTAAGTCGCTTTGACCTGGTCGAATTAGGTTGGAAAAAGAGAAATAAAAAAAACTAATGTGGGTTAAACTCGATCCCGATACAAACCGCATCAACATAGAGAAGATCTGGTATGGATCTTAGATAGTGGCATTGAGAAACGATGGAGGGAACAACTTAAGATTCCACCGACAGTGTTTTAAGAAGAGTTTTGAATTGGTGAGCGAAATCAAGGATTGGACAGAGCGTAGGAACAACTTTGGTATGGATATTCGGTCGCGGCTGTGGCAAACGGTGGAAGGGAACAACTTAGGATTTCGACGACAATATCTTGAAATGGGCTGCAAAATGTTGGGCAAAAAAGCGTTGATTTTGGCCAGGAAAAATATAGACGAAAACCTAATGGATAATAGTTGAAAACAGAGAAACTATCGAACAATTGCTTAAAACTTAGTAGACAATAACTGTTATGAGAGACACAATGGACAATAAATACAAACCCAACAAACAACAGCTAAACACAAAAGTCATAGAATGGAAGAGTAGGGTAAAAAGAAAATTTTGAAACTTCCCCACTTACAAGGAAAAGTGTGAGGTCCTTTCGCAAACCAAACTTCCACCCCCTATACAACATGGTCCATGAAAACCGTACCGTATCGGGGGTTCAACCACGAAATACTAGTATCGGAGGCTAAATCGACACGATTTTATTATAAAATACTCTACCACTGACTTTCCCGATATGATTTCATGGACCATGCTAAACAATAGTATTAGGAGGATTAGGGTGAGTATAGAAAGTCAATCCATGTCATTAACACGGGACGCAGGTGGTTGCGGCATTTTTTCTGGTCAATTTGGATTTGGCATCCTCAACGGAAGATGGGTTTGAGTGCAGTTAGTTTGTCCATACAGAAAGGGGATATATGGGTTGGACTTAAACGAGTCTATGTTGTTTCGCACTGCCAAACTGGAAACTAGTTAGCTGAGCAGCGGGCCGCCCAGCTCGCCAGTAAAGCAAACCTCCTCTTCCTCCTCCCTCCTACAACTACAAATATTAAATATCGGGGCGGGCAAACGGGTCCACCTTCCTTTCTTTCCCCCACCTCCTAACCGTATTTAGTGATGGCAAATTGGCAATGAGGCGGGCGGGGCGGATACCTCAATTTCCATGTCCCGCCCCACGCTATTACGGGTTGGGGTAGGTAAAACCGGTACGAGTATGGGGTGGGGTGGGTCGACCCACTCTTACATGTCGTTAAAAAAGAAATACAAATAAATTTTACTTTTTACAAGAAAACATAGTGAAAAACACTTTAAGAATGAAAAATATTAATAATAGAATGGATAATTGAGTCTAACAAGTTGAAAGATCGACTCTAACTAGTCGAAGAAAAGTCAAAATAGGAGAAATATGTATAGATATTGTAAGAAATTGAGATAAAAAGAGTCCAGAACGGGGCGGATCAAAAGTAGATATTCATGCCCCGCCCCACGCTACTGCTGGTCGGGTAATACCCGCCCATCGCGGATCAGGTCGGATAATACCCGCAAGACGGATTGAAATTGCCATCACTAACCGTATTCTCCCCCGAATTAAATGCCTTCCCCTTTTCCCGTTCCCCTCCACTGCACATAAATCCAGCACCCTCGCACCTCTCTCCGTTTCCTCACACCATCGCCGTTCCACAGTTACGTACCAGCCAACCTCTCTCTCTCTCTAACTTCATCCAGCTCCAAATCTCAACAGCCAGAAACATTCGCCCAAATTTTGGACCTGCTATAAAGGAAATCAGCTTTCCGATTGCTGCTGCATCTTCATCCTCCCAATTCCACCCCAATTCCACCACCACAAACCTGCTCCTTTCCTTTCGACGGGATTTCGGATTCTCAAATCAATTTTCTCCCTGCTGAATCACTATGGCCCCGGCGGCGGCTGCGGATAATTACAGCCATTGCTACGGAGGTGGAAGCGATGACGACGATCAGGCTCAGACGGTTTGCGTGATGGACGCCTCCGGCCGATTAGGCTCCGCTCTCGTCCACACGCTGTTGCTCAGAGGCTACGCCGTCCACGCCGCCGTCCAGAAGCTAGGTTCGTTTTTTTTTTTTCTTTCTCTCCTTCATTTGTTTGTCCTCGATCGCCGTTTTATGATTATCTCCGCCGTCGTTTTTGGCCGTTCCATTTTCCGATTGTTTCGAGCTAAGGGATTATTAGTTGGAAGGGTTAGGGGATTGATTGATAGTTAGGTTGCCAAGTAGAATACGGTTCAACGAGTTTCTACCAGAGCAAGGTTGTCAAACCGGTTTATGCCAGTGTGTCGGTTTAGCAAGTGGAATGGTTGGATCGGTGGCACATATCGGTTTGTGCCGGTTCATGTCGGTCAATATTACAAATAAAATTATAAATTCTCATATTTAAATATGACATTTAGCGTCAATACCTAAATATTTATACTTGAATCCAACAAATAACATCAATATTTAACTTTTATACTGATAAAATAAATAATGAAATAATTTTTATCAATTAAATTCGCTAAAATAAGGTCATTTTATTTAGAGATTCGTATATCGATCATGCCGGTTATACCGATGGTGTCACGCCGGTTTTATGACCGGTATCGGTTGAACCTGATACAACCGGTGGCACGCCGGCAGGCGTGACAACCATTTACCAGAGTTTACTTTCTCCTTTTTTTCCAATTCCTATTTTCTATATTATATTTGAATTTGGCTGCAAGTGTGAATAGCTTTTTTTGAAAAATTTCTCTTCAATTATTATGATGGAGACTGGAAAGGAGCTTTCCAAAAGGAAAATTGGGGGAGGAGAAAAACAGGAATTTCTAGTTGATAGTTGTAACAGAAGGTACACTCATTAGTCTTCATTCATGCACCTTTTAACTTGGTTAATTGATTAATTAATTAATTATTAATTAATCAATCTTAGAATAGAAAATTGATTAATTAACCCACCATACGTGTGAGTGTGTTGTGTAAAGATGAAAAGAATGACTACTGCCTCACTCATCCATTGGTGCAAAGTATGTGTGTGGATTTATGAATATACTTTTTAAAATTAAATTTACTTATTCCTTTAGAGTTTTGTTGGGTGCTAAATTTGAATTGCTCGTTGTGGTTGATGTTATCATCTCTACTACGTATTATTGTCGTAACGCGGGTAAAATCTGTGTTGGTTGGATTTGCAGGGAAGTCGCAGCAAAGTTTGGAAGGGTCATGGGGTAACCACAAGAAACTGAGGGTGTTCCAAACGGACTTGTTCGACTACCAGACCATAATGGAAGCTCTGAAGGGATGCACCGCCTTGTTCTATTCCTTCGAGCCACCATCTGATCACCCCAATTACGATGTAACTACTCCTCTTAAAAAAACCCATTTAACTCCTGTGTGCTGTGATTTATGAACAACAATGGTGGTGACTTTTTTGTTGTTGTTGGTTGGTGATGAAAATGAAGGAATTAATGGCGGATGTGGAGGTGATGGCGGCACACAACGCGCTGGAAGCCTGCGCCCAAACTCCCACAGTGCACAAAGTGGTGTTTACTTCCTCAGCAACAGCTGTTCTCTGGAAAGAGGATCGCTCCTCTTCCTCTCTCCTCATCAATGAGTCCAGCTGGTCCAACATTAACCTCTGCCGCAAGTTTAAGGTACTCCTCCTCCTCCTCCCACCCCACTCCTTTACCTATCACACAAATTTTTACGGTCGAGTCGCGAGAGACTACTGATCAATTACATAATCGTACTTCGGACGATTTTAGCTAGGTGTCATGTTCTGGGTCTTCCTCAACTCCCAACACGTCATCTTATCCGATAATTTCGATATTTTATACGAAAATCGAATATCATGTTTTATAAATCGAGTTCATAAAAGAAGTATCGGTTTGAAAAGTTCTTCAATGATGGAGTATGAAAACTAAATGTGTATACTTATGGTCACCCGTGTCCCTCAGATTTGTATGGTAGAGAAGGAGTATGTCCCCTCTCACCTTTCATTTTCATCATTGGCACTTTATTTGCACCACGTGATGATACGTTACAAAGTCTTCCTCTGCATTTATGCTTTTTGGTAATGACAGACAACACCTCAACTAGCCTCTAATTAAACCAACAAAATTTTTTGTGTGTTTCAGCTATGGCACGCACTGTCCAAAACGCTGGCGGAGAAGACAGCCTGGGCGCTGGCGATGGACCGGGACATCAACATGGTCACCGTCAACGGCGGCCTCCTCCTGTCCTCCGACCTCACCATCGCCAACCCTTACCTCAAGGGAGCCGCCGAGATGTACGACGACGGGGTCCTCGTCACCGTCGACCTCAAGCACGTCGTCGACGCCCACGTCTGCGTCTTCGAGGACGTCTCGTCGTTCGGCCGGTACCTCTGCTTCAACCACGTCGTCAACTCTCACGACGAGGTCTCCAAGCTCGCCCGCGTCTTGTTGTCCCCTTCCGGCCAGTTCTCTCTCCCTCCTCCCGGCATGGTGGAGAAGGGCGTCCAGCAGCGGATTAGCAACAAGAAGTTGCACGAGCATATGGTGGGCTTCGGATTGATTGAAGATAAGCCCACGAAGAGCCCATAACGGACCCAACGTCTCCTACCGTGCACCTTCACAGCACAGTTCGAATCTGAACAGGGATGTATGAAAGGCGATCCATACAAATGTACAAGTTGTTATATCAGTTTATATCTCAATAATAATATTCAAATTTTGCAACCAACAAACAAGCGCAAACGAGCGACCTTATGTACAACGATATTCGATAGAACTGGATAGTCGAACAAAAGTGTAAAATTATACTAGATCACGCGATCAATCGTACTGGTTTTTATATCGAATGGATACTTAAGCTCACATTCACATCTAGCAAACAACAGAATTTACTAACGGTTCAGTAATGAGAAGTTAGCAGCTCCATCATCTTGTCATAGTATAGGGAGGAAATGAACGCTTCAGCATACAGTCAAGCTATATACAAATGTTCCTATTACCCAAAAAAAAATACTATTTATATGGTTTTTAAGGTTTTTTCTTTCCTTTCTCTGGAGGTAGTTGTTTGTTATATAGTAATGGATGGATGCATCTCTTGGGATTATGTTCAGCATACTTAGATAACTGGACGAAGTAAAAAAAAAAAAAATAACAGCCACTTACAGGTGTGACATTAGTACTCTAGTGAGGGCATAGCTTGATATATCATTCTGGTATGGTAGATCAAAGGCAGTTACAGTACACTATCACGCACTCAGCGACATGGAGATAACTGAAGAGAGCTTGAATTTGCGGACCTTTGGTGAGTTCTGAGGCTGAAACACGACTTCTGTACTCGATCTTACGGTCTCTTCCTTCCACTCGGACGAAGTGGCACCTTCGCTACGAAAATCACGAGCACAGGACAACACTTGGAGCCTCGAAGGAGCTGCATCAGTTGGACATTTAGAGTGAAACATTAAATACAAACAAAAGAAACAAGGTAACCAAAGAAGGAAAGTATTCAAGAAACTGGGAAACAGGAGCTGCCCAAGACCAGTAAATGCTGTTTCTAGGTCAAGAGAGTCTCCCAATATTCAATCTCTGGAAAATGAATTAACAGCTCTTGAAAATCTAGTGGTGCAGGAAGTGGCTTGGCAGGACCAAGTAAACATGATGGGTTGATCATGAATGCTTGATGATTACCTAGTCCGAACATACTGGTCTTTTGAACGACGAGCTGACTGACTTTGGATCTTTTGACGTGTTTCAGAGCCATTGTGTCTTCTGTCTTGCCTTTAAATTCCAAGAACTCTCCGAGGACATACTTGCTACCTTTGAGCTCCAGCCTGGAAAAAGAGAACCAGAGTCGAGCCTAATTAATATTCTTCTTTAAGCTCAGTAAGTCAAATATACTAGAAACGGCAGCTCAAGTATTAAACATGGGGGCAGAACAAGAGTCTTAAGCACAGAGCAATATACCTGTCCCACATCGGAGCTGAATTGAGAATGAAATTAAGTTTCTGAGTAAGGGATTCTTGATTCTCCTTCTTTCCACCATAAACTGCTCCCTTAATCCAGCTTAAAGAAAAACTTTTCGATTCTGGCTTCAGGATGGTCCATTGATCATATGTAATCACCTCAGATGGAAAGTAGCTTGCATGGATGGTTCTGCAGCCACAGAAACTTCATATGCTAAATAAACGCTTAAAGCAGCAAGGCTTAAACACGATATAAGAAATCCCCATGCTATCCTGAACTTGTTAACCTTTGCTAAGTGTAATCCATCAACTAACTTGGATTTGGGACATTTAAGAAATTTACAGATTCTCTGCCAGTAAGACTCCTCAGAGTTCTCATACGAGCTCAATTGTTCAGAATGGGTCCTAAGTTCATGAAAAAGGAGAAAAGTAGCTAGGAGTTGGACAAACAAGGTTAATCTTGCTTAAAAAGTGAGGTTAAACAGGACATATTCGCTTTACAGCACAATAACATTTTGTTCAACCCTAGGCAATTTGAAGTGTACAAAGGAAAAGGCCAGCAGGGATGGAGTATACTTGGGCAATAAGTGAGCTAAAAGCAAGCTGCCTATTTCAAACTATTAGGAACTGCGTCAGGTCATGGAAATAGATACATAGTAAGTTTCCAATTATTTTGAAGCTGTGTCTAATAACATCAGAAACATTTCCATGAATGTTGATAATTACCTGAACTTAGGATTGGGAAGTATAACTTTGTAAGAAAAATATCCTTCTGGAAGAGCGATTCCCCTCTGCTCAAGATATGATTCAAGAATAGAAGCCTGCTTCTTGACCTCTTCGACCTGGAAAATAAAGATTTGTACATGGATCACCGAGGTTTTCCTCCGCCTCAATACCAATGCCGTGATTGTATGAAACTATGAATGCATATTCACATCACCATATTATGTTGCATTTTACTATTAATCTCGTAAACTGAACATAACAAACACCAGTAACATTTTATCACAAAACAGACAGCTTAATCTATGACTCACAGGATTAGGAAGATGCTCAGCTTTGTGCCCACTGCCCCCCTCGCATACCCAGCTGCCATCACCATTCATCGATACCAAACCAGATAAGTTCTTGACAGAAATCACTGCTGCCTCCCTGTTAAACATCGACCGAGGCTTAAGTGATGATGGGAACTTTCAAGACAACAGAATTGATCAAATCCAAGAAAGACAAGCACATGGTGATATTGATATCTCGCGGACACAGTCGTAGAGGCAGAAACACTCACCCTTTTGTTACTAGGACTACATCAATACTCTGGCGTAAACCTGTATCAGGATCTGGTATCCGAAGCCCCACATAGACCTTTCCTCCATACAGCTTCTCAAGTCTGCAAATCAAGGTATACAAAAGCTGAAGGGCGCGGCAACTGTAACAACACACAAAAGGAAGCTATTCGCAGTGGGAGTGGCAGAATCCATATATGTCAAGAACAGTTCCTTATTCGTTCCCAATCAGCGACGAAATCAAGGAGCGGAAGAGTTTCTTAGTAGCCAAACAAACTCATCGCATCTGTAGCAGACTTCGAAAATTTCAGAGAAATCGAGCAGTTTCAGTCTGAGAAAATAGATTGCGATGGTAACGAACTGAGAAGATCCAACACTAGCAATTTCTTCCTACTCTAGTTTTCATGCAGGTTCTATCGCACTTTCTCAGCAACCAAACAAGCTAGAAAATCAGGTTGAATGCAAAGAGGAAATGCTACGGGAAAGGTTATCAAAAAGCTGGAAAATGAGAATTTCGCGAGCGTACCGATTGGCGACGATGAACACGGCGTTGGTGTCGGAGGTCTCGACATCTAGAACATCATCGCCGGAGCCGAAGAAGCTGCGGAAGAGCTTGTAAACGATGAGTCCGCAGAGGATCTCCACCCACATGACGCCGACGACGGAGGGAATCGTAGAGGTTGCTTCGGAAGGAATGCGGAAAGGCGAAAGGGCAACTCAGGTGAATTGAGAAAACTTCCGAAGCAATTCCATTTCCACCCCAAGTTCTAACAGCAGCACCACCGACGGCAAATTATTGTTTAGTACACAAATTTTGGCAGGTAATAATAATTTCATCCCTGAATTGTTTGATAAACGATAGGTTTTGTGCAACTCTAACATTTTAATGTTTTATTAATCACTATTTTTAGAGGTGGGCATGCGGTGTGGTTGCACCCATGGTTGCTAAATTAGTAGTATGACAGCCGGTATAATTGGGTTCAATTGGTATCGACTACAAAATTGATTGAAATGTTTTCGACATTTTGCCTACATTCATCATATGCTTTCGTTGTTGGGCTTAAGGAGGATGACCCACAAGGTTGTTGGAAGGAAATTTGGAAATGGTGAGTTGATCATGTTTGCTACATAGGTATGAGATGTGTGTGGGATTTTCTACTTTCTGGACTAAAAAACGTTGAAAAAATGTGCTCACCTTTGAAAAAAATTGAGGTTCATACATGAGAAGCAACCGGCATAGTGTTTGACTTGAGCCGTCGAAGGGCTCTTCACCCGCTCTGGAATGCCGATTGAGAAAGTGTTTGAGGTTCGGATGCTTTACCGCCTCCCGATCATCTTTTACTACCTTCTGAAACCCCTCCCCCCAAACACCTCTCATTCTCACGGATATTCTAACTCGTGCAACGAAGAACTATATCTCATACCATGTTGATTGTTTATCAAGTTGTATTAGTTTGAGTAGGTTTGCTTGTGGACAAGCAAACACCTAAGTGCGGGGGACTTGATAACACCCAAAATGTGTTATTTAGAGCTCATATTTAGTTTTGTTTTCGAGTCTTTTTATGGTCTTCATGGTTAATATATCATCAATTATACCCTTTATTCGTTCCTCAGAGAAAATATTAGTATTTTTTAGGGTGTATTAGAAGATATGAATGTTTTAAGTACCAAAAGAGGGCAAAAGTGTAAAGAAAGGTGCAAAAACTGAGGATCACGGCCAAGGCACATAAGATCATGGCCGGACAGAGGACGGAAAGCTGGACAATTAGATCGCAGTCTCCGCAGCGAATATCACGACTGCAAAAAAGGAGGCCTATGGCGTGAACTTTTGGAGCAGCCAACAAGGAAGTAACATAGAGTTTTGATAATCGACTCACGACTTTCTGCATCAAAGTCCACGAGAAAGATTGCGGGCGCGACTCGTGGATTGCGACCGTGAAGTCAGGCCGCGAACTCATCAGCCATCAAAGCGCAAACTAGCAAGGCCCGAGATCGCAGCCTCCCCTTACCAGATCGTGCCCACGAACTCTGCCAGTTCAACCGTGAACTTGACCGATATCCTAAAATCTATAAATAGGGGGTTCCTCCCCCTCATTTAGGAAGATGAAATCAATTGAGAAATTTCTGGTTTGAGAGGGAGAAAGTAGAGAGAGAAGCTGAATGAAGGAAAAGAAGGAGGAAGGGAGCTCTCCCCAATTCAATTCTTCTTCTATTTATCTACATATATCTTCTTCACTCCTTTATGGAGTAGTTCTCTAGGTATTAGAAGTTGAAATCCCTACCCTGACCTAGATTAGGTTTTGAATGTAGATTATATGCTAGGAACGTTTTCAAAGCATTTCATTATCCTCCACACCTAGGGCTGTTAATATGCCATAGTTCGGGATTGACTTGTTAATATATTTACAGGCTCGAGCTCGGCTCGTGTTCGTCACGAGCTTTAATATGCAAGCTCGAGCTCGGCTCGTCAAATAAGCTTAACGAGCCCAAAATCGAGTTCAGCTCATAAAATGTTCATGATAGCTCAAGATTGACCTAGAACTGCGCACAAAATTACATTCAAACCTGTAGCAAAGTCTAGCAAAGTAAAACACAAATATTTATCCCGATTTCAATACAAAGTCCATGATTTCTAATCTCTTTTTATGCCAAACCATTAAATGAGCTTGTTCGCGAGCTTTCGAGCTGAACATGGTATGGCTCGAGTTCGGCTCGTTTAGTTAACGAGCTTGTTCGCAAGCCGGCTCGATTAAAACGAATCGAGTGTCGAACGAATTTTTCTTGAGTCGCACACCGAGCCGTTCATGAGCGGGTTGGTTCATTAACAGCACTATCCACACCTAAGTGACAAAGCGGCAGGTGAGAAAAATATGATTGATGTCCTCTTAATTTTTTTTTTATAGTTAATTTAGTCCACTCTTGTTTGGAGCTCCACATGGACAGGGAAATTACAAAATATGCATATTTGCTTTGTGCAGTGTCGTCCCTAGGGCTGCAAATGAGCCGAGCTGCTCGCGAGCGGCTTGGCGTTTGACTCGAGAAAATCTCGTTCGAAACTCGACTCGTTAATAAACGAGCCGAACATGAGCTCAGCTTTGCTCAGCTCTTGAAGCTCGCGAGCTAGCTCGACTCGATGGCTTGTTGAGCTAAACTCGTGAGCTGGCTCATTTAGAGCTCACGATATGTCTCAACATGTGGCTAGAGAGCCAACTCGATTACCGACTTATGGACGAATCAATCTATATCTTATGATTTTAATTCATATGTCTGTTAAATTATATATCTCACCATATATAAAGTTTAACACATTGAGTATGTGAGCAAATATATCTTAGTTTCTACTTTAAAAAGAAATTATGTATCATAGATTGCTTCGATACTATGAAATAATATGATTTTGAGTAGTTAAAATTTATTAACTAAATGATATATGATACCAACAAAGTAGTATATGAGATTAGCTAACAATATAAATTATTAGTATAATGATATACAAAATGAAGTTCCAAATAATAGTCAAGATTTTAGTAAACAAGCTAGCTCGAACTCGACTCGGCTCGTTAATAAACAAGCTAAGCTCGAGCTCGACTCGTTTATTAACGAGCCGAGCTCAAATTAGGATAAAACTCGACTCGGCTCATTTGCAGCAATCGTCCCCAATTAAAATAATGGCAAAATACACTACCATAGCCATAACTTTACACTTTGTGACAAATATAGCCAGATTTGAAAAAATACACAGAAATAGCCATTCCGTCCATTAATATAACGGAATTGTAACGCCGGCTGACTAGACAAACGATTGTCTACTGCCTTCGTCTACGTGGCATGTCAGGATGGAATTTAAATTAATATATTTATTAAAAAAATCAACTTTGCCAAATTGTCTTGTGGGGAGCTTCTTCTCCATCCGCCCCTCTCCATTCGTCTCCGTTCCTCTTCCCATAAATCCCACATCCATTCCACCTTAACTCTAAATCGCAGCCACTCTCAGTCGAAGAAACTCAAGAAAGCATCGAGATGGAGATTATCTATCCCAATTAAAAACCCCAATTATCCGGTCATAGCTGAAACCCAGCAGCTCAAAGTCCCCAAAAACCCAGCCGTAGACTTCGGTCCAGTTCACCACCACCCATACCTAGCTCCCCACCTCTCGCCTCCCGCTCCCATCCCTTCCAAATCGCCAAATCCTGCCGTCGCGTCTCCATCCGCTCTCCCTCTCATCTCGCCTGCTCTCTCTCTCTCTCTCTCTCTCTCTCTCTCTCTCTCTCTCTCTCAATCTCACCGGAAAAAAGATGAATGGGTATATAAGAAGACTACAATGGCCTGATTGTAGATCCTGGGTTCGTAGAGGAAGGAGAAGATAGATAGATCTAGAAGAAGACGAATGGATTCGATCTCAGCACCTCCTTCACAGTTGCATCCCCTACCAACGAGCGCTCGACGACGAACTTACGGAGCAAAATCGACATCCCGACGGGGTAAAGGCAGAAGAGGAGCCCTACATATTCCACCATCCATCAATTATAGATTTGTGTTCTTGATTGGGTATCTCGTCGAGAAAAGGGAAGATGAATAGAATAGGATATGGTTGGATCAGGTTCGTTGCTTTGTCAATGCGTATAGTAGGTTGGCTATGATTCTGGTCGGCGGCGGCGGCGGATTTGTAGGGTGCGGCGGGGAGGGATTGATAGCAGCAGTGCCGCTGCGTGCCTTTCTTCTTCCTTCTTCTTTTCTTTTATCATTTTTCTTTTTTGTTTTTTCCTTTAATTGAAAAAAAGGAAATCGGTCATTCATTGTGTCATCCAAATTTTTTTTTTTTTAATTTAATAAACAACATTTTTAATTTTAATTTGACATGGCATGACATGTGGCATGACATGTCGACAAAGAGTTGACGTGGAAGCTGACGAGGCGCATTCTCAGCTTGTTGTTGACGGACATAACCGACATCTCTAACTCCGTTAATATTTCTAACGGAAATGGCTATAATTGTCAAGGTAGTTTCAAATTTGTGGCTATTTCTGTGTATTTTTTCAAATCTGGCTATATTTGTCACAAAGTGTAAAGTTATGGCTATGGAAGTGTATTTTGCCTAAAATAAATCCAAAGTGAAGATATGGCATTGGCATGGAACCCTCCCTCTATGGCATTTTATTTTCTAAATACATTCTTAACTGTCTCAGTCTGTCCTGCTCGGGAATATTTACAAGAAGACAGAGACATTTCTTTTTTTCCTAAATAACGTTGACAGTAGCTGAAATTATCTATCTGCTGCTTGCTGCTACAATACAAATCAGTTTAACAATAACTTTATTATTATTGTTCTTTAATATTCGGTTGAATGATTGAGATGGTGGAGCTGGCCACACTAATATTGGTCACAGCTGGCTCCATCGTGCAAGTTGCATTATTTCTTTCCAACCCTCTGCCTCTGGTCCTATTCTGATCCAGTTGGCCGCTCAGCTCAATAATCATTCAGAATTTCTTGATCCAAATTCACTAAACAACGGACTGTAAATACTAAACATCAATAGCATTCGTTGTGATGCCTTGAGGGATTTTGCCTCACCAAATGGGATGAACTGTATACTCGCCATTCCACTAAAACCCAGTTACTAATACTGCATGAAACCAAAAGAAGCTCAAGGAATCATCTTCAATGACAATAATTTGTGCAAAAGAACAACTGTAATAAACTATAAACAAAGACATGAAACTGAAAGAAACAATTTTCATTCCATACAATATACTCTCTCCCACCACTCTGATTCACAGGAACAACAGAGAGAAGATAGAGAAAGAAGGAAGAAGAAAAAAAAAATAATGACAGATGATTACAAAGCCCCATTTTTCTTCATTGTGAAAACTGGAAACTAACTCAAAACAATGAAAAAATTTAAGGGAAACAGCGGATACAGAACAGCATTCAGAAGCCATAAACTTTTATCTACTATAGACGATGTTGTAATTTTTACCCTCAGTTCATTATTTCTGGTTGGGAGTAGTGCTACCATTTGTAGGACTGGCAGTGGTGGTACTCTTCTTCTTGAGCAGGCTTCCAAACTTATGAAGCAAAGGCTTCTTCTTCTTCTTCAGCTGCTCAGGCTGCTGCTGCTTGGAAGGTGAGCTCCCACCATCATCTGGGTTCTCTGTTGAGGACAAACCATTTAGCTGATCGAAACTCTCTCCGCCCTCGCCCTTAGACTCCCCTTCCTCCTCGAAGGATGATTCCTGTTCATGGTGCTCTCTTTCGGGTGAGAACTCTTTCTTCTCAATCTTGCAGCTCTCCCACATCTTGAACTCCACTTCAACTGTGTCGTCTTCTTTGTCTTTCAGCTCTTCTTTATTCCCCTTCTCATCAGCGCCACCATTCTCCATCTTGGTGGCGACAACCATTTCAGCAGGTTCAGAATCTATTAATGAGCCGTTGCTGTCTTCCTGCGACTTGCCATTCATTGGCTCCTCAAGGTTCTGAGACTGAGCTGGAAGCCCCATCTTGAGTTTCTCTTCACCTACATGTCCATTCTCTTCAGAGAATTCAACCACCTTTGGTAGCAAATCATAGTCCTTCTCACTGTCACTAAGCTCACCATTTTCCTCACTTTGCTTCTTGGACTGAGCTTCCTCAAGCAACCTGGACAACTCCTCGATTCTCTTTACAGAATCAGTTTCCCTGATGTGGAGCTCTTCGTTCTCTTCAAAGATGCTTTGTAGCTCATTCTCTTTGTCCAGTAAACTCTCCTTCAGTTTCATGCTCTCAGCTTTCGCCTCTCCAAGAGCTTCCTGCAAAGAAACTGCTTCAGCTTCCACTTCCTTCAAGCTGTTCTTCAACCGAGCCTCTTCCTCCCTTGTAGCACAAGCTTCTTCTTCCGTATGCTTCAGCACATTGACCAGCCTGTCTATTTCTTTTTCCAGAGCTGCGTTTTCTTCACCTGACTTCTTCACACAATCCAAGAGGTTTTGCTCTTTGATCTCCCACTCAGACTTGGACTTCTGGAACTCATTCTCGGATTCTTCTACCGAGCTCTTGAGAACATCAATCTCATGTTTTGCATCATCCATCATGGTCTCGTATCTCTCGTTCGACGCCTTGAGAACCAATCTAAGATCTTCTATCTGTGTCTCATAGCCTTCAATGTCTGTTTCGCTAGACAACAGTTTCTCTTTTGCTTCCCTGGCTTCAGCAGACACTTCATGTAAAGCTGAAGCTAAACTCTCCATTGCACGCTTGCTCTTTTCCTCCTCTTCCTTGTAATTCTCTAGTTCAGTTATGAGTTGGTTCTTCTCTTCTAGCAGGCCTTGCACACTAGAAGCAGCAAGCTTCTCGTTGTTCAGGGCCTGGATCTTATCTTCCTTCACTGTTTCCAGCTCCAACTTGAGAGACTCAACTGCCTTCACCAATCCTGATGCCTCTTCCTGTGCAAGGCAGGCACGGCGTTCTGACTCATCGAGATCTGTTTTCTGCCTTGCTATCGTCATTTCCAATAGTCCAACTTTCTCCTTCAGACCCATGATCTCAGTCTCTGCATCATGCAGCATATCGTTGTTGCCCTCGAGCTGTTTCATGACTGAACACAGAGATTCTGATGCAGACCTCTCTAGCTTGTTTGCTTCAGTAACTTGGGACTCTAGCTCCTCAACCCTGACCTTCCATTCTTCAGCTAGACTGCGCGCATAAGACTCAGCCATTTTAGCAGCTTCCACCTCAACATTGAGCTGTTCTATAATACCCTCTTTCTCCATCAACTTACCCTCAAAAGCTTTGGCTTTCTCAAGCTCTTGTCTCAAAGAACTTATCTCTTCCTTGAGCTCCAACACCATCTTATTGCTCTCACTGGCAGCGTTCTCAACCTTGGCATCAAGCAAACCTCTCAATCGGGCCAACTCGGTTGAAAGAATCTCCACCTTCTCTGCATGAATCTCTGCGATCTTAGTAGCATCATCAGCATGACTAAGTGCCTGGTTTTTAGCATCCGTTGTCGTTACCAGCTCTTGCTTCAATCTCTGGAGTTCCTCAGTAGTGGACAAAAGGGTAGCAACATCCACTGCATGTTGGTCCCTCACAGATTCGATCTCCTTCTGGCATTCCTGTTCCTTCACTGTTACAGCCTCGATCCCAGCTTGCTCCAGCTCAACAGCACGGAACTTCTCAATTTCGGAATCCTCTTCGGCTCGCTTTTGAGCCACCAAAGCTTCTTGCAGCTTCCCATTTGCCTCCTCAGCTGCCTTCTGAGCAATTTTTAGCTCGTTAACAGCTTGATCCTTCTCCTTCTCGATCACAGAGATCTGCTCTTTGGCTTTCTTGAGATCTTCCTGGACTGCATACAACTGAGCCTGCAGTTCTGATCCCTTCACCGCCACGCCACGAGCCAGTGGTTTCTGGAAATTTCACATTCCAAATCAAATTCAGATCGCAAATTCCATCCACAAGAGCCTAAAACTTACATTCAAGCACAGCAGAGCAGAACTTGGCAGGCAGACATGGAAGAAAAAGAAAGGACAGCCAAATGAGAAATTCAGGACTTACTTCAGGTGGTGTGGCAGCCTTGGTTGGTCTGCGAACAGCAGAATTAGGAGTGGGCTTGGAATTGGCAGATCCAGGGGAGGAGCGGTCCAAGGAGAGACGTGAACTCGGCTGGGGAGAAGGTGAATCAGCGTCTGATTTAGCTGCTCCCCTGTTGAGTTTACTTACTCTAGGAGTTGCTGGTGATGGCTTGGTAGGAGTTTCAAACAACCCAGATCTGTCCCCATCCCACAAAGGAAAAAGATAGCATCATCATTCATCAACCAATTAGCTTAACCATGTGCGAAGAAACCTTCACATCACATCATCATCAAAAAACTCTCAAACAAAGCTTCACACAGACATTTCAACAAACACGTGAAATCAAACCCCATCTTCATTTTACCGATTGCACATTCCCACAGATCCAAAATAGCAACAAAACCAAAAAGGACCCATAACAAATTCCCAAGTCAAAAGGCGTGCTTGACCCAAGAAAAGACGCAAACTTGGGGAAGTAACCGTTCACTAAAAAGTGAGTAGATCCGACGAAAAGAAACCGCACCGAAATTGGAATCGCAACTTCTCACCCTAATTCACCAGCAGCAGATCTAGGCAGAAGAGTTGGACATAGAGAGAGAGAGAGAGAGAGAGAGAGAGAGAGGGAGAGCAGAAAGAATGTGGAAGTAGTAGGGAAGTCGACTCACTTGGATTTGGAACCCATGATTGAATGCTTGGGGAAGGCTCTGTTTCTCGTTTGTTTCCCGAAGTAGAGTTCTCTGGTGAAGGGACTGCGGACAGCGGAGGGGAGTAAATGCTAGAATGGAGCTGACATATCTTTGGGGGTCGGAGAGAGAGAGAGAGAGAGAGAGAGAGAATGAATGAAAGAAGAGCAGGAGTGGCGCTTGTTTGTTTGTGAGGTGAGATCAGAGGCGATATAGTGAGAGAGAGAAGAGAAAGAGAGAGAGAGAGAGAGAGAGAGAGAGAGAATGAATGAAAGAAGAGCAGGAGTGGCGCTTGTTCGTTTGTGAGGTGAGATCAGAGGCGATATAGTGAGAGAGAGAAGAGAAAGAAAAAGCGGACAGGGACAGAAGAGAGGCAGGCGGCAGACATGGACATGGCTAGGAATGGGAAGGGAAGGATAAAATACAAAGCAGTGAAGACAGATACAGTGATATTTACCCGTCTCTACAACTCCATAAAACCAGTACAGAAAGACAGAGTGAGTGAGTGTGTGGGGGAAGAGAAAGGGAGGGTGAAGTGGTAGAGATCGAAGCCAGCAACTTCACTTTCGATCAGGAAAAAAGAAATGCTCAAGAAAATGAGAAAAAGAAAAGGCTAGGAAAAGAAAAGCCTCTCCAGTCTGTTACTCTGTTCAACCCACATGAAAAGGAAAAGGTAACCAATAAAGGAAAAGGGAATATAAGATGATTAAGTTGTAACTTACTCCACAATTAATGTACATAACGGTGATTTTGTAATTTTCAAAATTTACATAAACTGAAATTATCAAAAATTTGAACCCCTTCTAGTTTCGTTCCCAAACCTTTTTTTCATACAAACTTCCATATATTATGTTTGAAATAATATAAAGGTTAAAAATTGAATTCCATTGGATCTAAAATTTGGGAATTACAATTTCTATAAAAATGATAGGAATTGAGAGAATGAAGATGGAATTAGTGGGACCTATCAATATTTTTTTATTATTTTATTGATCGACTATCATTTTACTCTCTTTTTCTCATTCATATTTCATTTCCCAAAATAAAACAAACATATTACACCTCTACACATATTATAATATACCGAAGGGAAAAACGGGAGCCTCATTTCAAATTTCCTGCAACGAGAGTGAAAATAGGAAGGACATTTTGGTTTTCACAATTACTTTTTTTTATTCATTAAAAATATACATACTGGATTCGAACCATGACCATTTTAAAGAAAAACAAGGATCATAACCAATCACACTAAGTATATTTGTTGTATATTTTTAAATTAAAAACATATAATAGCAGGGAGGAAAAAACTCTTCCCCCATTTCAAATTCCCTGCTCCAGGAACGTTTGTAGGAAGGGAAGAATAGGGAGTGTCAATTTTTTTCTCTTTCCTCTGTGGGACTGGCCAACTTACCGTACACATGCGGATTTAAACGGGTCCAGGAGTGTCAATTTTTTTCTTTAAGCTCTTTTATTTCTCCGTGATGATAAAATATATATGAAAAGGCAAAAAATAATACTCCTTTTTATTGCAAAAAATAAAAAATTTAACAATAAACTAATGCATATTATCTAATGGGCTAACCGCTAACCATAAAATAAAAGAGTTGAATGTGCCTGACCTACACGGGATTTAGCCATCAAGTAAAACAAATGAACATCATTGGTTAAGCGTTTATAGGAAGGGTAGAATAGGAGTGTCAATTTTTTTTCTCTTTCCTCTCTGGAACGGGCCAATTTTTTTATTTAAACGGGTCTAGGAGTGTCAATTTTTTCTTTAACCTCTTTTATTTCTCCGTGGTGATAAAATATATATGAAAAGGCAAAAACAATACTCCTTTTTATTGCTAAAAATAAAAAATTTAACAATAAACTAATGCATGGTATCTAATGGACTAACCGCTAACCATAAAATAAAAGAGTTGAATGGGTCTGACCTACACGGGATTTGGCCATCAAGTAAAACAAATGAACATCATTGGTTTGCCATTCTAAAACAAGCTATTTTCTCTGGCATAATATATATTATGCTATTATTTTATATCTTAGTGGCTAAAATATAATGTATTTTAAAGTTATTCAATGGTTCAACCTCGACCAACCCAATTAGTCCAATTTTTATCATTTCAAATATATATTAAATAACTATTTGATATCATAATGATCAAATTATAGTGTATTTTACAGGGAATCGTTTGGTATTTGTTAGTAAAAAACTAAACAGAAAGATCTATTTGGTTATTTTAAACATTAAAACGATCCTAAACATTTTCAGTTTCTTTTGAATTTCTATGGTTTTATTCCCGAATAAGTGATGTGCAAATGGAGAATTGCAGTCATCTCTTTTCTTTCACTATTTTTTATTTTCAAATAGAAAGTTTAAAAGTAAAGAATCATTAGAATTTGGCATGGGCCGGTCAAACAGGCTGAATTTCAAGTTTTGACCCGTTTTGATCAAGTCTAATTTATAATCACATGGTTTCCTGATACTCGATAAAAATCTCAATCCAACCTAGTTTGGCAGGTGAGTCCGTGTTTACCACCATTTTCTAGGGATACGACAACGGCGGTTCCTATCCCAAATCGTGTTGTTCGTTCTTGATTTTCTTAGGTTTTATCATGGCCTGACAAAAACCAGAAAGCACAATGACGACAAGATGAAAGTTTTATAAAGCAAATTAATCGGCCAACGGGCCGAGTAAAAGCTAGCAACGATTGTGAGATGCTCATTTCCCGAAAACCGACGAGATATGCGATTTTTTATTCGATTTTATGGAATTCAGTTTCTATAAAACTTACTCCGCCTCATCATATTACCAGAAACAATATTGTTTCACAAGGTAAAAGGTACTTGATTTTGGTTCATAAGGCCGATTTTTGATTCGTTGCATCATTCATGTCTCTTTCCTGCTAAAATTCATTATTTTTATCACGTGTTTCCCAAAAAAATATATACAACAATAAGCTATACAACCCATTACATTATCAAATTTCATAACTCACCTTCCTCCGGCCAACTGGTCGGGGCCCACACTAGTTATTTACTATGGTTAAAAGTGCAATTTATTTCCATAGTTGTAGGAATTATACCAAACACTAGAATTGGAAATGGACTTTTATAAAAATAAAAAATGGAATTCCATTTTCATTTCTTTCATAATTGTATCCAAACATGCTGGTAGGAATTTCATTACTTGGAACATAATAGCGTGCAAATCATAGGTAGGGGTCAGTAGTGGGTGGGTTTATGCGAATTTGGGTGGGTGAAGAAGAACATGACCCACACTTACCCAAACATTACATGTGTGTGGGTTGGGTGATTGCGGATGATGGGTGGTTGGTGGATTCGATGAGTTTACAACATATATTTCATATGATCATATAATTTCAATATTTTTAAAAAGAAATGTTCAAACTTATTAACTCTTAATCCATAAATAAATTGAATCGTTTATTATACAACATTGGTATTGACAATTGTCCACAAATGACAAAATATTCGACTGATAAATATGGTCTAAGCCTGATAAGACCAAGGTTCAAGAAAGCACTAGACATAAAGCAAACGTTTTGGTCTTGCCTGGCGTCTCATTCGCCTAGGCGTTGTGAGCGCAAATATAGCTTTTAACCCATAGTCGCAAATTAAAATTACATATTGATGGAAGGAAATCAATGAATAAAGAACGAATAGGTGGTAGTTTGAGATGGGGTCATTTTGGGAAAAACAATTGTCTTTCACTGCCATTTGTCTACTAGTAATGCTTAAGTGTACCTCTAATTGTCATAACACACCTCACAACACAATCCTTTGATCGAAATTGACAGGAATTGTTCTGATTTAGAGGGTATCATTTTCGGTAAAGCTATATGTTAGAGCTTTGATGGTTTGAGGTTAACAAGTTGGGTGGGTCGTGGGTCAACCGCAGTCCACCTGCACCCACCGAATCTTTTGTGGGTCACATATTTACAACCCACATTCACCCATAGGAACCACCCACATGATCGGATGGGTCGATCGCGGGTGGATTTGTGGGTTCAACCACACTAATGCTCACCCCTAATCATAGGGATGGTTTGCAAATCGACAACCTAGATCTTAGCCATCCATGGGTTACTCTAGTCAAAGGGCTGTCATTCAAAAAAGGGTACATTATGGAGTTTTTTGGATGCAAATTTTAACAGAATGACATGTTTGATCATTTTTACAAAGTATAAGGGCATGCTTGATGTAAAAAATAATAGATGGGGCATATTATACCTATAACCCTACTTTTGATTCAATAAACACATTTCGACACCATTCAACACCCAAACAACGTCGGTCCCGGTTGGATAGCGTGACAACCCCTTAGGGGTTGTCAATCTCGCTTCCCCCTTCCCAGCCGCCCATCTCCCTTCCTCACGATCTGGCGGTCGATAATCATCAAGGGCAAAATGGAGAGGTGCTCCACTGGATCCGTTCCCCCACTCCTCCTATGGTGTCACGCGAAATTCAGTTTTGAAAGGGGAAAGATTTTCGGAGGCTAATCCGCTACCTTCCTCGCAAAAAAATCGTTCGCCTGGCCAGCCTCCATCAGCTCCCATAACCCAAAAAGAAAACCCTTGCATCGTCGCCGATAAACATTGTCGCCGGTTTCCTTTCCCTTGCATCATCTCGCTCATTTCCCCACTGGGTTCGAAGACTTGGTCGATGAGAGTAAAGGTAATTCCGGTCTATTTCCTCCACTCCTTTCTTCTTGATTCTGGTCGTTTAAAATTTTTCTCAATTGAAGTTCTATTGACTAGATTGAACTGGTCGTTTCCCAGCGGCCTTCCCTCCTATTCGATCGTCGTTTCCAAGCGGCCAACCGTGATTTAAGCCAAATCATAATAATTCATTTTTCGTTCTTTCATTGCATCGCCGGAAATCCTTCCTCTGTCAACACTTTATACGGCGGTTGAAAACATACCAGGTGAGGTTTCTTTATACCAGCCATTCCTTTCTTTAGTAGCTTGTGTGTTGTTTGAATAATGCAGTGGTACTTTGAATTGGTGTGGTAGTGGTATTGGTACCAGTTCTAGTAGTAGTGGTAGAATATTTTGTAGTGGTACATGTACTACTAGTGATACGTGTATCAGTAACACTAGTGGTACATGTACCAGTACCACTAGGGATTAGTGTACCGGTAACACTAATGATAAATGTACAAGTACAACTAGTGATACGTGTACCACTAGTGATACTTGTACCACTAACACTAGTTGTACACATGTCACAGGCATTCCTGATACTATCTTTTTTGAATGTTTCATAGGTTGGTATTGTAAATTTTAATAAATATGTCTAACAATGTAGTTTTGATATTTGTGTACCAGGAATGGCGAGAACAAAGACTACATTCTACGTGTCGATGACAAAAGAGCAACTGGCAAAAAAAGAACCTATTGTAAAACATCCTGCAACCTATGAATCTCGGCAAGTAGTCATCCGTGAAAGGGATTCATCTGACTCTGATTCAGGTCCTAGTAAGAAACGGCCACGAGATGAGTTAATGAAGTGTCCCTGCTAGAAGAAGAAGAAACCGAAAGTAGGAACAAGCGCAAGCAGTTCGGGAAGCAGTAGTTCTTCTTCAGAGTGCGAGGAGTATGCTAGTGGTTTATGTACATTTTGGAGTATGAACAAAGTTTGAGCATTTGTTGGCTTTTAGTTCTCTTGTGAAGCATTTGTTGAGCATTTTTTAATGTGAACCATTTTTGTTGAAGAAAACCCCTGATGTTGGTGAATCACTTAATATGGTTTTGTACTTTTGTTAAAACATTACTTTTCTTGCTTTTCTAATTACACATGGACTAATAGTGGTACATGTACGAGTAACTAGTACTGCTAAGTACCACTGGTACGTGTAACAGTAACTAGTATTGGTAAGTACCAGAAATGACTAGTGGTATCAGCACCAGAAACTAGTAGTACCAGTACCATACTTAATATTTCCATTACCAGTAATTACTAGTGGTATCTGTACCAGTAACTAGTGGTTGTACTTATATCATTAATAGTTACTGGTACATGTACCTTCACAAGAGAACACTTTAAAATGGTTATCTAATGTTAGACAACAAAACCTCATCCGAATAACATAATATCTTCCACAAGGGACATGTTTGATTGTATCATGAACCAAATTTGAATTGAAACATCTAAAGAGATAAATGAAAAACAATGTTTAGGTTTTTCTTTTTTCCCTCTTTTTGCTCGCGACCTTTTCTGCATTTTTCGGGTCAAGCCTACTACCTTTTATGTACCCTTGTTTGTTCATGGCCTTTGGAGACTCTGAGTCCACGACCTCTTCTGCATTTTTCGGGTCAAGCCTGCTGCTTTTTTGTACCCTTGTCTGGTGCACGAACCTCCAAACTAGAAAACGAATGGTTCGGGGAAGTATGACCTTTTCTTCTTTACTTCCTCCAACAACTCTGGACGAGAAACCTCTTCCATGACCAAAACTCTTGTAGAAACGTGTAAATTCATCCTGGTTCTGGAAACACAAGTGGTTCCCGTTCAACTGTCTCATGGAATGATGGATGATACCAAACATGTATTTAAAGAACAAATGCATTAGCAAAACGAACTATTTAACCTTTTACTGGTATCCCGATACCACTAGGGAAGTACCACTAACTACGACTAAATGACTACCACTAAGGGAGTACCACTAGACGACTAAGTGAGTACCACTAGGAGCCTACCACTACAATAATACTACTAGCTACTTGAACCATAACTACTGGTACATTTTTTCCAAAACAATATTTATACCACTAGTAAAATGGTGCAAATGCAACGGAATTCGTAACGGCACAGCTTATTCCTTCCGCCATTGTTGTCATCGACGCCATTCTCCGCCACGCCGTCGTCAGCAAAAACGCAATCGTTGGAATGCGACACAAAATCGTCGTTGGTCTCCACGTGGAGGCCATATTCTATTGGACGTTATCCTTGTTTTTGTACCATTCAGGATGATCTTCGTTGACTGTCTCCTCCACGTCCAGAACGTCGTCAACGTCCACCATCCACACATCATCGCCATTCTCCATAAGGTATGTCGGCTCAGCTAGGCACTCGTATATATCCTCGTCGTTGCTTGTCAATGGGACGTTCAGGTCAACCCAAATATACACGTAGGTTTAGCTCCACCTCATTCTCCGTCATCGTCATTGCTGATGTAACCATCCATTGTATGGCGGCCACCATGTCGCTGGTATTTTTCGTAGCAAGACGAGGGGTCTAGTTTGACGAGGGAGAAGCCAGAAATGGAAGGGAAAGAGTCCCAGTCGAAACCGCCTCTTCCACTCCCCCAATCACGTTGCGAGATTCTCTCAATGCAATTAAGTTTTAATTCAAAATTATTAGAATTAGGTACTTACTAAAAGACCCTTCATGTAATCTGACCGCCGTATAAAGAATGAGAATGGACGACACTAGGGGGGAAGCGAGATTGACAACCCCCTTAGGGGTGTTAGTGTTGTGGTATATGATCCACGATTGAATCTCTCCCAACAACTCGAGTTATTGGGATCAACTGGTTCTTGACATGGTATCAGAGCCTTCTATGACCGAGAGGTCTTGTGTTTGATTCCCGGTGACCCCCATTTGTTAAGCACATGGTATCAGAGCCTAGAATCGAAAGGTCATGTGTTCGAGTCTCCACGGCTCCCAATATTAACAGTTTATTAAAGCACAAGGTATGGTGGGCCTGTGCAAACTTCAAGCCCATGGGTTGGCTTTCGTTTGAGGGGGCGTGTAAGAGTATGGTATAAGATCCAGCAGAACCTTCTCCCAATAACTCGATTTGTTAGGAGAGGTTCAATCGTGGATCATATACCACAACACTAGCACGCCCCCTCAAACGAAAGCCACTCACAAGGGCTTGAAGTTTGCATAGGTCTGAAGACAAGAATACCATGTGCTTAACAAATGGGGGTCATCGGGAATCGAACACAAGACCTCTTGGTCACATAAGGCTCTGATACCATGTCAAGAACCAGTTGCTCCCAATAACTCGAGTTATTGGGAGCAACTGGTTCTTGACAAGGGGTTGTCACGCTATCCGGCCCCGTCGCCACCGCTTCCTCCTTGCCCATCCAACTGTCGCGCTCCATCTTGTTCTTCAATCGAATCTGGGTTTTTTGCACCAGTAATCAAATCCGGCCCATGAAGCAGATGGAAGGCGCCAGAGCCATTCATGTGTGGATCTCATGTGAAACTTCAGAAGAGAGACGCCAGATCTCTCTCGACGGAACTTGAATCGCGCGACCACCACCTTCACTGATTCTCGCCAGTGACGACAATTGACGCGGGAGAAGAAACGTTTGGCTGAATGGGTCGTTTCCTACAGAAGCGAACCATTGGTAAGGTCGCTTGGGCCATTATTGAACGAGGTCGGCGACAGTATCTTTGATTTCTCGAAACCATATGTCCCAGATCTCTTCGTGGAGTGGGGTTGGGAGCTGGAACCTGGAAGGGATAAAGAAAAAGGACACAATTGTCATTCTACAATTTGCACATAAATTCCTTATTTATAAACAAATAAGTGGTTGTGTATAAATCCCACGTTTTAAATTACTAGATTTTTAGTCGAGAGATTTGGCCTAAAAATCCCTCATTATAGAAACACCCATCCAAACGGGCCTTGAAAAAGTTTCCGAACTGTTCTAGTTTTGAATGAAGAGTGAGATAAAATAGAAAGAGCCTGATTATTGAAATCAGGGGTGGAAGTTTGGGTTGCGTGTTGTGGGTAAATATACCCACAGATTATGGTTAGTGGGTTGGGTGTGAGTAGTAACATAATGATGTTTGTGGTTGGTGGTTACCGACTACTCACGGCGGTTAACCTACAAAATTCACAATAACCACACTAATTATATTTGATTACTGAATTAACTTTATAATATAATAGTATGTGAAAACTGGGAGGCTAAAAATTAATGTAGCCACCAAAATCAAATACGAACCTAATCAGTTCTATGTGAGAATATTTTAGTTTATAAAACACTATAATCGAGAGAGTGGAGAATAATCGATTCATTAAAAGTGGACACCTTTAGTAACTTTATCTATATGTTTTTACTTTTGTGTGAAAGAGAATACAATATCATATTTAATTGTCATATTCCACCCCTAGCTGGTGAAATATGAAATCACAGCTCCCTGACACAAAGTTGAATACCAAACTCGAAAAGAAAAAATCTCCACGTTGAGTAAAATCGATATACAAGATTGTATCTCCACGAACAATTTTTTTTTTATAATCACTATAGTCTAGCTACGAACAACAAATACATTAGTGGCAACATCAATTCCATGCTTGTGAAGATGATTTTTTGCAGGTAACCACACCCAACCTATAATGGGTAGTGGATATCCACAACTCACAATGGGTAGTGGATATCCACAACCCGCACCACGACACTGTCACTGTTGTGCAGGTTGTAGGTAGCATAATTGTAAATTTATAGGTGTGAATACCGACAAAATATTGGGCGGGTAACCACATTCACCCTAATTTCCACCCTAATTGAAATTACTCAATGTCTCTCGGTTCGATTCAGCAATCAGTGAGGAGAAAGGAAAACGGGGGAAAAGGGAACGGGTTGATGGGGCGGGATAGGGTAAACACGAACCGAACCGAACCGAAATCGAATTAAACCGAACCAAACCCGAAATAATGCTATTTGGTTCGGAATTCGGAAGAAGAATATGGATATTTCGGAAATCAGGATTCTTTCAACAGAACCGAAATTCCGACCGAAAAACCGAAATACTATAATTGGAAGCTCTAAATGGTGGGGTTTTTTATATTTGTAGTTGTTTTTATACTTAAATATTTGAAATATTTTATGACTTATGTGTTGAAAAGTTTGATTTTATCATTAATGATGCATATAATTGCATATTTTATTATTTTATATTGGGGTGAAAAATAATTTAAAAGTGAGATGATATAAGTAGCCTCTCAAATTCGATTTTGTGTGCAAAACCGAACCGAATCGAACTATAATTTGGTTTAAACCGACCGAACCGAATTATAATTCGGTTTGAGGTTTGGGAGAATTCGGAGCCCCGGTATTCATAATTTCGGTTGGGTCGAAACCGAACCGACGAAATGCCTACCTGGAGGCGGGAGGGCAGGGTAGGGTTAGGAGGTAGCGGGCCGGGTCGATCGGGAACATTCCGATCCGAGACGTAGAGAAGTGACGTCCCAAAATTATAGAACACCACCGAAACTGGAGGCTCCAGACTTCTTCCGTTCTTTCTTCCATTTCTACCCAGCTGCCCTCATTTCCCATTTCCTCCCTATTTCTCGATTTCTCTTTTTTCTTTTATATATAATACAAGCTACTGATTCTTCCGCCTTAACGAACAGCGCAAAGAAACAGGGGGGAAAAAAAAAGACGCAGAACAACGATACAAAACAAACCCTAGACTTCTCCGAGTTTCAATCTTCTCCCGTAACCACCGTCCTCTCCCCTAGCTCAAAATGGACGGTGAATCGCCCCGCCCCGACGGAGCAAATGCTGCTCCGGCGGCGTCCTCGTCCTTGCCTCCAGTTCCGCCTGCCTCGGAGTCGGGGGATGGAGGCCAGGCCGGGCCTCAATCGCAAGGTGGGAACGGAGATGGCGGCAGAGGAGGAGGGACCAGAGACGATGAGCAGGAAACCAAGAAGGAAGAGGAAGAGGAGTTGATAGACAGGGCGCAAAGCTTGATGGACAAGATCACTCCCGTTCCTGACAACCCAAGTCCCGCCGTGCTTCACGCTCTCGCGTCTCTCCTTGAAACCCAGGAATCCCTGTAAAATTTCAGTTCACCTTACACTTTGTTGTATCCCTCTCATGGCATTTTCTGTTTGGGACGATTTATCCCTCTGTTACATTCTTGGTTGTTTTTTTTTTGTGTGCTTGTTGGCGCCCGGGGTGGTATAGAGAGTCACTAGCTTGGAATTATTATGGCCGTTACTTGGCAAGTCGGAATTTGCTCACCTGTTAGAGCATCGTTTGAGCTCCGGAGCGGGGTGCAATTTCAGTTTCTACCGTTAGCTGTGCTCCCCACCTTCTCGCTTCCTGTCATTCTCAACAATTTCTTGTCTGAGTTGAGTAGAGCCCAGAAGTGTGCTCATGTTTTCTGAATCGTCTTCTTGGCGCCTACTACTAGGATTTGTTTTAGCATTTCGAGAATTTTAGTTAACTTCAGGTTCTGGGGTGTCGAGAAGTATCAATGAAAAGTACCCATATCCTTTCTGATAACCTTGGCTACTGGCTTTAATGGGGGATTTATTCTCTGCTTCTTCACTGTGCTCTGTGTTTCTTAGCTCGGGAAATAAAAATCTGCAAGTTGCATCTGAACCATCTTTGTCGCCTCACTTGTTATAGAGCTGGCAGAGGGTAATGGAACCTAGTTTTCACTTGCTGACTGCAACTGGGATAAGGGAATTGTCGAGAACAGATGTGGAGAAGTGGATATCCAATTACCTCGAGCAAATGTCTTAGTTGTTAGAAGCAGACACTGCCGTCAAAAGTCATGTCACGTAGCTTTCCTGATTAGTTTATATGGGAAACCTTGATATCGTGGGTTTTATTCTTGAGTCATTGTGCTCAAATGCTTTCCTTTCTCAGATTATAAGCATAAATCAACTGTAGCTCAATGTGTTAAGTCAAAATACGATTGCGTTAATCCATCTACTTCCTTTGCTTGAATGTTACTCTGCTTTAACTTGACATGCTATGTTCCGTGCAGATATGTTGAAGAAAATGGCCGTTCAAGTGTTAATACTACTCGTGCTTCCCATAATATTGGACGTCTAGGAAACTTAGTCCGGGTAACTATTTTCGAAGATGTCGTGTTTCACTAGATTCCAAGTATTTTCATTTAATTCATCAAGAAATGGTCAGTATATGCTTGTCTTTTGATGTTCGTCATGGCATATGGCCAACTTATAGTTTTGAGTTGATCAATTTGTTCCCTGAACTTGCTTCAGCTGATATTTTACCATGAATTCTTTTGCAGGAGAATGATGAATTTTTTGAATTGGTGTCTTCTAAGATTC